GTACCCTACCTGTTCCCAGGGAACCATCAGTTTGCTTTCTGTCAATACAGATAAGTTTGCTTTTTCTAGAATTTTATACAAATGAAGTCATACAATATATACTTTTCTAAGGCTGGCTTCTTTCAATCAACACAGTTATCTTGAAATTTATCCAAATTGTTTTATGTATCAAATGTTCATTTTTACCATTTTTGCACTCACGATATTTAGGTTATTTCCAGTTTAGGGGTCATACAAATAATGCTTTCATGAATATTCATATGCAAGACTTTTATGAACTTCATTTCTCTGGGATAAATACCTAAGAGAGTAATGTCTGGGTAGTATGTAAGGTATATGTTAAACTTTATAAGAAAACTCAATTATTTTCAACAGTGGCATTTTATATTTCCAAAAGCAGTATAAGAGAGTTCCTTATGCTCCACAATATACATCAACAATTGTTATGTTCAGTCTTTTTAATTTTAGACATTCCAATAAATGTATAGTGGTATCTCATTGTGGTTTTTAAGTTGCATTTTCCTGATAATGCTGAAGATCCTTTCATGTACTTACTTGGAATCTTTGGTAAAGTGTCCTAGGTTTTTGTTCATTTTTCATTGAGTTGTTTCCCTTTTATTACATGAAAGTTCTCTAGACAAACTGGATAAATATAATTTGACTTTCGAATATTTTCTCTCGGTCTATGGTTTTTCTTTTAATTATCTTAACATTGCCTTTAGAGGAGAACAAGTTCTTACTCTGAATGAAGTCCAATATGTAAATATCTCCTTTTGTGGATTGTACTTTGGATATTGTCTCTAAAAACACTTTGCCTAACCCAAGTTCACAATAATCTTCTGCTATGTTTACTTCTAAAATTATGATAGTTTTTTTATTTTTTGAATTTTAAAACATGTGGGAGTTTTATTTTTATTTTTATCATCTTAACTATTTTTAAACGTGTAGCTCAACAATGTTAAGTATATTCATGTTGTTGTATAATGTAGTTTTTTAAAAATGGAATTTAATTTATCAATGAACATAGCCTTTCCAAAGCACTGTCTTCACATTTATTCTACCTTATTGTTTTCTCTCCAGAACATGTATCGATTTGAGGGCACTAGGTTTTCAGACATTCCTCAATTTATAGATCATCAGTATACAACAATACAGGCCATCACTAAGAAATCGGGTGTAGTTCTGAATCCTATTTCTAAGGTAAGCGCACATATACATTTTTCTATGTTTGTTTTAAAAGAATTCTTGGTGAGTTAACATTTCCAACAGTAAATAAAGTTCTTAGATTATTTGCTGGTAGTTCAGAAAAAAAGAAAGTTTTGTTTTTGTTTTTCTGGCTTTTGTTACAAATACAATTGAAACATGAAATTTCTTTTATTAGGATGGGCTGCTTTCTTATTCAGTATTTGCTGGTATAGAAATGGCCTGTTTTTTTTTTTTTTTTTCTTTCTAGTTTTGCTTCAAAGACTTGAGGCTTTTCTTCACTTTATAAGGCTCAGACTTTGAAAGGTTCAGGTTATAAAAGATTCTAAGTTGTAGAAGGCAAAGAAAATGTCCAGCAATTAGGAATAAATTAGGGTTTTAGTTTGGGATGTTACATTTGCAATGTATTACAAGATATTGGAACTAACTTGACTACTCTTCACAGAAGCAGTAAATCAGAACTTGTCTACGTGGAGCCAGGTAGTTGGATAAGAGATTGTCTTAGTTCATTTTTACCTCTAAGGTCTTTTACAGAAAACACTACTTTCATGTGCTTTAAGAAATTTGTTCAATAGGAAATGGGTATGTGGAAGATTTGTTTTTAAAGGTAAAATCTTTGGGACTTAAACCAAAGTGGAACAACGGAGCTGACTTAGTTTCTGAGCACTTTTGATGTTTCAGGTGTTGGGCTGGTATTGGCAAGAGCTCTTTCCTTTAAGGGCTGTATAATATAAAGAACAGTGCAGAAATAGGAAAGCCATACAACTTGGTAGATTAATATTTGTTGATATTACTTTTATACACTTAAATATTGCTTTTAATTTGAAGTAAGTGCCAGTTCCAAGAATGCTAGTTCATGGTCCAGATTTAGCGATTTGGAAATTTAAAAAACAATTATCTTATTTTCCATTGTTAGTCTGGGAAATAATGTCTATATATGTACTTTTATTATATTATGAAATCTTCACTGAGAGGATGACCTTTAATATTTCTCTCACAGAAGATTCTGACAGTTGTTTGTTAAACATTCTAATTCTCTGGCTAAGGAACAGGCTCTTGAACAGTTTATATATATATATATATATATATATATATATATATACACACACACACACACATATATGTATTTGCTTTAGAAAAAATGTGACAACCTATTTCAGAATGAAGAATAATTTTTACAGTTTTTGGTAATTAAGGGTAGAAAATGAATAGAAAAACATTAACAAAGAACAAGCCAATTTCATAATTCTACAGTATGAGTTTGTGGAAAAAGCATGTGATGAGGCATCAGGACCCTCAAGTACTGGGACTGGCCTAGCCACTAGCTGGCCATATGATATTGGGCAAAACATACCTGTAAAATAAGATAATGAATTACATGTCACTAAGGACCCAATGAACTTTGGCATTCTATTATTCTAAAACAATCCTGGCATTTTATAAGTCTATATGACTGTCTTCTTGGATATTTTCCTTCCCCTTTTCCTAACCTTTCTCAGAAGAAAAAGTTTAAGCCCAATTAAACAGAAAGATACATTTGAAGTAGAGATTTCAGAATATGCTTACAATGAAATATGCAGTTAAAACAGTTGTTCAATTAAGAAACATTTATTCTTTTCTAAATAAAAGTAAAATTGGAGTTGTAAATATGAACTAAGAAATGTTGGTTTTATAAGGTAACTAGCTATACAACCATGATCTTGAAGTGTGATATGGCTTGCTCTGTGTATCTACCCAAATGTCATCTTGTAGCTACCATAATTCCGTGTTGTGGGAGGGACCTGGTGGGAAATAACTGAATCATGGTGGGTCTTTCCCATGTTGTTCTTGTGATAGTAAGTGAGTCTCACAAGATCTGATGGTTTCGTTTTTTTGGTCTTTTTTTTTTTTACTTTTTTGGACAGAATCTTCCTCTGTCACCCAGGCTGGAGTGCAGCAGCACAATCTTGGCTCACTGCAACCTCTGCCTCCTCCCAGGTTCAAGCAATTCTCCTGCCTCAGCCTCCCAACTAGCTGGGACTACAGGTGTGTGCCACCATGCCCAACTAATTTTTGTATTGTTAATAGAGATGGGGTTTCACCATATTAGTCAGGCTAGTCTTGAACTCCTGAACTCATGATCCACCTGCCTTGGCCTCCCAAAGTGCTGGGATTATAGGGAAGAGCCACCACACCTAGCCTGATCTGACGGTTTTAAAAATGGGAGCTTCCCTGCACAAGCACTCTTTCCTTGTCTGCTGCCATCCATGTAAGATGTGACTTGCTCCTTTTTGCCTTCCACCATGATTGTGAGGCCTTCCCAGTCATGTGAACTGTTAAGTCCATCAAACCTCTTTTGTAAATTGCCCAGTCTCAGGTACATTTTTATTAGCAGCATGAAAACGGACTAATACAAGGTGCTAGACAAGGTGGGGCTCTATAAATTCTAAATTCTGCAATTCTAAGACATTCTTGGTATTTTAAATCTCTAGATGACTGCTATCATTTTCTGATATTTTTCCCTTACATGTTCTGGTCTATTCTTATTACAGAAGAATATGTTTAACATACAATTACAGAAGCAGAGGTTTCAAACAGAGATTTAAAGTACCTTCAAAATATATTTGGACTGAAATATACAGGTAAAATTGTTTTTGAGTCAGGAAATATTTATTCTTCCCCATAAATTAAATGAAACTGTGAATACAAACCAAAGAACATTGATCTCACAAGGTAACTGAATTCTTTTAATTCTGAAACCAGAGATATGTACAACACTTACAGAATTCACACAACACTATTTTCAAAATAGACTTTTTACCCCTAAAAATGAAAATTCTTAGTGACAAGCTTTAGATATGCAACTTATCCCAGTGCGTATTAACTTTGTCACAAAAAGCAACCACAAATAGTTTTCCCTTTTCTGACATAAGAAAGTGAAATTATAGACTTTTAAAGCAGAAAAAAAATTTCTCCAAAATGCAAATGATTAAAGTACAAGGAACAAATGAACAGAAGAGCTCAATTATTCAACTGAGTGAATCATTCAGTTTGCATATTAACTCCTTTTCTTACCACTTCCTGATTTCCGATTCTGATAAAATTTATCCTGTATCTACTAGGCAAGACACTGGGAACACAAAGAAGTTTTAGACAAGGTCTACTGGTGTGCTGGTAAAGGTTTAACAACTAGCTCTTGAGGGAAAGGTAGGTCTTCACTTACAGCGTTTTCCAATTCCTACGGTATAAATACTCCCAACTGTGGCAGATTTCAAGCCACCAACAATTTCACAACTGTCTCACAAAACTCCTCAAACTAATGATTCCTGCTCATAAGCCATTATAAGCCAGCTCTGACACACCACTGTATGCTCTCTACCTTCAAGTAGCTCATAATCTCTTCGTGTGTACCTATTTAAGAGGATATAAAAGAATACAGATATTGAGATAAAACTTAAGTCAATTATATTTTTAAGAAGGTTTTAAAAGTTAGAAGGGGCTGGGCACAGTGACTCATGTCTGTAATCCCAGCACTTGGGGAGGCTGAGGCAGGCGGATCACCTGAGGTCAGAAATTCAAGACCAGCTGAACAATATGATGAAGCCCTGTCTCTACTAAAAATACAGGGCATGATGGCATGTGCCTGTGATCCCAGCTACTTGGGAGGCTGAGATGAGAGAACTGCTTGAACCTGGGAGGTGGAGGTTGCAGTGAGCCAAGATCCTGCCATTGCACTCCAGCCTGGGCAATAAGAGCAAAACTCTTGTCTCAAAAAAAAAAAAAAAAAAGTTAGAAGGAATGAGAATTTCTGTGTGATTTTCCTACTTCTTTACTATTTCCCTTTTCTTCTTGCTTAAATTTATTTCAGGAAATTATAGTGTAGAATACTTGAGGAGTGAGTAACGGATGAGTAAAATAAGAATTTTAAAAAGACAAGAAAAAACATCAAAACATCCTAAGAAATATACTAACAGTTAGCATGTTTCCATTACAAGAAAAAACCTACTAAGATAAGAGCAAATATAGTGTAACTATTAAAATTCCATCTGCTTCAAGCCCCTTCAGTTCAGCTCACAAGTCCTGAAGATTTGTCCTGACTTCTTTGGCTGCTGTTTTGATAAGATTAGCCAGCTTCTTTAACACTGTATTGAAGAGCACACAGCTTTACACCACTTACACAAGCAGCTCATAATAAAAGGCAGACCTAAATTTTGGAGTCTGAAAACTGAGCTTCCCCTGCATAGGCACCCCCCACCTTATATCAGATCTTGGGCAACTGCCGGCTAGGATGACCAGGGAATTCTTCCGGTAGCAAAACGTGGAGTCTGCAGGTTGGACATGTCCCCTGTTGCATCAACCATGGTCTAATGCACTAAGGAGCAAAGAGATTTATGTCAGTCTCTCAAATTTAGCCTAGCAAAAGCAGTTGTCACTTCTTCTGGTGGATCTTTAAAGCCTTATCCTATGGATTGTCAAGCCAATTACTGCAAACATGGCCCTTCCTATGGTTTGCTGAGCAAAATAGGTGGTAAATGCACAATACCTTTTAGCCAGTTTATTCTATTAGAAATTATTTCTCCAACCTCCATTTTCAAGATGACTAGCAATTCCTCCTGACAAGGAAATTAGAGAAACTTGCTATATTCTTTCTCTGGTTTATTACATACTGTTCTCATTTATAATCCAGAAAAAGTCATAACTAATCTATAAAAGTCACTAGTACCTGGTATGAAATGCTTATGGTGTTTGTAGTTAAAATCCCTAAATGACAAATATACTTCTCAGATTGTTTTCTTTGGTGATAATGACAATAATTTTTGACCATGAACTATCTGTTAAGTCATTTGCTTGAATACTGACTCTCCAAAAACAAATCATTTTTACCCATATAAATAATGGAGGAGCAGGTCAGATGAGAGAGGATTAATATTAAGTACTATATATAATAGGCCCACTAACTATAGTCATAAAAAATAATACAAATGAATTATGTGCTTTCTACTCATGGGCAATGGCAGAGTAAATTAAGTTTTGTTGAACATGTATTTTCTAAATTATAGGACCTTATAAACTTCAAAGAGGAAAGTCAACGGCTAAGTATCTTTCCTGGAGAACTTTTGGGATTAGGCATTTTGTGGATTTCTCTTCATATCAAAGCAAATGCAAAATATAATTCTGTACCAGGTACCACATATCATATCTTTGAAATGATGTCTTAAAAACATGGGTTGACTGAACTGGCTATTACTCACTTCCCTGAAAAGCCTTTCTTTTGTATGATTATCTTTTCCTGTGTCAAATTACATATCTGCAGCAGAGGACTTGGATCATAAATTATACATCAATAGTAACTGCGTGGCAGTAACACCAGAAGTTAATCTATATAAATGCCAAGAATCAACAAAAGACATGCCAACCTCACATTTTTCTAACATTAAACCTCAAGCCTGAGCATCTTTCAAAAGCAAATATAGGAGCCTGAACAGACTGCTAAGTCTTATGCTTTATGATAGGGGACTGTCATTAATTATGGGCAAAGGACACTATATGGTATTTATAACATGTCAATTTCATGGTACTGTTGCTAGTTCTGCCACTAAACTACCACGCCAATTCACATTTGTACCAGTTCTATTCAAAGGAACTGCCTACTGTGTACTATTTGAATATCCACATTGTCCCCTTATTCTGTAGGGTGGATGGAGATCTGAGAAAGCACAGTGCAATCCACGGCTATGTATGGGAAAGGCATGTTTCTGTGTGGCACCCAAAACATCAGAGTTATACTCAGTGGAACTCCTGAGACAACAATAAATAGTGATGCATGTATATGATAGTAAGTAAGGCATATAAATATCACTTAGCTGATCAATGGGAAAATTTTAAGGGTTACCTGAGCATGGAATTTGTGAGCACAAGGCAAAACTGAAAGGTTTTCTGGAGACAGATTCTCATGACAGATCACACAAGGCTCTTCTTCCTCCTCTTCCTCATCCTAGGGAAAATATAGAATATGTTAAATTTAGCTCATTTTTTTCTCCCAAATCTAAATGTGTACAGAATCAACAATTTCAGTCTCACTGGCTTATTGGCTCCTTCCCATGTGGCAGAATTTTGTGAAGTGAGGGGCCGCCAGGCTGGTTTTGGGGGCTGGGCAGCATTAGGCTGTGATGGAGAATGACTAGGTGAAACACAATTACCATTTGACACTGATTTTCCTTGACTCTGAAAATAAGAATATAATGTTTATTTTTTCAGAATTATCCTAAAATAGTAAGAACTGACACATTAGCACAGAATGGGGCATAGTGAGAACTAGCAAAAGGCTAAACAATCAGAATCATGAGAAATCTTGAACAAAATTATGGCAATACTTATAAACTTAGAGCTAGGTAAAAACAAAAATAATTATATTTTAATTAAAATAAATCTTTCAAGAAAATTAGAAAATATCTCCCTCTTTAGACTCATTCAAAGTAACTAGAGCAAATTTCAAAGACGTCAGTTTTATTCTAGAATGATTAGGTGATAGGTATTTCAAAAAGACTTCTGATATCATTTGTTAAGCTGAACTTGTTATTTACTGCTAATAGATGATTTAATATGATTACAAGATGCTGATTTTCTGAACAGATTATGGAGATATTTAAAACAGCTAACTACCAGAGATAAGGGCAGAGAGATACAGGGTTTTTGGGTTGTTTTTGCATTTTACCTGAGATTTTTTGGGGTCAATAAACTGGGAAATCTTGCAAACAATTTCATCAAATGTCAGTCCAGACAAGGACTTCCCATGAGCATCCTTCAATTTTCGTAAGAAATCTGTAAGTTCCTTTCTGGAAGAGATCAAGGGAAGGAAAGAGCAGTAATGATTTTCCTTAGTACCTTGAGGATGTGCCCACTAAAAGAGATATAAAATCCTAGCATATGATTCATACGTAGCATACAGAAAGGACTCTTTAGGTCTTTGATCCAAAAAGTGATCACAGGTCCATCTGCATTTATCTTAAACCAAAATGAAAACTCCTAATTGTGTTCATTAATGATACCTAACATTTTCATGAGTGATAAAGTTGAATACTACCTTTCTTTCCAAAAAGAGATTTTGTTTTTGAGAACTCACAAGGTGAAAATTAAGTTTATCCACCTATTTATGCACTGGGCTCTTTATACCATCTCTTTATACCATCTCTCTCAAGTGGTCTCTTCCTCAGGATAACATATTCATTTTTAACTATGTTGCTATTGGGTTCTCTCTTCTTTATCAGTGTTAATAGCTGTACTTTTGTAAAACTCAGAAAACAAAGATTAAACAGAACAGGAGGCCAGGCACAGTGGCTCATGCCTGTAATCCCAGCATTTTGGGAGGCTGAGGCAGGTAGATCACCTGAGGTTGGGAGTTCAATACTAGCCTGACCAACATAAATAAACCTTGTCTCTATTAAAAATACAAAAAAATTAGCTGGGCATGGTGGCGCATGTAATCCCAGCTACTTGGGAAGCTGAGGCAGGGGAATCGCTTGAACCCAGGAGGCAGAGGTTGTAGTGAGCTGAGATCATGCCACTGCACTCCAGGATGGGCAAGAGCAAAACTGTTTCAAAAAACAACAACAAAACAACAACAACAACAAACAGAACAAGAAAGCAAAAGTTAAAAATCACATTAATTATATAATGAAAGAACCCACAATTATATTATTTTAATTGATATGTTCCTTTTCAATTGACCCAAAGCCTGCATCAAAATTTTTGATGGGACAAAGTAGAATAAAATATTTTTCTTTCCCAAATGAAGTGTCATGTCATCAGCCTTATGCAACTACCTTTGATTTATAACATATTCTTTTTAAACATTTTTATAACAACTATACTAGAGTTCTATTTTTAGTATCTATTCACTATTATGAAATTTATAAAACTATAATAATGAAGTATGCCAGTATGTGTATTAAATGTATTCAAATAAAAATACTTGTGAAAACTAGAATTATTTCCTTAGATGTAAGTTGAGATAAAATAAACTTCATTTGTGTAGGGGTAGAATTATATATCTTTCTACTAAAGATAGACTGTGAAAAACACAGTGAAGTCATGATTTCTTGCATTTTTACTATGTTCTCTAACAAACTATAAGGATCCTCAAAACAAAGAACATTAGGAAACTAAATCCTGAAGATGTTTGGGCTTATATAGCATACAATCAACTTAAAATTCACTTTGGAGATAGGTTAAGATAATTATGGCAGTTAATACCATTAAAATTGGGTAAGTTTATATCTAGTTGTACTTTCAGTAAATGAGCAAACCTAAATTTAAAGTTATTCTCTCATGATTTGAGACTAGTAACTTTTTAATGAAGAAGTTCGGCATTGAACACTGCCCATTCTTGGTAAATTTCTTTTTTCCCTACCAAGGTCAATGTATGGAAACAACTGTATATTTTTTGTTTTTTTAAAGTTTCTCTAAAACACCTCATTGCCACAATTAAGGCTATGAAAGTTGGATATGAGAATATGATCTGAACCCACCAGTAAATAAAAACTAAGGTACCTGGTCTGTTGTGGAAAGGCAGTTTTCAGCCTGTCTGTAATTCTCTCCCAATTCATCATGGAGGGATCACTCCCCAGACCTGCACTGGGGGGCACAGCGTCTCCTACAGGCACTGGCAGAGTCCAGGCTATGCCAGTCATCTGTAAGGGGCAGAGAGTTATAGCCCATCAGGTTTAATTATTAAGAAGTGACATTCCTGTATTTCAGAAAATGGGTAGAATGAAGTAGTACTGGCATACACATTCTCTTTTTAGAGTTTTTCTCTTAACAAATATTTCTAATTGTTCATAACTGTTTTCAACTTAATTTAAAAATAGGACAAAGAAAATGGGTAGAATGAAGAATACTGGCATACACATTCCCTTTTAGGGTTTTCCTTTTAACTAATACAAACAATATTTCTAATTGTTTATAATATTTAAACTTATTTTTAAAATAGATATGCTTCAGTAATTACACACACGTACAGAAAAACACGAAGGCTGTTTACTGCTATTTTTTTTAACAGTGAAAATTGAAAACAACCTGAGGTCTATAAATATAGGAATGAGTAAATAAATTATGGCACATCTAATCAAGTTAATAGATTTATATGTCTGGGCATAAGAGATGTCCATGAATTATGATTTTTTAAAAAGTCTGTGGCATATGATTTATGATATGACTTCCTTTTACATTAAAATTTTTTAAATGCAAATGTATACACATAGAAAGGTCTGTAAATTACAGTGTGTAAGAAGTGATTATTTTTTACGAATTCAACTGCACAGTAACTTTGTTTCCTAATGTGCTTACATTTCTATATTATTTGCATTTTGTGATTAGCATACATATCTTTATGACAAGAAGGTAAAGTTAAAATTTCAAACCACCAAATAAAGACAGGAATACCACTAGAATTGCTCTCCTAATGTCTCATCAATGTAGACGACGATGGTGTAGAAGCTGTAGTGACACTTAGCTATGAAACTACCAGTTTTCCCCACATTTTATTGTAGTTCCTTCTTAAGATTCTAATTAAATAATATAATAAGTGAATATTTTTGGAGTGTCCATCTGATTACTAAGATAATTATGAACGATGCACCTTCTATGTAAGGCTCTAATGAGTTATTTTCAAATATTAGGTTATTATTTGTTAAAAACTAGCAACTAGTAGCAGTCATTGGAATAATTTGTACAAAGCCTAGTTAAGTGAGAAGCAGAATATTGCTTCTCAGAAATCTGGATTTGTTTCAATGTCAAGCTTTACCCCAGGAATCAGAAAGTAGTCTTATTAGGAGGTTAACATATTTTAATGTTTTCAATAAAAATTTATCTGAGTTCCTTATAGAATGGTGAGAAACCAAACTGCAAGAGTTAATACTATAATATCATCATAATAAAAAGATGTGTTACTTATTTAACATGTTAAAGACTATATACATATTTGTTTCTAGACAGGTAGTCTCGACAATAATAAGCAGAGTCCATCTTACTATATATTTCAAAAGGAAACTGTTAACAATATATGGGGACCAGAAAAGAAAAGAAACAATTAAGTGCACCTAAATATACTTATAAGAAATTCAAGATTAAAGAATTTTCATTAATTATATCTAACATCGTTCTTTTGGAAAACTTTTCTTTAATAAAAGCAGCTTACCTTTGCCAAGATTACAACTGATAATTCTGGTAATTTTAAATGTATTTGTTCCTTCTTCAAGTTTAGATAAAGTTTATCTGGCTATTTGTAGCTGGGAAGATTTATAACTTTACAGTATATGTTCCAAGAGGATGCTATTCATATCATCTGTTTATATATACAGTTGATACACTGTCATACTATGTGTGTGTATGTGTATGGAAATAAAATTTTCTTTAGCTTTGTGCTATAACTTAATTTGTTGTGACTTGGCTTCTTTGCTTTTCAATCTTCCCAACAACCATGCCCAAAAATTCTATTAAAAATATCAATTTGGCCGGGCACAGTGGCTCAAGCCTGTAATCCCAGCACTTTGGGAGGCCGAGGCGGGTGGATCACGAGGTCGAGAGATCGAGACCATCCTGGTCAACATGGTGAAACCCCGTCTCTACTAAAAATACAAAAAAACTAGCTGGGCGTGGTGGTGCGTGCCTGTAATCCCAGCTACTCAGGAGGCTGAGGCAGGAGAATTGCCTGAGCCCAGGAGGCGGAGGTTGCGGTGAGCCGAGATCGCGCCATTGCACTCCAGCCTGGGTAACAAGAGCGAAACTCCGTTTCAAAAAAAAAAAAAAAAAAAAAAAAATCAATTTACCCTGCATTGTTGCCTGTTCAGAAGCAATGCTATAATTTTAAGGACTCTCTAATATAAAAACACATTTATTTTTGTATCCCAAAATTAAGCTATTATCAGTTAAATAATATATGTAACACCATGAGCACCATGCTTTACAGGAAGTATTCTATTCAGTTATCACCACCACCGCCACCACCGCAGCCGCCACCATTATCATATTGGATAAAGGAACAAAGGGCTACTCATTCAGGAAGCCCACTATAGTGATAAAAACACTAATTAACATCTATTCCACCAAGAAAGCTTTTACCAGGGGGGCTCTAGGTTGGCCAGTTGCAGAGATGACTCCTGGGCAAACTGCAGGCATTTGGGGAACAGTAAGTATGGGTCTAAAGAAAGATTCTTTCACAAGGGGTCTTCCTAAGAACTGCTGCATCTAAAACAGAAAACATAAACAATAATAACAAACAAAAAAATCCACATATATTTATGTATTTATATATGCAACCATCTAAATTCATACAGCAATAATGAGGGGGAACACTCATTAACTCAAGATGGAAAGCACGTTAGAAACAATGCATGGCAGGAAATTAAATATATGAATATCCAAAAAACAAAGGGCAATGAGATATACTGAAAACAGCATTAAGCAATAGAGAAAAGAAATAGATTCTAGCCATATTTCTCTCTATCTAGCTGAATAACCTTGGAAATCAATTTTCTAATCTATAAAGTGAGAGGGTCTGATAAGGTAATGTTTAAGGTTCCTTCCCAACTGTAATCACATAAGACTATGCAAAGGAGATTCTCAAGAAGTGTTATCCATGTTGGTGGACAATAATGATAATGAGAAATTTCACAAAACAACCCAAAGTTATCCACAGACAATATTTCTTTCTTCATTTATTGGAGGTAATACTTGATGAAATTCTGACTTAATGTTTAGCTCCAAGTAGAGCTGGAAGAGGAAGTAAGATGGGCCTGGGAGATAAACTCTGCTATAGTGACTTGCAGATATGCTTGTTGGTATTATCATACTTCCCAGGGGGTTGTGGAAATCTAGACTTTCTTAGCAGCTATCTGTGGAAAAGATACCTTGTTGGCTGGAATAGAGTAAGGGGTAGATTTATTGAATATGTACTATATTCCAGGCCCAGTACTGGCATAAAGCATAAAACAGGAGTTCAATAACAATTTGTTATTGAAGTTAAAAAATGAGCAACAGCAACATAGCTCTAAGTAATGGTCCTAAAACTAGCACTTGAAAAATTAATGGAGAACTTTACAATGGATAGGCTGGATTGGCATTTGATTCTTAATGTCTGAAAAGAAAGAACATTATATGCCTGCTAGGTAAGAAAAGGAGATTTTTGAAACAACTGGGGAAATATAAATTCTAACTGGGTATTTAAAACTATAATTTTCTTAGGTAAGACAATGGTGTTATGATTACATCCAGTAGGAGTTCCTCATCTTTTAAGATATATCCTTAAGTATAAATAGATAAATTGTATGATATCTGAGGTTTGCTTTAAAGTATTCCAGTGGAGAGAAAAAAGAGAATGACATAAAACAAGGCTGAAAATACGTTGATAATGTTGAAGCTGGCTCCGGGGTTTGAAGAGGTTCATTATACTATTTTTTTACATATGTATCAATTTTTTTTTTTTTGAGATGGAATCTTGCTCTGTAACCAGGCTGGAGTGCAGTGGCACAATCTCAGCTCACTGCAACCTCCACCTCCCGGGTTCAAGTGATTCTCCTGCCTCAGGCCCCCAAGTAGCTGGGACTACAGGCGTGTGCCACCATGCCCAGCTAATTTTTGTATTTTTTAGTAGATCTGGGGTTTGACTATGTTGGCCAGGATGGTCTCGATCTCTTGACCTCGTGATCCGCCCACCTTGGCCTCCCAAAGATGTATCAATTTTTTTTACATGTGAAGTCTTAAAAAAATGAATTAATGGTGGGTACTGAGTCAACAGTCCTGCTCTGTTTGAGAGCCACTATTACCTAACACTTTATTTTATCTTCAATTGACATATAATTGTACATATTTGTGGGGTACAATGTGATGTTCTAATACATGTATATACTGCGTAATAATCAAAGGGTAATTGGCATATCCATTATCTCATTTGTCATTTCTTTGTGGTTGTAATATTCAAAATACTATCTTCTGGCCATTTTGAGATATACAATGCCTTACTGTTAACTATAATCATCTTACTAATAAAACATCAGAACTTATCCTTCCTTTCTAATTGTATTCATTGACCAACCAACCTCTCACTATGCTCCCTTTCCTTCTACCCTCCGTAGTCTCTGACAACCACTGTTTTATTCATTAATTCTATGAAACCAACTCTTTTAGATTCCACATGTGTGTGATCAGGCAGTATTTGTCTTTCTGTATCTGGCTTATTTAACATAATACCCTCCAGGTTCATCCATATTGTCACAAATGACAGGATAGCCTTCTTTTTTATGACTAAATAATATTTCACTGTTCATATATACATTTTCTTTATCCATTCAACCTTTATGGACACTTAAATTGATGCTGTATCTTAGCAATTGTAAATAATGCTGCAATGAACATGGGAGTGCAAATGTCTCTTCAGGATACTTGACTTCATTTCCTTTCCCACTATAGCCAGTAGGATGGTTGAAACATATGGTAGTTCTATTTTTATTTTTTTTAGGAACTTTGACACTGTTTTCCATAATAGCTGTGCTAATTTACATTACTACTAACAGTGTGTAAGGGTTATCTTTTCTCCACATCCTGGCCAACATTTGATATCTTTTGTCTTTTTGATAATAGCTATTCTAACTAAAGCAAGGTGATATCTTGTAATTTTGATTTGCATTTCCCTGAATTCTTCTTATCTATCAATATGACATATCTTTCCATTTCTTTGTGTCCTCAATTTCTTTCATCAATGTTTCCTTAATTGTACTTTAGGTTCTGGGGTACATGTGTAGACCATGCAGGATTGTTACATAGGTACACACATGGCAATGTGGTTTGCTGCCTCCATGCCCCCATCACCTACATCTGGCATTTCTCCCCACATTATCCCTCCCCAACCTCATCAACTCCCCAGTGTCCCTCCCTTGCCCCCCCAACAGACCCCAGTGTGTGATGCTCCCCTCCCTGTGTCCATGTGTTCTCATTCCTCAACACCCGCCTATGAATGAGAACATGCAGTGTTTTTCTGTTCTTGTGTCAGTTTGCTGAGAATGATGGTTTCCAGATTCATCCATGTCCCTACAAAAGACACGAACTCATCATTTTTATGGCTGCATAATATTCCACAGTGTATATGTGCCAAATTTTCCTTGTCCAGTCTATCGCTGATGGGCATCTGGGTTGGCTCCAGGTCTTTGCTATTGTAAACAGTGCTGCTATGAACATACGTGTGTATGTGTATTTATAATAGAGTGATTTATAATCCTTTCGGTATATACCCAGTAATGGGATTGCTGGGTCATATGGAATTTCTATTTCTAGGTCCTTGAGGAAGTGAAACACTGTCTTCTACAATAGTTGAACTAGTTTACACTCCCACCAACAGTGTAAAAGTGTTCCTATTTCTTTTCATACTCTCCAGCATCTGTTGTCTCCAGATTTTTTAATGATCACTATTCTAACTAGCGTGAGATGATATCTCAATGCAGTTTTGATTTGCATTTCTCTAGTGACCAGTGATGATGAGCATTTTTTCATATGTTTGTTGGCTTCATATATGTCTTCTTTTGAAAGGTCTGTTCATATCCTTTGCCCACTTTTTGATGGGCTTGTTTGCTTTTCCCTTGTCAATCTGTTTTAGTCCTTTGTAGATTCTGGATATTAACTCTTAAATGGGTAGACTGCAAAAATTTTTTCCCATTCTGTTGGTTGCCAGTTCACAAATGATTGTTTATTTTGCTGTACAGAAGCTCTGGAGTTTAATTAGGTCCCCTTTGTCTATTTTGGCTTTTGTTGACAATGCTTTTGGTGTTTTAGTCATGAAATCCTTCCCTATGCCTATGTCCTGAATGGTTTTGCCTAGGTTTTCTCCTAGGGTTTTTATGGTATTAGGTCTTATGTTTAAGTCTTTAATCCATCTGGACTTAATTTTAGTGTAAGGTGTTAGGAAGGGGTCCAGTTTCTGCTTTCTGCACACTGCTAGCCAGTTTTCCCAACACCATTTATTAAACACGTAATCCTTTCCCCATTGCTTGTTTTTGTCAGGTTTGTCAAGGATCAGATGGTTGCAGATGTGTGGCATTGCCTCCAAGGCCTCTGTTCTGTTCCATTGGTCTGTATCTCTGTTTTGGTACCAGTACCATGCTGTTTTCAACAATGTTTTATAGTTTTCAGTGATCTTTCTCCTCTTTTGATTAAATTTATTTCTAGGTATCTTTGTTTTTTATAGCTATTGTAAATGGGATTTTCTTGATTTCTTTTTCAGATTGTTCACTATTAGTATACAGAAATGTTTTGATCCTTGCATGTTGATTTTGTATCCTAAATTTTTACCAAAATCGTTTGTTAGTTCTAGGTGTTTTTAAGTGGAGTTTGGGATTTTCTATATATAAGATCATTTGTCTACAAAAAGGGACAGTCTGACTCCCTTCCTTCTAATTTGGATGTCTTTTATTCCTTTCTCTTGCCTAACTGCTCTGGCTAGGACTTCTAGTACTATTTTTAATAGAAATAGTGAAAGTGTCTTGTCTTGTTTTAGATCTCAGAAGAAATACTTTTAAACCTCTTTCCATTTAGTATAATGGTAGCTGTGGGTTTCTCATATATGGCCTTTGTTGTGTTGAGGTATGTACCTCCTATACCTAGTTTTTTGAGAGTTTTTATCATAAAGTATGTTGAATTTTATCAAATGCTTTTTCTGCATCTATTGAAATGGTCATGTGGTTTTTGTCCTTCTTTCTATTGATATGATATATCCTACTTACTGATTTGTGTATTTTAAATAACCGTTCCATGATCTTTTTAATGGTACACTTCTTTGAGGACTGTGATCCCATCACTTTGGGAGGCTGACGCGGGCAGATCTTAAGGTCAGGAGATCAAGACCATCCTGGCTAACACGGTGAAATCCCATCTCTACTAAAAATATAAAAAATTAGCTGCCGTGGTGGCATGTGCCTGTAGTCCCAGCTACGCGAGAGGCTGAGGCAGGACAATCACTTGAACCCAGGAGGCAGAGGTTGTAGTGAGCAGAGATTGTGCCACTACACTTCAGCCTGGGTGACAGAGTGAGACTCCTTCTCTAAACAAACAAACAATGAAACACATGGAATTACTGGGTAAAACTGGGAACAATCCACACTTTCAAAGAATTCTTTAGTTAGACTACTATGTAAGTCTGGTAACCACTCCTTATAACACTAGAATCCCAGAGATAGATGGAACAGAGTGATCAGATCATCCAGTACCATTTCCTAATTCATTGATGGGAAAGCAAAAGTCGAGAACAGCTGATTTTCCCAAGATCAGCACAGCTCTTCACAAAGTTAGGATCTGAACCCAGACATCATTAGTGTACTTCAGTTGTATATACCATCTCAATTTATAGCAAATAGCACTGTAACGTTTCTAGCTGCTGTTCTCCCAAACTCTCTCCTCTGATGCTCAGTTGTCAACAATGCTTGTACATTAACACAACTGTTAGCTTAATCAAGCACAGTAGTGACCCTAATTAGAAAGCAAAAAAGATACATGTGAACCCCTCAAAATGTTAGCAAAGGATGCCTATGAATTACCACACAGCCTAACTGCTAGTGGGATTTTATACTTAATTAAACTAAATCTGGGTAAGACACATCACATGTCAGATCTAGAAAAAAGATCTAGAGGGTATGGAGGTCAAGGTTTGAGTATGTTTGTCAGCTATAGAGTATCACTTGTATCAGACAGCCAAGGCTTACACTGGTCTGGTTCCAGGAAACACCAAAGAACAACTCTGTATCTAGCTTCATAGTCTCTGGAGCCATTTTATAGTTAGAGGCATGGAAGAGTTCCATGGAACAACCATGGAACTACAATCTAAGGGCAGTATTTTGAATATGGGCAAAGAGAACAGTGTTTTAGATATCCTACAAAAAAAAAAAAATACATGTTACTGCAGGGAATCTTTGGAATTTCTATGGAACACATTCCTTATCAGAGTAGTTGGGTATGATGATGATCCAAGCCTAGAATAATAATGTTCATAATCCAGTGTTCCTAAAGAAAGTGAATTGACCAAAAATATAAAAGGCAATACTATCATTCCAAACTAAAGCCCATGATGTATATCACATAATTCTTTTAGCTATAGATCCTGCTTCTGAAACAGTGTAACTCCATACAAATGATATAACTTTTTTTTAGGGAAACAATGTATTTATTCCATGCATTCTGTTCTGGCAAGGCAGATCTACTGTTGAGATCCACAGCCTAGAGAATCTGACACAGGTAGATACAGAGAACAGTTATAATTTTTCACTGTTTACATGCAAACTGGCATATGCACTACGCTACAGAATTCCCATCGAAGACACCAATTAACAAAATGAATTAATTACTCACTATATGTCACTCAAACAGAACAAAGATGAAGTAATCAGGAGAGAAGTCAGAGTTATCCAGTAAAAAGTAATCGGAGGTGTGTTTACATGAATAAAGATATCTTTCAATAAGAAAAAGTAGATTAGCAAAGCTAAATCCCGCATTTCTTTTTTTATTTTTATTTTTTATTGCATTTGTACTCTGGGGTATATGTGCACATCATGCATCCTGCAGGATTGTTCCATAGGTACATACATGCCATGGTGGTTTGCTATCTCCATCCCTCACCCCCCCGTTGCCTACATGAGGCATTTCTCCTGGTGTTCTCCCTCCCCCTCCTCTCCAACCACTCCACGCTGTCCCCCCGCTCCTCTCTCCTCCACCCTCTCACCTAGCCCTGTGAGTGTTGTTCCCTCCCCTGTGCCCAATTGTCCTCATTGTTCATCATCCGCCTATGAGTGAAAACATGTGGTGTTTGGTTTTCTGTTCTTGCGTCAGTTTGCTGAGAATGATGGTTGCTGGTTCATCAATGTCTCAAAAAGGACAGGAACTCATCGTTTTTTATGGCTGCATAGTATTCCATGGTATATAATTTTTAAGTTCTTTGTTATACTCAACCGTGAAGAGAAATAGCATTTTCAGATTTCTATTATAAGCAGGATTGGTGATACCAAAGTCATCTGACCCCAAATATCTTACACATTTCCTCTCTTCCTACCCCCAGATCCCTAAGGATAAAAAAAATTATCATCTAATGACACCCTTATAAAATGTCTTTTGGAAAGCTGTGTGAATTTACTGGGTTTGGGTACTATGTTTCCCAGAAATACAGCACAGGGATTAGTTTATCTGATCAAGATCCACTGGCCCCTAATAACAAGGAGAGAAGGGGCAAAAGTGGAAGCTGTCCTTGCTGTTGAAGGTAGAATAGAATATAAACCTTCACAAAAAGAAAGTCTAAAGCAGAAATGCAGAGGTGAGGTCCAGTCATCCAGTGTATTACACTGAGATTTCAGTCATCTAGTGCAGTGGTCTCCCCAACCTTTTTGACACCAGGGACTGGCTTCCTGGAAGACAATTTTTTCATGAACCTGGGAGCAGAGATGGTTTCAGAAGAATTAAGGCCCATTACATTTATTGTGCACTTTATTTCTATTATTATTACATTGTAACATATAATAAAATAATTATACAACTCACTATAACATAGAATTAGTGGTAGCCCCAAGCTTGTTTTTCTGCAACTAGGTGGTCCTATCTGAAGGTGATGGGAGACATGACAGATCATCAGGTATTAGATTCTCACAAGGAGCACACAATCTAGATCCTTCACAAGCACAGTTCACAATACAGTTTGCACTCCTGTGAGAATCTAGTGCCACAGCTGATCTGACAGGAGGCAAAGCTCAGGTGGTAATATGAGCAATGGGGAGCAGCTGTATATAGATAAAGTTTCACTTGCTCACCCACCGCTCACCTCCTGCTGTGCACTCCCCCATGGCCCAGGGGTTGGGGACCTCTGATCTAGTTGGAAATATGAGGGCACTGGGAATTCTGAGTATTCATCATTTAGCTCCCACAAGGTAGGTGAAACAGAATGAATGAGAAAATAATACTCTATGTATATATAAAATGCTTCACAAAAATCCAGTGATACAACCTATTGTATAGGCCTCAGCCATCTAATTATATCATCTGGTGACTAGAAGGTATGGTCATAATTACAACTGCTACTCACAATATGTGACTATTCCATTTTGAACACACGTTAAACATGCTGTATATTCAGTATTTCACAGCCCTTACCATTTTGTCAAAATGAAAAGGGCAATTACTCAAAATGTTCTATTTCTTACCAGTATCTCAGGACTGGGTGGTGGAGGAGGAAGCTGGACTGGAGGCAAGGTACTCAAGGCAAATCCTTGCTTTACTTTGTTTATTTGTTCATTGTACTGTGTCTGGTAGGAGAAGAGTAAAAATACTTCAGAGTGCAACCAACTTTAAAGAAACAGAATATGGGAATACTTGATGTAGTTTTGAATAATACAACATAGAAGATGGGTTCTCAACTTGTCAGAAATAATATAAAAACAGGTTCTGACTGAAAAGGAAAATTCTACAGACCATCCCCACATGTAAACAGTTGTATTTTTAGGAGTGGTTATTGGTTAATAAGAAACAGAGACACAGATAATTCAGAGATCCTTGTGATAATTCCTTAGTGTTTCCATAATTTTCAGCTCTAAAATAGGAAACACTGATATTAAGCACAAAAAGAGATTAAAGATTCAAGAAGCTATAAATATTATACTGGCAAAAAACAGGAAAAAAACGTATTTGTAACAAAGAGTTAAACTACTTGCAAATGTTCATTTTAAAAACTGAAGGAAAAATTATAGAGATTACTTATTAAATTCTACACTGTGTTTATCTCAACAACTCTAACTCTAGCTTGCTCCAGGTCCATATATATTTTATTCTCTTGGATTTTGCCAAAAATGAGACTCCAACCTGGAAGTTTAACAACACACTTTCAACATTTTTTGGCATTGTCCCCACTTTTGCTTACCATATTATTTTGTAAAGAGATGGAAAAGAAAGTCTTATAAAACAAAACGTTTAGAAACTTCTGCACAGAGGACATGTGCTCTGAAGGGCAGGTCTTGTGAGGCCAAAATTTTGAATAAATCCAACAGAAATGCTAAGCATCACTAAAGATTGAGTAAGAAAGGGCCGGGCACGGTGGCTCAAGCCTGTAATCCCAGCATTTTGGGAGGCCGAGGCGGGTGGATCACAGGGTCAAGAGATCGAGACCATCCTGGTCAACATGGTGAAACCCCATCTCTACTAAAAACACAAAAAAGCAGCTGGGCATGGTGGCACATGCCTGTAATCCGAGCTATTCAGGAGGCTGAGGCAGGAGAATTGCCTGAACCCAGGAGGCGGAGGTTGCGGTGAGCCGAGATCGTGCCATTGCACTCCAGCCTGGGTAACAAGAGCGAAACTCCGTCTCAACAACAACAACAACAACAACAACAACAACAAAAAAAGATCGAGTAAGAAAGAGTTTAGAAACAGTGAAAACCCCCAAAGGAGCAGGACAAATATACAGTCCACTTGGCATTTCACAATTTAATGACAATGCTTTTTTTTTTTTCTGATAGTGTTGTGAAATCACAAAACAATCAACATTATATATCCACCTTTATATATATATGTGTGTGTGTGTGTGTGTGTGTGTGTGTGTTCTAAAACAAAATTAATTAACATTCAGTGGATTATCTTTTGTAGCATTGTTCTACCAGTACTTAGGAATTTACTCTTTTGCATTGTAGAATAATTACATAAAAAGTTAGAGTGAAAACTAATACAGACCTACTTGATTTTCCTTTTAATTCTGTAAACACATTATTACTCAGAATACACGAAAACATTCAGTTTTTAATTCCAATTTCTGTTTTAGAGACAGTTCACTCTGCTGTCCAAGCTGTAGTACAGTGAGATGATCATAGTGCACCATAACCTGAGCATCTGGCTCAAGTGATCCTCTCACCTCAGCTCCCAAAATTCTGGGATTATATGCATGAGCCACTGTGCCCACCCAAAACATTTATGTTTGACTGGGGCATTATTAGGTTTGAAATTCAAGGAAAGCTAGGTGTGAGGGCACAATTTTTTAGTTTATTATTTTCTTGACTAAGGATACAAAAGACTACATGTGTGACTCAAGAATGTTACCTACAACCAACCACATAGAAGTAATATCAAACTGAAGGCATAAACTTTTATAACTAAAATGGAAAAATATATTCTTCCTTAAATTTTTCTACTAATATGTTTTCTAGCTTTACACTACCTATAACATTAAGCCAATTTACTCTAAATATATTTCAGGACTTACCCTGAGGAATGCAATCTTGTTTCTAACATCTGCCACTATGGCATTCCAACTGTCTACCGCAGCTTTTAATTGAAGTGATTCTAGGTTGCTGTTGTAGAAAACGAGACACAAAAGAAAGCTCTTTCTTTTTATAACACTTCAGTTTTCCAAATATTTCTATCATGCTTTCTAGCATAGTATGTCAACAAAAAACAAAATTACCCCCATCACAACAACAATTACCTCAAATGCACATAAAGATGTATGGACAGGTCTGTTACTAAAACTAAATACAAAAACCAGTAATAAAAAAATTAACTTTTCAAGAGCAAATATAATTTATGCTTCCAGAACAAGTTTTCTTCTATCTTGATGATGTATTTTTAGTACATATTATAAAACCTTTATAAGGTATCTTTCCAGTGAAGCAGGAAAACCTTAGTCATCTAATACAGCACTGTTCTCAAAAATGTTAACTCATGTTGGAAGCAAGTTTTGGACTATCTTCATATTAACTATGAAATCCAAAAGCAATGGTTGGCCTACATGGCTCCTTTCAAATTAGAAAAAGATACTGTCTATGGAAGGATAAATTAGAAATACCTTCTCTATCAGGATGAATGAGGTTGCTGCCTTTATACAGTATATAAATTGCACAAACAATAGTTTTATCAACACATGCGTATCAAATGAGTTAACAAAAGTAGAAACAACTTTGAAGTTGTTAGGGTCTATTATCTCTAGAAAACAAATTTCATATGGCCTTTTAAAAGGTTCTATCCATTATAACATCCCACGCCAGTACAACCCAGCCCAACAATTTTATAAGAGTTGAACAAGTTATCACTAGGATCATCTCATATAAAGAAGCTTCATAATATCCTAATGTACAGAGCACTCTCTCTCCTTCTAACAAGCAAAGATAGACTGACCATTTACAACAGTACTTTTCTGACTTGAACGCACAACAGTGTATCCTGATAATCTTGCTCATCAGACTCTGATTCTTTAGAATTAAAGAACAATGCTGATTATTAAAATGATAATCATTTAAAAATAATGATGCCTGGGTCCCAGAGATTCTAATTTAATTAATTCTTTAAGTTTGAAGGTATATCCCATAAGATTATAAATTTAAAGAGAATTTCACGCAATCTGTTCAATATTTGAAAATTACTCTATAATTACTATAAAAGCATAGCAGAAAACTACCTTTAACATATGATTTATGTGTTAATATTGATGTTTCCCTCAACATATTCCCTAGGTATTCAAAATCAGGCATTACAAAGGAAAACCATTAGAAAAAAAGTCTTCCAATTAGAATCCACCTTGTTTCATAAGTATCTGGTGTTTATATATGTCTCTGACTGAGAGACTTTTGATCTACTTCACTACGGAGGAAGGGAAAAATCTTTCAGCAGCTATTATTGTACATAGTACTCAGTGGACTTCTCAGTGCTTCAGCAGAAGCAGCCAAGTTACAAGCATCAAAGTAACCAAATGACTTTTGAGGTTTAAAAACAAAAACAACAAGAACTTCTGGTAAAAGGAATTTCACAGGGAAAAAAAATGAAAAAACAAACAAACAAACAAACAAACAAAAAAACAAACCCACAAAACCCCTAAGAGCTTCTTTAAGAACTCTGATGTCACATATGTAAAATACATCACAGATTACATTCAACTGTGGAGACAATTGCTAACATCTCTAAGATTAAGATGCATTAAGGAAGAGGGAAAGGTTACCTTGCTGCCATGTGAGTCACCCTGGCAAGTTGATTGAGACATTCCTTTTCAGTCTGCTCTAGATGAAGCAAACCAAAATCCCTACGACACTGTAAGAAATACACCTACAGGTTTTTGAGAGAAAGATAAAGAAGTTGAAGGTGTGCTTGTAAAAGAACGTTCTTTTCTCAATCATCTCAAGTAAATTTAAAGCTATTTCTCACTTTCTTCCAATAGCATCTGGGTTCCTTGACCATTCACGATACATTACAAAAGCTTTTAAATCAATGCCACCTCTGCAATTCTTTTTTTTTTTTTTTTGAGACGGAGTTTCACTCTTGTTACCCAGGCTGGAGCGCAATGGCGCAATCTCGGCTCACCGCAACCTCCGCCTCCTGGGTTCAGGCAATTCTCCTGCCTCAGCCTCCTGAGTAGCTGGGATTACAGGCACGTGCCACCATGCCCAGCTAATTTTTTGTATTTTTAGTAGAGACGGGGTTTCACCATGTTGACCAGAATGGTCTCGATCTTTTGACCTCATGATCCACCCGCCTCGGCCTCCCAAAGTGCTGGGATTACAGGCTTGAGCCACCGCGCCCGGCCTCACCTCTGCAATTCTAATTTCCTTATTTAATGGTTAATAGGTTGGTAAACATTCTAGAATGTATCTTTTCAACTTGGTACTCATACTGGAATCATCTCAGAAACTTTCAAAAATAGTGCCTTGGTCCCAGATATTCTAATTTGATTGATACTAGGTATAGCTTGGGCATTGGCATTTTTTAAAACTCTCTGGTAATTCTAACATGCATTAAAGTTTGAGAACACTCCTCCTATCTATTTTTTTCTCACTGATGAAGAGGTAAGAAAATAATCAGACCATACAGAAAGATATGGGTTTGGAGATTACATGGTCCAGTGTCTCTCCCATAGCAGGAAACCAGAAAAGTGTCACTACTTGCACAGTCATTTAGCTTCTGTTTTTCACTACTAATCACTCAGTATTCACTAAAATACACTGTTGGGCAGCATTAAGTATTAGAAAGTTCTTCCTTTTTAAAATTAACAATACAAGCACAGAGAAATTTACTGATTAAAAACAATAAAAAAACACTGTATACACTTGAGCTTTTAAAGTAATCTGAACTTTTTCCTTTGTTAAAGCTAGTATCTCAACAATATTCTTCATGAATTCTTGGTTCAGATATTACTTCTTGGTTGCTGACTTTCAGGATCCCAAGTTCTCTGCTGGAGAACAGAGTTTAACCCATGACAGAGGTGGAAGGTTTGTAATGTTTTTAATGTCAGGAAGCTCTCTAAAAATGTGAGTCTTATTGTATATCAAGTTTGGTTATGTACAAATGAAAATTACATACACATATACAATCATATTTATTTGGAGAGACCCTAGCTGTGGTATTCTAAGCTAACTTAGAAAAATTCGGGTAAATTTATGGTAGTCTGAAAAGCAAGTTGGTTTTTTACATTCAGGTGTATGATGTGTCTGTATTTTTTGTAAGATCTATATAGGAAGTGGCAGACAAATAAGATATTGTGGCAGTAGTAAAATGTTATTATTAGAAGTTTGGCTTAGTGACTTGGCTTCATGAGAATTTCCCAAGATGTCTGTATTTGCTATACACACTTCAACAGACTGATTTCTTCGAGTCACTGGGGGAGAACAACACAGGATCATCAAAACTGAAATATTCATACATGATAAGCCAATGAGTCAAAAAAGCACAAGACTTTGAGCTGTATTTTCCTGGCTGATCCTAAGATGTTTTATTTCTGTTTATACAAAAAATAGTCTTTTAAAAATTCTTTAGTATATGGTATACAAGTAAAACTTTCCCCCAACATTCCAATACCCCTGCCCTCGTTTTTTTGTTTTGTTTTGTTTTTACCTCGGCTGTTAAAGCTCTGCCAGTTTCTGTATTCAGTTTGCTCACATATGTTTTCATTGTGCTTTCCAGATTATGCTTTTCCATTTCCCACTGAGATCTGAAATATATGATCATTAAAGACTCAGCAATATTACATCAAGCACAGCCTTTTTCATCTTATTCAGGAGGAAAAAAGTTATACAATCAGTAGGAAGTTATTTCTTGGAAAAGTGTATAGCACATAGAAACAAGAGAAGATATTGTTCTGCTGTTATCCTTTACTATCAATAATATAGAAGTTTTAAAGCTATCAGGGTATAGGTTATGATTCAAAACTTGGCTCTGAAATCAAGTTGTCTGAGGATGAATCTCAGCTCCACAGCTTACCAAATGTTAAAACCCCTCAGCAAGTACAATGAACTGAATGTTTGTGTCCCCCCAAAATGCATATGTTGAAATCTTAACCCCCAAGGTGACAGTATTAGGAGGTGGTGCCTTTGGTAGATGATCAGTCATGAGGGTGCAACTCTAATGAATGGAATTAATGCCCTTTAAAAGAGGCCTGAGAGAGCTCCCTTGGCTGCCTTCTGCTATGTGAAGTCACAGCAAAAGACGACTGTCTATGAGGAAAGAGGTCCTCACCAGACACCAAATAGGCTGCCACTTCGATCTTGGACTTCCGAGCTTTCAGAACTGTGAGAGATACAACTCTATTTTTATAAGTTACCCACTCAGTGGTATCTTGATATACCAGTTCAACCTAAGACAGCAAGCTACTTAATTTCTCTATACCTCAGCTTAGAGGAAGAAATAGTACTACCTACCTTAAAGAGCTATTGTGAAAATTAATTCTGATAATACAAGGCACTTCGTGTTTAGCACATAATAAGCCCTAAATAAATGTTAGCTAGTATCATGATTAATATGTTCTACATGAAATTTTTATAAGCTTTTTTGTATCCCAACAACAGCAACCACATAGGTTTTTATTATTCCTGTCATTAAGTGAAGTCACTGCATTAAAATATTTTGATTGGTTATTTCAGTGTTCATAGTCAATGTTTTTGACAGAAAGCACACCCTATAGTTTGAAAGGGAAGGAGGGAGATGATGGTAAAGACATTGTTTACCGTCATCCCAAGGACATTAGGGAAGTGGTTACCTTTAAGGTTTCTTTTTTTATTCTCATCTCAGTTTCTTACACTTGACTCCAAGAATTCTATATACAAATCAAATTCTAAATGTAATGAAAACAATTAATTGAAAATATAGCATTATAATAGAGACAGTCACAAAGGCCATCCTCAATGTTTTATTATTAGAAACACTTGGAGCTGGGCGCAGTGGCTCAAGCCTGTAATCCCAGCACTTTGGGAGGCTGAGGCGGGTGGATCACGAGGTCAGGAGATCGAGACCATCCTGGTCAACACGGTGAAACCCCGTCTCTACTAAAAATACAAAAAATTAGCTGGGCATGGTGGCGCGTGCCTGTAATCCCAGCTACTCAGGAGGCTGAGGCAGGAGAATTGCCTGAACCCAGGAGGCGGAGGTTGCGGTGAGCCGAGATTGCGCCATTGCACTCCAGCCTGGGTAACAAGAACGAAACTCCGTCTAAAAAAAAAAAAAAAGAAACACTTGGATACTTGAGGACCTAACAAACATTGATGAGAAACTTGGTAACAATATCATCACTCTCCCTTCCATAATTTGTACACCTTTCAAAGAGTGTCTGCTCTTAAGATGACTGCTAGCGGCTTCTTAGAACTGTATTTATTTATTTTTTAATAGTCCTCACAATGTGCCAGGTGCTGTTTTTGGTGATTAACACAGATTTTTTTTTTTCTTTTTTATTATACTTTAAGTTCTGTGGTACATGTGCAGATCATGCAGGATTGTTACATAGGTTTAATTATATCATTAAATATCATGTGAAATTTGCCTATAGGAAAAAATAAAAAATTGGACTTTATCAAATTAAGTTTTTTAAATGACATCAAGAAAATGAAAAAGCAACCCACAGGATGAGAGAAATATTTGGAAATCATGTATCTGACAAGGGACTTGTATCTGATCAGGGACAAGAACTCTTAAAACTCAACAATAAAAAGACAATCTAATTTTTTAAATAGGCAAAGGACTTGAATAGACATTTCTCTAAGAAGATATATAATTGGCCAATAAGCACATGAAAAGATGCTCAACATAATTAATCAGTGGGAAAATGTAAATCAAAATCACAGTGATATACTACTTCACGCATAATATAACGGGTAAAATAAAGATGCAATTTTAACAAGTGTACCAAATGTTGATCAGAATGTGGAGAAACTGAAACTCTCATACACTGTTAGTGGGATTATAAAATGGTACAGCTACTTGGAAAACAGTTTGGCAATTCCTCAAAAAGTTACACTTAAAGTTTACTCAACACCCAGCAATTCTACTCCTTGCTACAAACCAAGAAATACAAAAACATGTTCACAAATCTGTATATAAGTAACAATAACAGTATTCATGATGACCAAAAAAATGGAAACAAGCCAAATGTCCATCAACTGATGAAAAATAAAATAAGGTATATCCAAGGAATGAAATATTATTTATCCATAAAAAGGAATGAGTAATGATACATCCTACAACATGGATGAATTTTGAAAATATGTTAAGTAAAAAATGTTATAAGAGGCTACATATTACATAATTGCATTTATATAAAATGTCCAGAATAGGCAAATCCATAGAAGTAGATTAGTGGTTGCCAGAAGTGGGAGGACGGGAGAATAGAAAATGATATCTAATGAGTTCCTTTTTTGAGGTGATTAAAATGTTCTGGAAATAGATGGTGGTGATGACTGTAATCCTCTGTGAATACACTAAAAACAAATCAATACATTATATATTTTAACAGAGATAACTTTATGCTATATGAAATAGATTTCAAAAAGGTGTTATTAAAAAAATTACCCACAGGCAAAATAGATGAATAAGAATGAAACTTGGCTAATTTCATAAAGCAGTCACACCTAATAGTACTGATTTGGGTAACTCTTAAGCTCTAGTCTCTGGAAGTAGTTTGCTGTGGGACTATAACACTGCTGATACAGATTCTTCTGGCAGTTTTCTAGAGTCAGAGCTAAAGTGACCATATCTTCCTATTTGCCTAAGATACTCCGAGTTTACGCCTTTTGTCTCAATGTATTATTAATACTGTTCAATAGCAGCCTCAAAAGTACCCCAGTTGGAATGATAAATTACATTTATATGCCAGCCAGAAAGCGTTGAGTGAAATACACAGAGAGAGTGCACCCAAAGAAAAAGCTAAGTTTGTTACCTTTTCATGGAAAGTTGTTCTTTAAGGTTCTTGATTTCATTATCTTTAGTATGGATTTGACGCTGTAATCTAAGCAAGCAAACAAAGTCAAAAAATGTTAGAAAATATTTCTCATTAACACAATCAGAACAGCTCTAGCTACAGCTGTGCAGGAGCCCAAGTATGTCCATTTGGGGCCACAAATCTTGAGCCTGAATACAACTGAACTCCTATACCTGATCCTTTTGAAATATATATTGTTTCTGATGTCTGATTTACTTCCTAAAGAAAAGGGAACTAAGTTCTAATTCAGTAAATTAGACAGCAAATCTTGTATCCTCAGCTCAATGACGTGGAAAAATGTCTTTAGCTCTTCATGCTTCAGCTTACTTATTAGAAAACAGAGATGGTATCTTCTGATTTTCTAAGACTGTTGTGAGATTGAGAACTTTAAGTTCCTTAAAGTGGTATTATATCAAGTCACACAAATTAGAAAGACTGATCTGAAGGAAATCAGACCTTAAATACTGAAGCGACAAGGGTGTGTACAAATACTAATTTTAATTAAAACTATGACTTAGCACCCGGGGGTCACTCATATGATCTTATCATGGAAAGAATGGGTAAAAATTTTGTATAAATCAAAATCTATATAGCCTGTTATCGGCTTCAAAATTAGTATGTAAGAAACTAAGAGAAATATGTTTTTGCTTGACATATATTCACATGCCATTAAAAAAAATTTTTTTTAAATTGCATTTTAGGTTTTGGGGTACATGTGAAGAACATGCAAGATTGTTGCATAGGTACACACATGGCAGTGTGATTTGCTGCCTTCCTCCCCCTCACCTATATCTGTCATTTCTCCCCATGCTATCTCTCCCCACCTCCCCACCCCCGTCCCTCCCCCATTTCCCCCCAACGGACCCCAGTGTGTAGTGCTCCCCTCCCAGTGTCCATGTGTTCTCTTTGTTCAACACCCGCCTATGAGTGAGAACATGCGGTGTTTGATTTTCTCTTCTTGTGTCAGTTTGCTGAGAATGATGGTTTCCAGGTTCATCCACATCCCTACAAAGGACATGAACTCATCTATGATAGACTGGATAGGGAAAATGTGGTACATATACACCATGGAATATTACGATGGGCATTTGGGTTGGTTCCAGGTCTCTGCTATTGTAAACAGTGCTGCAATGAACATTCGTGTGCATCACATGCCATTTTTGATGTTCCTCCCTTATGCCACTGTATTTCTTTTCACAACCAAGCTTTTACATAAACCTAGTAATTAACTTAAATATTAAGAGATTTATAATAAAAGCACATTGCCCTTTAAGTCTCTAATCTGTTTAAACTCTTGGAATACATAGAAGAGTTTGGTTAATATAAAGTATTGGAATAATAAGTCCTTGAAATGACAACTTTAATGTTGGATGGATTGCTCACTACTTAGATGTCAGAGACTAGCCATTCACCTTTACTGTAAACTTCTCAGAAGACTTAGAGATTTACAGTTAATGTTCTGTTGGTCTGAGAATGCAGTGAAAAGAAACCAGGTCTCTTTCTGTACAAAAGAGGTCATGTTCTCAAGTGAAATATTAAGAAATATAAGCTTCATTACTGTGACACATAGGAATATGTTGACAGAGTTGAAAAAGCAGTAATTTGTAAGACTGACATCTTGTTCTCCTTTGTATACTTCCATTACTTCAATATTCTATCTAGCTCTAGTTTGCAGTGGGCAATAAGAGTAGACATAACTAGTGGGGAATTCAGAACACCTAGATTCTTAAATAATAGAGGATAAGGTAGGCATAGTTCTTATTATCCAGCTCAGATAAGAGCCAGCTACATATGTTCAGGTAGTTTTTTTCTCATGTTTAATATGACAGGATGAAATTATTATATTTTCTTTTCTAAAAAATCTATAAAGTTCTCAAGTTAACTCCGGATATCGAGTTTTATTACAGACTTTATTGACAGCAGTTTCTTGATATTTATTAAGTGCTTACTGTAGTTTATGCAAAGTAAGTCACTTGCATAAAATTTTCTTTTTAACACTTTATCATCAACAAATGTTTGCCAAACATTTACTGCACACATCAAACTGAATTAGAAAAAAAACAAAAAAACAAAACATGATTTTTTGCTTTCTAATCTCCATATTCTAGGATGAAAGAAGCCAGCATTTACAATTAAGGAATATTTATATTTTATCACTTACTCTTGGGCAATGATTGGATGAATTAAACAAAGAAAACATTGAAAAGCTTATATGAGAACACAGATGAGTCATTATGTCCATTCTGCCTTGATGCCCTGTCTTTTCTTCCATCTCATCCCACCTAACCTTCAATGCCGAGGTTCAGTACTATGTCTTTAATAAAGTTCTTCACTGAAGGAAGTTCCTTATCACAACAATCAAAAGTATTCTATCTACTCTACAAAATTTCCATTAAGTATATCCTTGCTTGACAGTTTTTTATTACGTACTTTTAAAAATAGTCAAACTTTTTATTTAGAGAGAATTGTAAATTCATATGCAGGTATAAGACATAATATACAAAGATCCCATGTATCCTTTTCCCAGTTTCTCCTAATGGTAACATCTTGCAAAATTATAGTATAATACCATAACCAGAATATTGATGGTGATACAGTCAAGATACTGCACAGTTCTATCATCACAGGGATCCTTCATTTTGCCCTTTTAAAGCCACGCCCACTTCCCTTCCACTCCCATTCCCTTCTTATAACATTGGAACCACTAATCTATTTTCCGTTTTTATAATTTTGTCATTTCATGAATGTTCAAGAAATGGAAACATATAGTATATAAGCTTTTGGAACTTTTTTCCATTCAGCATAATTCTCTGATGTCTGCAATGTTTGTAGTATTTGCAGTGATATCACTATTTTATTCTGGATGGTAGTAATTTATGTCTTTTCTCTTATGTTGTCAGTCTTGCTAGAGGTCTGTCAATTTTATTGACCTTTTCAAAGATACAGTCTTTTGTTTCACAGATGTTCTCTACTATTTTTCTTTTTCCAACTCATTCTTTCTTAGTTTCTTGTTTTTGAGATGGGGCCTCACTATGTTGCCCATGCTGAACTGTAACTCCTGGGTTCAAGCAATCCTCCCATCTCAGCCACTCAAGTAGCTGGGACTACAGGTGTACACCACTGCATCCTGCCTCCATTATTTCTAATCTTTATAATTTCTTTCCTCCTGCTTGCTTTAAGTCTATTTTGGTTTTCTTTTTCTGGGATCTTGAAGTAACAGCTTGGATTACCCACTGAAGACTTTTCTCTTTTTCTAATGTGTCTGTCTGTTTAGTGTTATCATCTTCTCAGCACTGCCTCAGCTGTGTGGCACAAATTTTGATATATTGTATTTTCATGTAAATTCAATGTATTTTGTTTATCTTGAGATCTCTTCTTCGACCCATGGATTATTTAGACATGGGTTGCATGGTTTCCAAGCCTTTGGAGGTTTCTTGGTATCCCCATGCTACTGATGTCTAATATGACTCCATCGTGACCTGAGAACATGCTTTGTATGATTTCAACTCTTAAATTTGTTGTTGAGGTTTTACGGCCCAGGATATTGTCTTTCTTGGTAGACACATCCTGTGGTCACTTGAAAGCATGTGTATTCTACTGTGGTCTGGTGGGTTATTTTATAAATATCAATTAAGTCCTGTTGGTTGATGGTGGTTATTGAGGTCTTCTATATCCTTGCTGATTTTCTGTTTAGTAATATTATAAATCGAGAGTGGGGTTTGAAGTATTCAATTATAATGGTAAACTTCTCTATTTCTCCTTTCAGTTCTATCAGGTTTTACTTTATGTGTTTTGAGGATGTTTTTGGACATATACCTTAAGATTCCTGTGGATTGATCCTTTTATCATTATGTAATGTCCCTCTTTGTGTACAGCAGTCTTCTTTCCTCTGAAGTCCACTTAATCTAATTTTAATATAGCCACTCTTACTTTCTTTTTTATAAACCTCTGCATGGTATATCCTTAGCTTTATTCTTATTTAGGTCCCTTTACCCTCCTCACTTTTTGAATATATTGCGTTTCTTCTACGTACATTGAATTCCATGAGATGGTGTTAAACTTTTTGCTTCAACCATCAAATACGATTTAAGAAATTAATAAACAGTAGAACAATCTCTTATTATTTATCATACTCTTTACTCATTCTGATGGTCTTCTTTCCTTTCTGAAGTTTCAAGCTTCTATTGTATATCTATTTTTAATGTTTAGAGACCTTTCTATAGTCATTCTTTAAAGGTAGGCTATATGAATTTACTAGCAATAAATTCTTATAATTTTCCCTTGTCTGCGACTATCTTTATTTTCCTCTATTCCTAAAGAATATTTGTGCTAAATATGGGATTCATGGTTCTGCTTTTTTCTTTCAGTAACTATTTCATTCTGGTCTTCATGGTTTCAAATGAACAAAATCTGTTGTCATTCAAATTACTGTTTCATAAGTAATTTTTTTCTCTGCTCTTTTTCAAGACTTTTTTTTGTCTTTTATTTTCAGAAGTTATGATGTGTCTTAGCATGGATCTTGGAGTTTTTGCTATTTGGGGTTTATTTAGTTTGGGGTTCACTTAGTTTCTGAATTTGTAAATTTATACATTTCATCAAATTTGGGAAATTTTCAGTATTTCTTCAAATAATTTTTCAGTCTCCCTCTCATTCTGCTCTCCTTCTGAAATTCCAGTGACAAGTACTTTAGCTCTTTTGTTACTGTCCCACAGGTCCCTTAACACTCTGTCTTTTTCATATTTTTCTCTCAGTCTATTTTCTCTTTGTTCTTCAGATTGAGTTCATTCTATTCAGCTGTCCCCATGTTCACTGATTGAATCCTTTCCTTTGTCATCTCTACTCTACTAGTGAGTATATCCAGCAACTTTTAATTTTAATCACTGTATTTTCTAGTTATATAAATCCCACTCTTTATTATAACTTATTATTTCCTTACTGAGATTTTCTATGTTTTCATTTATATCAAAATTATTCAGTTTTGTTGAAGCATTTTTATGATGGTGGCTTTAAAATCCTTGTTAGATAATTCCAATATCTGAATAATATTGTGATTTGCTGGTCTTTTATCCTTCTTGTCTGAGTTTCCTGGTTCTTGGTATAGTCTATGTTTTCTACTCCACCCTAGATATTTTGAATATTATGAGACTCTGGGTTCTATTTAATCTTCCTATTTTTAACAAGCAGTCTCCTATTGAGGTATAATGTAAAAGCCAAGGAAGGTGGGTATGCATGGCTTTGCACTGTGCTCTACGAAAAGCACCCCAGGAAAAGTGGGCACTGACTCGCACTGCCTCAATGCAGATGAGAGGTGTACAAGTTCAGCTCCCCTCCCAGTCCCACTGATACCTTCCTATGAAAGCGGAGCACCAAGTCACACTGCCTTCTTGCCGCCAAGTGGAATATAAGATCAGCTCTTTGCTGGACCCTGCTGACATTAGGAAAGAAGAAAGCAAAGGACTGACTCACAGTACTTTGTCGCTGCAGGGTGGAGGCAGTTCAGCTCCCCGTTGTGCCCTTCTAGCACCAGCTGAGGGAAGGGAGTAAAGGGAATGCCAACTAGCCCCATGGGTGAAGATTTAATTCTCAGTGAAGAGGGAGTACGGATGAAGCCTAGTATTGACTAGTTTTGCCTCAGACTGGCTTGTTAAGTAATATTGGTGCTGAGTAGCGGGAAAGTTCAGCTTTCAGCTGACTGACACATCCTGCAGAGGAATTAAAGTACTGTCTCCTTCTCCCCAGTGGAACATGGAAGTCGGCTGCCTGGTTAATACTGCCAACACTATCCTAACAGAAAAACAGGATTCCTGCTACCTACTTATGTTAGATGGGAGAATTGGTGTGTACTGCCTACTTCCAAGGGGTGGCATGGGACCACTTGTGTGTGGCTTCAGTAGGGTGGGTATTGCCAAAAAGCCTTTCTATTATTATAATTTCCTTTTACTGATCCTTTGGCTAGAAGAAACAGGCTTTTTTAGAGTTTTTTTTCCCCTCTGCTTTTTAGCAATTCCAGGTTAAAGGCTTTCGCAGTGCCCCGAGATATATGGGAGGCAATCGGAAAATTTATTGCCAGCTCATTCCTTAAGTCTCAATGTCTTTAGACAGCATGCTTTCTTATTCCACCTTCTAGAGTGTTACTATGCTTTTCTGTTGTGTTATAGCTAGGGTGTTTAAGTTTTTAAGAAGAAACAGCTGTGAGAAATGGGGCTATACATCTTAGTGGACCTGAAGTCTCTGTTTTATGTAATTTTATCCTTACATGTTAATCTACATTCTCCATTGGATCATAATGAATGTCTCACACATTTGGTATCTTCTACATGTGCCTTCTGTAAGTTTTCTAACATAGTAGGCCCCTGATAAATGTTTGGTGAATGCCCAACACTAAATGCTCATTTTGTGAAGGCATATGCATCCCCTAAAGTGGACTGCTTATAGCCTCAAGCATGTAAGAGTACATGGGCCACCTGTCAGGAGTTGAGGAGGAATATCTTCAGATGGAAGAAAGTCAGCTCATCTGTACTGATGGCATTGCTTTTCTAGTCTCTGATATGATATGACATATTTCTAGATTAGTCATCCTCTTTAGGCTAAAAGATGAAGTTTTGAATTCTGAAGTACAGTTTTTTTTTTTTTTTTGAGACGGAGTTTCGCTCTTGTTACCCAGGCTGGAGTGCAATGGTGCGATCTCGGCTCAACGCAACCTCCGCCTCCTGGGTTCAGGCAATTCTCCTGCCTCAGCCTCCTGAGTAGCTGGGATTACAGGCACGTACCACCATGCCCAGCTAATTTTTTGTATTTTTAGTAGAGATGGGGTTTCATCATGTTGACCAAGGATGGTCTTGATCTCTTGACCTCATGATCCACCCGCCTCAGCCTCCCAAAGTGCTGGGATTACAGGCTTGAGCCACCGCGCCCGGCTGAAGTACAGTTTTTTAAATGATTGCAGCCAGCTTCGTTTGTCTAAGCTTTCTTAAGTCCCACAATCTTCTAAACTTGAATGATTCTCTCTAACTCTAGTAAGGATCAGTCTGACGATGCTAGTGAATGAAATTATGGTGTCAGAACTACGGCATCTAGTTCTTGCTAATAACTCCTTCATGCGGCAGATACAATATGTGAGAGAAAACTTAGACCTAAATCTCTGGCAAATATTTCCCCAATTTTATAAGAAACAGCTTGGACTCCCCACTCTAAGACATTCCCAGCACTTGTCTATTCTCCCTATCAGCATTCTAGGAACTGAATTGTATTTTAAACTAGACTTTTTGGATGGCTGGTGTCTTACGGTATTAGTTTGTTAAAATAATTTGGTTGAAACTAAGCTACTATTTAAATCAATACAGGTTGGAAGCAGTGATTAGCACAGAAAGAACAAACAAGGTTACTAATTTTTCCCTAAGTCAGTCAGAATTTTTGGTCAGGATACATAAAGTGTATCCTAAACTTTAGGTTTAGGAGAAAAGAGATTGGGGTAAGGTGGGAAAGAGTCAATCAATCAAACAAACAAAGAGATTTGTTTTCAATCTCACAGGCTTAGAACACAAATGCTCTGAGAGACCAACGTAAAAATGCACTCAACTGATTCTCTGGTGTCTTTGAGGAATGTATTCATATACTATAAAGAAACAGCCAATCATTGGTCACATTTTTACAAATTAGAGTCACGACCTGAAAGTTAATTATCTTTCTCATGTAATTCTATTATATTCACACTTGTTCGCCAATACATGAAAAGCTTGATACATAGTGTGAGCAGCTGCTTATTTCTCAATCCAGTTGGCAAGACAAAAATATGGTTGGTTTTTAAACAAGTGTAGCCTTGTGGTTGGAGTTCCCAATGTGTAGTCACAGTGCCACCTAGTGGTTATGCAGGGATTAAGTATTAAGGATACTGTTTATTATGGGGCAAATCCAGAATTTTCCTTTTATTAAAAGATTTACACTTACTTGGAAACCTTATTGATTCCAAAAGCCACTTGTTGATTAAGAGATGAAATAATTTTGTCTTTCTTTTTAATCTGCATTTGGTTTTCTTGCCACCGAAAAGTCACTGTTCTCAACTGTCTTTTGAAATCCTGATCAATAAAAATATTATTTCAGATAATTCTGTTCAAATCACCAGAAATTGAAAGAAAAATGCAAACAAACTAAGTTTTTTCAAACAGAAAGCACCTGTAAGTTTAATATTTGAAATACTTCTCACTTCCCTCGGATCTAATGGCAAAAATACTTACTTCACACTGATAGTGCAATTTATAAAGCTGCCTTTGACGAGCAAGCCTTTCCTTTTCAGTTTCTCCATAGTCTGTAGTTACCTTGCCAGCTGAGCCCTATTGAGCAAAGGAAATATGCATGTCTTACTTTCCTCTAAAAAACACTAATTTTTAGTTATTTGAAAGGGATTTAAAGTTGCCATCTAACTCCTGTTCATGTTTTTTGTCTCAAGTAAAACACCCAGCTTAGATAAACTCACCATTAGATAAACCCACTACCCTCAATTACAGCATTTAATAAAGAGTACCAGTTACTTGCCTGTTGCTGCTACTGCTGGATACCACTAACTGCATGCTTACCATTTCTTAAGCATTTTCTTTGTAAGAGTAATGCTTTTATTGTCATAAGAACCATATGATGTAGACAGTCATTATTTCCATTTTAGAGATGATAAAATAGTGAGTAACTTGCCCAAAATCACATAGTAAGTGGAGGAGCCTGCATTCTAACTCAGGCAGTCTTAATTGCCCAAGCACTTTATTACACTGCATCATCTGAGTTTAATGTTCAACTTATCCACTAGATTGTAAACATTGTAACAGAGACTCTGTCTTAGCATAGCTCTTGACAAAATGCAGGTGAATGTATCATTTCAGTTAAAATGTACATATTCTAATTAGGAGAAGAAAAAGGTATGACAATTATATGAATGTTGTACTATCAGCCAAGGAATCATTTGTACTACTGTACCCTTAGACAGTGAGTATTCCTACATATTATATACCACTATATTTAAACAGCAGAGCAGGTTATCACTGAATTCACACTAGCAGGTAAAAAAAATTGTTTTTTAAAAAAATTCTTTCATTTGCTGTTGAGCACTTAAATCATGTTCACATGCCTCTTCACATATAGGTACATCATTCCAAGCAGTGTCTACTACCAGGAATGGAGCCAGAAAAAAAAAATGGTTATACGTAGCCATTTTTGTAGCCATTTCATGGTAAAAATCATATTTAATTTTAAAAAATCAAAGCAGCTTTATATTACAAAACTATTTTTCTCATGACCGTAATCCAGTGGTATTATGCTAGTTTTTTTTTTTCCTTGTGGTATTCAAAAAATGTTTGCAACAAAAGCATCTGTAATCAACTTTGCCCTATATTTAAAGCCAGGAAATGTTTGAGGGCTAAGGTGAAGTTTCCTGAAGTTTCCAGCTTCTAGGGGTTCTTTATTTTTTATTCCATTTTCCTTCATATAGCCTTCCTTATCTCCTTTTCTGTTTTTCTCTTTCTCTTCACAAACAGTATAAATCACTTGGATTTTCAAAGGGTTATGCTGTTCAAACAGTCACAGGAAAAACCAGGTAACAACTGAATCTGAGAGAAGGCAGGCACCCTCTCCAATCAAGCTTACCTGCTCTATCATGTCCAAAATATGCAATTCATCCAGGCTATAAAACTTATCTTCTGTTGCAGAATCCTCTTGAACATCACTTGCATCATCTTTTATAAATCTACTGACTGAGTGTGGATTTGCTTCTTCTTTCTTCAACTGCTCTTCCTTTTCTACCATATATGGGCTATAGTGGCAACATAATCAATGTGAGCCTTTACAATTGTACAGTGATTTTCACCTAAGCTACGGCTTCCCAAATTATTATTGTACTGGTTTCATGAGATGCTCAGCATTAGAAGGGTTCATGGTCAAAGAAAGTTTGGATAGTGCTCATGAGTCTTTTGAAGATTCACAATGAACATTAGCATATTTAAAGTAGCACTCAATCAAGGTACCTATTTAATTCTGTTCATGCCACTGTTTTCAAAAATTATGACACTACAGAGTTCACTTTACAAATTATAACTAGTAATATCAGCTGCTTTGGAAAACAGTATTTCAGAAATACTGGCAAGCATTTCTGCATCTATTATTTTACCATTATAACATCCTTTGTTCTGCCATAATTTCTTTGACAAGTAGGTTGGTTTAAGCAACTTCAGTGATTAGGTCCAATGTACTTTTAAACAGAAGGTCAAAAACAGCAACATAAAACAGACTATAAAATGGAGGTTTCTTTTGTAACAAGACTTTTAAAAAAGAACTACAGTAATAACATGGATTTCAGTAACTTAACTACTAACAGAGACCACTTTTAAATAATGAAAATACTATATACAAATGATAGCAATTAACTAATTTCTATTCTTTTTTCTAAAATTTAATTGCCTGGTACTGTCCTTTCACTTGGCCTGCTACTTACTAGCTACAAATTTCCTTCCTAATCTCTTTGAATGGCAACAAGAAATAGTATTTTTACTTAAGACTGTAATATAAATGACTTGATTTAGCTAGTGAACAGAAACTCCAGGATACATTATTACTTTTTAGAACACTGAGATCTAGAAAAAATGAAATCTAATGCTTGTGGAATAATTCATAAAATACTATATAAGCAGTAATTAGGTATTACTGAGGTATTCTAGAGTGATCCAAACATTCTGAAAAGTTTGATGAAATCAACTGCTTGTGTAGAACACTGAGTCTCAAACATAATTACGTTTCTAAATTATCTGAAGAGCTTTTAAAAATTACATGTTTCTAAACATCCCTACAACTGTAAAAATACAGATAAATTTCTATTTTTGAAAAGTTCACCGAGGTTATTCCTAAATTTTTTAAAGTATACTCAGGCATTGCCTAACAACAAGGACAATTTCTGCAAAATGTGTCATTAAGCGTTTTTGTCATAACATAATATCATAGAGTATTATTATACAAAACTAGATGGTATAGCCTACTACACACCTAGGCTATATAGCATAACCTATTCCTCCTAGGCTATAAACCTGTTACGGCATTTTACTATACTGAATATGATAGGCAATTGTGATAAGTATTTGTGAATATAAACATATCTAAACATAGAAAAATTACAGTCAAAATGTAATATAAAACATAAAAAATTGTACACCTGTATAGGGCATGTATCATGAATGGAGATTAAAGGACTGAATGGTGCTCTGGGTGAGTCAGTGAATGAGTAGTGAGTACCACATACTACTATAGACTTTAAAATAAACATGGTAAACTTAGGTTACATTAAATTTATTAAAAAATAAAGTAATATCACTACAATGTTATGACAGCTACACCACTACTAGACAATTGGAATTTTTCAGCTTCATTTTAGTTTTATGGGACCACCATCATACCTGAGGTCTGTCCTTGACCAAAATGCTGTTAAGCAGTACAAGACTGTACTATAACAGCATTGAGACAATATAAAAAATGTTCATATTTCTAAGATATAAACTGAAGAATGAAGGGGTGAAAGTAAAAGGATGTTTGGGATTGAAAACACTTCAGTAAAGAACAAAATGTCAAAGGAAGTATGAAACAAATGTGAAAAACAGAATAATTGTTGAATCAAAGTGATAGGTATATATGTTATTGTATATATATTATTCTCTTTACTTTTGTGTATATTTGAAATTTTCCATTTAAAGACAAAGCTCCTTGGATGTTCTGATCATCATCCAGATTTGGATCCACTGTGTAAGCAAAATGACTGTCGACATTGTTTCATCTTTATTAAACTATATTTATGGCATTAGACACAGCCTAAAAAACAAACAAAAACTATCGTTCCAGTGACTCAACCTGTTGCCAAAGAAAGTGAAAACACATCTTAAATGATGAACTATTTTATATACCAAGTGGATCACATCAATTGAAAATATCAACTACAAGTGACAGACTGAAAGTTAACAAAGTATGTTCCTCTTGCTGCTGTTTTGAAGATACTTTATGTCCTCAGAGTTCTCTGAAGTAACTACTATTCAATTAAACATTTTGGTAGAAATTATGATCTCTTCATTAGGCTGTCTCCACCCCTTCCTTCATATGCTACACTGTTGTTAATAATACAAGCTACATGCAAAATACAGTGACTTTTTGGCCATTAAAATGTTTCCATTAAAGGTTCAAAATTCACTGTGAATAACTGGATTTAAAAAAACAGGTTAAATCTTAAAAACAAAGCCAAACTTTTTGGTAAAAGGGGTGACTGGGACATAACGATGCATCCTTTAAAATCAGGTCTTAGTCTAGGTTTGGTCTAGACTACAATGTCTAGACTAAAATGCAGTCTAACTATCATGTAGACTATATTTTAAAATGACTCAAGTAGCCTTACAGAAAAATGATAAGAGGTTGTATTCTTCCAAAGCAAATAATAATGTTAAATGATAATTTAGCTTTTTGTTACTTTCTATAAAAAAGCAGCAACTTATTAATTACTAAGACAAGAAACTATTCTTCTCTTGGGACGTTTTCTCAAGGAAAATGAGTCCTGATATGACACATCTTCCTTCTTTGGCGAAGTTTTCCTTGAGAAAACTTATAATAAAATGTTTTTATTATTTTCAAGGAAAACCTCGCCAAAGAAGGAAGACTGTGTCATATTAGAAAAGTATGCCTTAAAAATACTAAGAAAAACTTAAAAATTAAATAAAGTAATACTTACACTTGCTCTTCATTTGAGTCTGTATTCTGAAAAATAAAGTAAGAATCAGTTATCTATATCAACTATATCAAAACAACATAATAGTAATATGATTGCATATAGGTCAGTTTTTCTCAAAAAATTTTTGATCATAACTAAAGTAAGAAATATATTTCATCATGTCATATGTACTTATACATATATTTTTACACATAAGTATAAAACTGAAATAAGAGTTCCATGAAATAAAACTTACTCATATTGTAGTGATGAACTCTAGTATTTTATTATTTCTATTTATTCTATTTTCTTTTCTTAAAATGGCAGTTGTGAGCTACTAAACTGGTCTTATAATCTATTACTGAGTCTTAAAACATGACTTGAAAATCACTGATTCCGATGATAGAAATGAGTATTGCAGCTGTGTTTGTACTGATTACTATGCCTTTGGACACAATGTATGTAATTCCAGTATATTCTTACACTAACTACAAATGTTCCTGAAAACTTACACATGAGAAATCAGACTGATACATTAAGAATCTCACAGAAAAAGAAGTGTTAAGAAGAACAAAATTTGAAAAAAAACCTTAAAAGCCTAAAACTTTGTTTATTAAAAGAAAACTATAAAGGCAACATACCAAATAAAGGTAATATCAATGACATTTAACACATATTAAACTAAGAGTATTACAGTATTAATTTCTACCTCCTCTTGCATACAAGAAACTTCAGGGTCTCCTTCTCCACAGATACAATGCTGTACGTACAAATTTGTTTACTTTCTTGTCTGTATATTAAGATTTTTGTGTTTCAGTGTCTGACCTTATGCTTAATATACAGTGCCAATTTGATTCTATGATTTAGAATTATTGACTCCTGTCTTTGCTCCAGTGTACTTGAATACCTGAGTTGAAAAGACTTTAGGTTGTTTACAATAAACACATCTAGCATAATGGATTATTTCTCAAATTCCTTTTGGCTCTTCCCATGACAACTTTATGCCAATGAATATATCAGCCACACGAAACCACCCAATTTGATAGGCTCAATTTATTTCCTGTCATGTTTCCTTTTTCCCAAAGCTTCATCACAAAAGTGTTCTATTCTTTTGCCCTACTTAACCCTAAGTGGAGGATGGGAGGATCTAATTAACCCCCAAAAGAGTTATTTACAATTTGGGTACATTAGAAGCCAAATACTAAATACTTAACTGAAGAAAGGGAACATACAGAGTAGCTACAAAGTTCCCATACCTTCTAGTTAGAAGTCATCTGTACTGTCCCCTCTATTTGCTATACAAATTTTACTTTTCCTTCATATTCTTTTCAGAGAGTCCCTGATAAGTCCTTTTAGGATGTCGGATAGACATGTTATATAATAAAATAAGTAACAGAGGACAGAATTTCTTGCATGGAGCCTTTGTCAGCATTGTATAACACAAGCAAATTTCTGTATGCTATAATTTTTCATGAGAACTTCTGATTAGAGAATTTGGTTTATGTTATTTTATTTTTTTGAAATGGAGTCTCCCTCTGGTTGACTTCACTTTTTATAACTGGTTGCTTTGCGCTACAACTAGACAATTTTTTATGCCTATAATAACAGTAATTATTTAAATAAGACTATTCCACATGAAATAATAACATGGATAAATTTTAGCATTTTTATGTCCTAGGACCTTTTTTTTAGGTCCCACTTTAAAACTTAGGTAAAAGATATGATACAAGATCTCTCTTCTAATGTTCAAATTTTATCTTGATAAAATAATCTTACTTTCAAAAAGTATTTTGATTTAATAATATAAATTGAAGAAAACCTTAGGATATTAAAGAAACAAAAGTTCCTAGCTGGTTGTTGACATTTAATTAAAAAATTACTAGTCATGAATTTCTGAGTGGTATATTTACAATAATATTATTTCTAGTTGTGTTTGTTCCCTTTTTAATTTCAATTTGATAAAGAAATGGGATTTTCATTTAACTAAAATTTGAGAATTTGAGCATTACCATATTTTAATTTTATGGCAGTAAAAACAAGACACATTATATGTCCTCGCAACTTAGTTTGGTGGTTTGATAGCTGTGAATTTACTTGGCCAGTTTTATGTAGTATTAGACCCTCTACTAATCAATACTTTGACAAAAATTAAAAATATCATCAAAATAAAAAACTAGTTTGTTTTATCTGATAAGAACTGTCTAAAAGTAAGAAAAATATCTCCATACTCACATTTTTAAAATAAAATTTAATTTTCATAACTTTTAAAATAAGTTATAAGTGATTGTTAAATATAACAATGATAATGATATTTTACTTATCAGATTTGAACATAAATTATCTTTTTTAAAATCTTGACTTCATAAGTATTTTACAAAATCATCTTCATTATCTTAAGTTTCATTAATGATTACAATTTGGTTACACTTTCAAATGACTAACAACATGGGGTCACAAGATTGCAGCTGGGCAAATATTCTCATTCAGTTTATAATACACAGAATATATCAAGGTTTTAAATATATTTTTCAGGCTAGAAAATCATTTTTTCACCACAAAGTTGCATAACATGGTGGTTAGCTATACGCTTGATTAAAAAAAGATACGTGGCTTTCCCTTACAGTTTTCCAAGCAATTAAGGGGCTCGCAGCTAAAACTGTGCTAGATACTGACTTGTTCATTTTGCAATAGACAAAAATCAAAGCAGCAGCAATGCAAGAAGTTTGTATTTGTACCTTTTTGTGAACATTATTGCATTTTGGCATAGTCTCAGATATAAAGAAAAAAATCAAGATTTCTCAAAGTTTTGAAAGCTGCTTCTAAACATATCAATTAAGATATGACAAAAATAAGCTGTTCTTAAAACAATGAGTATGCATTTTAAAAATAAGTGGTATGTAGAAATTAATGAAATTTCCATGTGACTAATTCAGTCTATATTTATATATGATGCAAATGCATAAATTACAATTTACGGAAGTGAAGTACAAAATACCATTTCATACTTCAAAATCATTTAAAAATCATTCAGGATATAACAAATGTAGACTTCTCTATAATCATTTATTAAGTAAGCTATTGAATCATTTGAGCCATATGTCTACTTGAACTAATTTAAGTTCTAACAATGTATTCCTGTATTTAACTCCAGTGTTCATTACCAGTATTATAATGCTAGTACAGTCTCTTACCTTTTTATTCTTAGTTTTTTTCTTTTTCCTTTGTTTACTCTTAACCTAGTAGGTAAAAAATTATTTATTAAATATATAATTCAAACTGCACAAAGGGTTATTTTGCAAAATATATTTCCTCTAACCACTGAGAACTTTTGTTTTCTAATATTATAAATATTTCTTTCTAGATTCTATGGAAACAGTTATTTTTGTTTTTATCATTTTTATTTTAATCCTACTCTTTTGTCCTTACATAATCACTGATGTATAAACATAATGTCAGTAAGTGGGTTACTGATAAAAGTTCACAGATGCTCACTTACACACATGGATATGAGTAACAAAAGAGAAGGGCACTTTTTAAAAGCAACATATTCATGCCCATGAGATTTGAAAAAAGGTCTAAGAAGAATTTAATGACTATATTATAACAGTTACCACTTATTTGTAAAGAAACATGGAGATTCCATTTTGAAGAATTTTCATTCTACCTCGGCAAATGGTGTTGAAATATGCCACTTTTCCTTTCTATTTTACACTATACTTCCTTCTACTTTCCAATACCTTCCCACATCCACTTCGATCGGGATTAAAACAAACGTATTATAATCTAGAATAATGCCTGCCATGTAAGTGTTTAATAAATGGTCGCAAAATAAATGGTTATGGCAGGAAAGATTATGGAAGGAAGTACTGAGGAAAGGACCATTCCAATTCAAGCTCTGTATAAACACTATGATAAATATAAACTAAAATTATCTGGGATGCTTTAAATATAGCACATGCAACAAATTAAAGGCCCAGAATAAGTTCTTCTAATTCAAATATTAATGAGAGCTTATACTTCCTGGAGATCTTTAAGAGATTCTGTTGAAGATTCACTGGGTATTGAGGCCCCATCTTTATTAATTTCTGCAAACTGTATTTCAGGGTTTGATTTCACATTTATATTGTATTCCATGATAGGTGGACTTAATTCTTCTTCCTCATTCTGTAACTCTTCTATTTCAATACCTAAATATTAAAGATAAAATTCTCAAAATCTAGATGAAATAATTTCAGCTTCTTATCAATAGTATAAATAACATTTGCCCAAAAAAGCAACATTCCCAAAATAGAAATAAAAGATATCTTACTCTTTTCAATTACTCAATGAAAACGTGATGTTCATTTATCAATTACCAAATTACCAAACAGCCTGGAACCTAAATGCCATGTTACCTACTGGTATCTTAAGTAGACTCTAGATATGCGATACTCTAGAACTTAAGTAGACTCTAAATACTAATTTTTGCATGTTCTGACCTTGGTCCTATTGATACTGCAACTAGTATTATTTTAGCACATATATCTGAAATATAAAGAAGAAGCTAGAAGATCTATTTTTTCTTTTTTCTTTATTTTTCATAAGAGGGAAGTGAGCCCCCTATTATGTAACCTTTTCTTTGACACATTGCTCCTTGATATTGCCCCAGATACTCAGTCTCAAAACTTGTAGACTTTGTCTGACTGGTCTCAGATAGTCTAACAACGTTTTACCCCCAAAAAATATGTGGTGCTTTTTCTTAAGTATAATTTTAATCGAAGGATATTAATTACACTTAAAAAAAACAATAGCACAAAAATGGAAATAAAAAATTTACAACATCACCTGGCAAAAAAGTATATAGCTATAAACAATAGACAGACTAAATAAAATTATACATGCTAAATGTCAAACAGATAGAGAAAACGGGAAGGTATTTTTTCCTGCTGAAGTTTCTGTGAGTAAAACAGGAGAACATCCTTTTTGGGGAAACCCTAGAGCAAATGCACTAAGGCCAGGGCAGAATAAAGATCTTTCTCCATTCAGCAGACCAGTAGTAGTGACTTGACCACATAATTTTCCAAATTCTTTTTTTTTTTTTTTTAAGACGGCGTTTCACCATGTTGGTCAGGCTGGTCTTGAACTCCCGACCTCAGGTGATCCACCCGCCTTGGCCTCCAAAGTGCTTGAATTACAGGCATGAGCCACCACACCTGGTCTCCAAATTCTTAACAGTTATAGTTTATCTGATCAAATAAAAATTCCACAGGTACCGCTTGTTAAAAAGTCACCTACATATTTTATTTTCAAATATACTTACACTGACTGCCCGTTATTGACTGTAGAGCAATTCCTATAACACATAAAAAAAATTTTAGATGTACAATTGCAAATGCAACAAATGAATGTCTGGCTAGGATGAAGAAAAGGCAGAATATTTTTATATTGCACCAATTTATTCTGTAAGCAGCTGGAAAAATAACCAGTTTTACTCATCAATTCAGTTTGGACAAGGCACAATCTTTAGATTATTATATAAAGGTTATAAACCCATGATTAGAGAAAAAAAAAAAAAGAGTAAAGAAACAAAAATGTGGTATCACAGATAAAGCCTAGAACACAAGCACTTTAAACCAAGCAGCAGATACTTATGTTTACAGTCCTACACCATGAAATAATAGTTAATTATACAGCAAACCTCCATTGAAAGTTGGGGCCTTTTTAGAAATCTGATTTATCCAGATCAGCACTTGTTCTCTTTGCCTATTAATATTTATTGAGCACCTACAGTCTATATCAGGCTGTGTTAAGATCCAGAGATTGAATGTTGACGAAAAAAAGACAATCTTCATGGAGATTTAGTGAGATTATGGATGTTAATCAAATTACCACATATCCAAATGAAAAGCAACTATAATAGTTAAGGAAAGAATATAAGATGCTAAGAAAGCCTCTATTAAAGACCAATAAGCTCTTCAGACTACTTGAGTAAAAGCTGCTTAAAATGCTTTGCATTGAATGAGTACTCAAAACTCTTTCTCAAATAATTACTCTATTGTCATAAATTTTTGTTATTTAAAATCCTAATAGAGTATTTTTTTAAACCCAAATTTGTAAGTCAAAGATTCTTGCCTGACTTTCTTATATAACAAACTGTGTCCTTTTCTTTCATGCTTATCTTATGCAAGAAAACAAAGGTATTCCAGAGCCTTAGTAAATTTACCAGGACTAAATTTGGACATAATAATTATCTCTGAAGAAAATCTGGACCAGATCACTATAAACTTGTAAAGTTGTATGTTTACCAGGAAGTTCCCTGAATAGCACAGCAAGGGTTTCAGTGATGTTGACATGCCTTGAACTCTGCTTTCTAAGAGAATAGCTGAGAAAGAATCCTCAGATATGGGAGAGGAAGTCAGAAGTCTTTTCCATATCAACAGACAAGTTGGGGAATGGCCATTGCTGAATACAGACACTTGCATCAATGTTATCTGATTTTTAAAATTACCTACAGCCAATGAATAGCTGCTAAAATTGTAAACTAAACAAGGTTCTGCTAGAAAGGAGAAAAAACATATATCCACTGTATCTAAAAGGACATCTTTGAAACCACATAGTACCTATATGTCATGGTTTTAGACTTTACTAATTTTGGAGAAGTAATAAAATGCCACTTAAAGTGATAAAACTCTACTTAAAAGTCTTCAATGATTTCTTTCGGAAAAATGCAAACTCCTCAATGTGACTAAAAAATCCTCTTGAATGTACTCTATGAACTCTTTCCTACTTTAATCTCAATAATGCCAACCTTTTTTACTTTGCTCCAGTATATTTTTGTTTCTATACCTTTATTTTCATTTCTCTCTGAAACATCCTTCTCCTTCGTCTTCACTTGGCTAACTTCTGCATGCCATTAATAATTCTTCAACTATTATATTCTCCAGAAAGCTTTTTTGGACTCCTTTAGCCTAGGATTTCCCATGGTATTCTGGAAACATCTCTAGCACTATAATTTCCATTACCTTCCTAATGCATCTATTCTCTCAAAAATGTGAGCTCAGTGACTCTCTTGCCCTTTGCACTGTGCCTGGCCCAGAGCAGACATTCAATGGAAGTTTACTTGCTCAAGTAAATAATCATTTAGTACCTTGTTGATAGCAGGATAACATCCTCTGTATGATTTCTGGTACGGGTATGCCTAGGTAGATGGATAGCTGATGGTAATCAAGGGAGATATTCTCAATGGGATTCTCCTTCACTTTATCAATATCTTCTTGCTTCATCCCAAGGCGCAGAAGAATATCTGAAACTTTTTTCCAAATTGAATTGAATTGTGACTCAGTGAGACCATTCATCAAAATCTCACTAAGGAGGATATCCCTGTATTTGCACAGTCTCAGGATGTCTGCAGATTTAGAGATGTCAGAAGATGGCGGTTCCATATTCCATCCTTTTTTGGGTGCAGGGAACACATTCAAATGTTTTATGAGAGCTAACAGGAGGCATAAGTCAAACTGTTTGGATTGTGGTAACTCCTTGTTTGGAGGATAAAGCAGATGCCATGATCCACCCAAAGGATGATTGGTCCAGAGATGGTTGTAGTAAGATTCCAGCACATTCTTGTGTATAAGAAGCTCTTTTCTCAAAAGAGGGGGTGGCATAGCCTCATCAAATATTTGCCGCACAATGTCAGTACCAGAAATAATAATTATATGAAGCAGATGATAGAAATAATTATAATCAAGCTTGAAGATAGGCATTTCATCTGAAAATAAATTTTGGGAAGTCAAGACATTCCACATTAATGCTCTTTTTCTATTTGGTCTCTCGTATTTTATCCTTAGCTCCCGTAGGATAAAAACTGTTCCAAAAGAATGAAGCACAGTACACTGCTTTGCCACAACCAGTGCTCAATAAGCATGCTGCTTTCTCTCTGTCAAAAAATCTACACAGAAATATGTTCCCAAGCAAAAGTAATCAAAGACTAATCACCACAGAAGTCTTTCAACCATCCAAGGTTTTGTTCAAGTCAATGATCTTTGGCAACAAAATAGCATCAAAGTATTAGATCTTTAAAAATTCTGAAATTTGCCAAGACTGCTAATTGTCAATGTTTAATTATGCTTTACTTGAACAATTATACTTTATCCTAATCAGCACTGTCCAACAGAATGTGGTGTGATAAAATGTTTTATATTTGCACTAATACTCGTTGAATACTGGAAATACTGCTTGGGTGACTAAGAAACTGAATTTTAAATTTAATTTTAATTAACTTAGTAGCCACATATACCTAGGGACTACCATACTAGATAGCTCAGATCTGTATCAACAAATGTAAAAAGATCTAGTTCCTTGCTACTCAGAGGGTAGCCCAGAGACCAGCAGCATCAGCATCCACCTGAGAGCCTGTTATAAAAGCACAGTCTCAGGCCCCACTGCAGACCTACTGAACTGAAACCTGCATTGTAACAAAATCACCAGATATATCAAATATAATGTTTGAGAAACCCTGACTTAATAAACATCATCTTCTTACCCCTTCAAAAAAAGATAATAAAGTAGATATTTCATCAATAACATGGAATAAGGCATGAAACTGAACTATTTGGTATTTTCCTGTTTTAATAGTGATTTCAAAGGAGAAAAGTAGGCTGAGGTGAATTAAAAAGTACTAATAATTTGATATATGACGGCATTTGTGGCTTTTGTATGTATATCAAAATATGCATCTGTCACATAATACAGCTTTATTATTTTATCCTTCAAGATTCTATGTTTCAAGAGATTTTTTAAATTAGCATTTTTGCTTGAAATACTTGATCTACACTGTGGGGGCAAAGTTAAAAAGCAAATGACACAGGGAGCTTCCTTTGGGTTGCCAAATAAGAAGTTGGCTGGACTGTCACCAAACTATTCTTCCATGAGCCCAGGGTACCTTAATTAAGGTCTTCAGGTTCTGGGCAGGAAATGTACTAGCACGCTCCTAAACAGCTGGCAGCTAAGTTTAGAGCAGTTGGTCTCAAACTCAAAATGTTCACTCCTTTCATGTAAGGGTACTCTAATGCTTGCTCTATTAAGAAGGAATGCAGCAAGGGAAGAAGGGTTGGTAGAAAACCTCTGCTAGGACACAATCCCACAGTATAATTAGAGCTACGCACCAGAACTAGCATGTCTCTCTATAGAATGCCAAGGTAATGTGAGGTCCATACATCTGCTGATCTTCCTGTCTGTGATTTCCAGCCTACACCAAGTGCTGCTTGCTGGTATAAACCCAAGTTCAGTGAATGACAAACGCAGTGAAGATGTGGTAGTTAATGGCATGAAAGTTAACAACGAAGTAAAAAAATTGAACACAGTTTTCAATGGAAAGCATATAAAAATAAAATAATACCTTTTGTGTTAAATTTTAAACTGATCTTCGGTCTTATATCAGTATCAGCTATTTTCAGAGAAACCAAGTTTTTGTAACTGCAAATGGAAAAAAATTAAGTTACAGTGGGAATAAAATAATGCCAAAGTCAGTCAAGATTTCTAGTATAAGCATGGCTGAGTATTTTCATCTTCTACTCCTAGAAATAATTCGAAAAGGAGACAAATAATTGAACAAAAAAAGCCCACCAACAATGACAACCCTACATTGTCACTTTCATTGGAATTATCAAGTAAGCAGTAGTGCCAGATTTCATATTAAAATAATCACATTACAAACTTCCTTGCAAAAAGGCTGTATGGTAGCAGAAAACAAAGAAAGAAAGCTTTGCATTGTAAAATAAAACAAGCAAGCAAGCAAGCAAACAAAAAATAGCAAATTTGTAAGTCTTCCCTGGCCCTCTCTTCACCACATAATTTTTTTGGCAATAACTATTCCAAGAAAACCCAACTCATTTAACACCGAGTGATTAAAAACAATAAAGATGCTAAAACAATAAAAATAATTAGAAAAATGAAGTAGTAAAATGTATTAACCAGACTAAGCACTAGGAAATGCTGCCATTAAACAGATAGCTTCACTTTGAAATGAACTACAGAAAACAAAACAAAAAAATATTGGACAACACTACAATGTAAGCTTAATGAGGAAAGGGATTTTGGTGGTGGTTGTTATTTTTAACTGATTTTATCTCCAGTACCACTATAACGCTGTTAGTTACACATCACACTGAAAAAAATGTAAAACTCTAACAATGTGAAGTTATTGGCAAAGATACTGAGTAAAAGGTATCTCCTGTACGGCTTGTGGGGAGCGTACATTTGTAAAACCACTCTGGAAAACAATTCGGCAAAAGCGAGTAAAGTTACAGATACACACAGGTGGCCTAGAAATTCTACTTTTAGGTATACATTCTGGAAATTTTTCTGCTCATATAGACCTAGAGACATGTACAAGAGAGTTCACTGCAAAACTATGGTTATAGCCAGGAACTAGAAATAAATATCTGTCAATGGTAGAATGATTACATTAGTGAAGAAATAATCTAAAGTTAGAGCAATAAAATGAAAACACTAAAGAATGACAGTAAGAATGGACTCATACCAAACATGATTTTAAAATGCATAAAAACAAATGTTTCCAAATATCATGTTCAAAACAAAAAAATTAAACTACACTTATAAGTAACGATAATTTATAAACTAAGTAGAAATAAAACATGAAAACAATAGCACAAAAAAAGGGAAGAAATGGAAATCTATTATTGCAAGGTTCTTACACTATACATGCTATAGTATAGTATTATTTAAAAATAGACTTTGGTAAGTTAAAAATATGTATTGTAAGTCCTCAAGCAATACATAATATCCTCAAAAAAGGGTAAAACTCATAAAACAAACCAGGAAATAAACAATAAAGACAGATAAAGAAAACTGAAAACAAGAAGGAAGACAGTAGATTTCCAACCATATAAATTAGTAAACAAAATTCATATGAAATAAAAAACCCAATTTAAAGGCAGAGATTGTCATTTTGGATATACAAAATAAGAAAGTCCTATGCCACCTAAAAAGATATATATAGGTTGAAGCAAATGGATGCAAAATACTAAACTAGATATACTTCAATGCATTAATCAAAACAAAGCTGGAGTAGCTATATTAATATCAGACAAAAAACACTTAAGGCAAGAATATTATCAGGGTTAAAGAGAGATGTTAAATAAGAATAAAAGGGTCAAATTGTCAAGAAAAAAGGTAACAATCCTAGCTGTGTGTGTAGCATTTAATAAAAAAGTTTCTAGATTACAATCAGTAGACAAAAAATATAAATAGTAGACTTCAACATTCCCTGTGTAATTGATAGAAAAAGTAAATAATAAAAAACGACATAGAATGCTGAAACAGAGCTGTAAACAAATTTTATCTAATTTTATTTAAGAGCAGAAGACAGATTCTTTAGAAATGCAAGTGTAACATTCACCAAGATATATAGTAATATGATCATAAAATAAATCACTGCAAGGGAATTAAACTGAAAGTCAGTATCTGGAAAGATAGCTGAAATATTCCCAAATATTTGGCAATTAAACAAATACTCCTAAAGAGCCCATGGTTAAAACATACACACACATATGAAACTAGAAAACATTTTAAATGTAATTGAAAATAGTAATAATAAATTTCTACATATCAAAATATATGAGAACACAGCTAAAGCAATGCTTAATGTAAGTTTATAAAGAACAAAGGTCTTGTATCAATGATCAAAACTTTCACCTTAAAAAAAAACTAAAAACAAAGCAAATTAAACTCAAAGTAGCAAAAGCAAGGAAATTACCAAGATCAAACATCAATAAAATTTTAACAAAAATATTATAGAAAAATCAAAATTAAAAGCTGATTATTTGAACAGATCAACAAAATTGATAAACTTCTATCCAGAATGATCAAGAAAAAAAACAAAGACACAAATTGCCAACATCAGAAATGAGAAAGGTGACATTGCTACAGAGAAAAGGTCTCTTTGGCTGAAGGAACCAGAAAACTGAAATGGAATCATGACCAATAAAAGAATGGGGTAATCCTAGAAGAAAAAGCAGTCAGAAAAGAGATCCTCAAATTCTTTCTCACAACGTCTTTGAACGCTGAACCACGTGTATGGAACAGACTAATAGCAGCTCAACTAAAGCCAAAAGATCTGGACTGAGACTGGATGCTCCACCCAAGAAAGAGTTCAAAGTTCACATCTAGCCAAGTTAGTGGCCTGTCAAAGTAAAAGTAAGATTACCCACTAGAGAATAATGGAATCCAGAATCTCTACAACCACTTTGTATTTATTGTGGTCTAGCTATGTGCCAGGTATTACACTACATCCTAGTGTAGTGGGAACATCTAGAAAACAAGATAAAGTTCTTGTACTCATGGAGGTTACACTCAAATGGAGAAGATAGCCAAGAAAGTATAACAAAAGCTAATAAATGTTTTGATAGGAGACATAGAAGAAATACATCATAGAACATCTACTGTAATCTAAGTAAAAGTTTTAACTAGGCAAAGTCAAAGGAGCAGTGTATTCCAGGCAAAGCTTGGAGGTCAAATACTAAACCAGATATACTTCAGTGCAAAAACTGGGAAGGTTTCTTGACATAGCACACTGAAGAAACCAAAAGAAGCTCTGTATAGTTGGTACATATATGGTTAAGACTAAAGTGTCAAGGGATGACAATAATGAGTTCAGCTGTGTACAAGGTTAAGTCAAGAGTCAAACTAAAGAATCTGAACTTAATTTTAAAAGCAATGAGAAACGTCTCAAAGATCTTCATGCACAAAGTGATATATTCTAATTTTTATGTTAGAAAAGTCCTATTGATGGTTATGAAAACAACAGACTGAATAAAGGAAAGGCTAAAGACAGACACATTAAGAAGCTGTTTGAGAATTCCAAATCAGAAATAATGATAACCTGATTTCATTTAGTGAAGTAGTAGAGATAGGGCAGAAATAAGAATAAATTCATATTTTAAAAACTAAATTGATAGTACTTTTTTAAAAGTTACAAAGCAGTGGTGGAAAGAAAGATAATGAGTCCAGTTTTGAACATGCTGAATTATAAATATTTTTGAAAAATAAAAATGGAGATATTCCGTATGGAGATAGGTATACAACGTAAAGCTTTTAGGAGAGAGATATGTGCTAGAGATCAAGATTTGGGCTTCATTAACTAATAAGAGAAAACTGATGCCTTAGATGTCAATGAAATGTCCCTACTAGATTGAAAAATGGCATTTACACTTCAGACAGAAGAAAAAGAGAATCAATAGATTAGGAGAACTTTTATACTGAAACTTCTAACTTCAGTAGCAAGACTCTATAATACCTCTATTAATTCCAGTCTTATCAAATATATTATTCTGCAATACAGTTTTCTCATCTAAGAAACAGGAAGATTCTAATTGTAAGATAAACTTAGTGGTTTGGATAAGTTTTGAAAGATAGAAAAGTCTTTATTTCATAACAAACTAACTTTAAGAAAAATGTTTTATCTTTAGAAAAGGATTATTTTCACAATTAATAGGAAAGTATCCACATAATTTCTCCATATCTGTTTTAGAATGTCTAAAATAAGTGGGGATAGAGAGGGAAACAAATGGAATTAAATATAATTTTTTTCATATACCTAATACTACCTTAAAATTTAATGGAGCTCCATTAGGTGACAGAAACACAGAAGAATTACACAACCAAAAAAATATACACAGATTCCAAAAAAGGTAACAGAGTAGTTTATTTTAAACTTACCTTGCTCCTAAATTTTCAATGGTTATATATTCATCCTTTCTCACAACTTCAAACTGCAAGTTATGGGGAAAAAGTTAGCCCTAAAGTACTTCAATTTTCAAAATTTTTAATGTTATTTCTTAGCCTTAACATTTGAAAAATACAATGAGAGTGAAGCTAAAGTGAATATAAAACAAACAAAACAGAAATAACAAGTAATAAACAATCCTGATCAAAAAAACAAACTAGAGTTGACCTTAAAAAAGCAGTTCTACTTTACATCACTATACGATTTAAATGCCAAATCTGAAATACTAAAATAGCATATTTAAAAATAAAGAAAGAAATAAGATACATTTCTATTCATAATTTTGGTCTGTTTAGTTATAAACTAAAAATTCAACAAGATATTTCATTAATTAAAACATAAAATGGATATCATCTGACTGCATTTTATGTAACAGGTACTACATGTGATGTTCTATAGATATTTTCATAGGAGGATATTTACAGACTAAAAGAGGTTCAGAAAGTCTAAAATTATTTTGAAACTTGGGTGTCAAAGAATTAGATAAATGATCATTCTTAGTTCATAATACTTTATTTGTATACTTATGGCATGTTTTGTCTTTGTTTCTCTTTTTGTGTGTCTTTGTCTTTATTTTTGAATTTTTCTTGTTCTTAAGGACACTTAAATATTACTTTGCATAAATCATAGCAATAAAAAGGTCAAAGAGCCCAGTCACTATCAAAGAGAATATGGCTAGAATCCAATTACGATGATCCCCAAGTCTGTTTCAAGTCAAAAATACTTTTCCAATGAAGCAAAGCAAAAAAAAAGATGAAATAAGACACTCACCAAAATTTTAACAATTCCAGGTACATCACATTGCAGCATCCTTGCCATGTCACCTGTACATCCTTCCTTCAAACATTTCTTCGCAATAAAACTCTAAAGTTATTAATAGAAACAAATCACTGATGTGCAAATCTGATTATATTTTTTAAAATGTTGTTAGAAACAAATGTTGCTAGACAGTAAATGGAGTATGTGAATAAATGTTTGAGAGGTAGCTGTTCAAAGATGGTCCATTTCATAAATCAATGGATATCCTATTTAAATGGATTTCACTCTACATCAAAATTGTCAAGAAGCAGTATTACAGACTAAAATGCATTTGCTGCTCCAGAGAAAGCAACTTCAAATAAAATGTACTAATTAAGTGAGTGTAAACAGGATTACTGAATTTCTATCAGGGAAAAGGAAGGAATAAAAATGTTACATCCTTTTTCTAGTTCTGGCCTGTGATTTCTTCTGGTTAAGCCACTCACTTTTATTTTACTTCTCTTTCTAAAATTCAGCAATATTAATTGGCCCCCAAATCAAGGAAATTGTAAAGTATTTATATACCACTTAAAATTGATTAAGTAAATATTTATAAAGTTGTTTTTTCAGTTTATAATGTGAGTTCATCTGTTTTACCTGTTTTATCACAAAAACCCTATGAAATAGGTTTATCTTATCCTTACTTTAGAACTTAAAAAAATTAGTCTTTGAGCAATTACCAGTCTAATATAATAAAACTAGTAAGTGGCTCAGTCTGGACTTTAACCCAAATCTCCCAACTCCATATTCTGTGCACTTTCTACTACAGCACAATTGCTTTAAAGGGGTTTTCTATTGTTTGCAGAATGTAAACACTACAGAACCAAACATTATAGACCCAACTTATGGTCATCAGCTCACTAAAGAGAAATTAATACAGAGCTGGGCTTAGTATTTTCACTTTAATATTAGAGGCAAATAACTCTATTATATGTTATATATTGTAATAGTTAAAAATTATAACAATTTTATGTTATATATAATAGTCATAACTATTATATAACTATGTTATGTTATATAATTATATTATCTATAACTATATATAATATGTAACTATTATAACTACAGATGTTAAAAGTTCCAAATATATTTTTCAAGACTATGAAATGTGTCCTTGTTCTTCACCTCTTAAATAGAAATCCTTAAAATTGTATAATTATCCTTTGTATGTTTATTAAGAAATTCTATTCTATGATCCTACATGCATAGATGCAACAATGTATACTTAAGAGTATACATTTCTAAAACGAAGGAAATAAATGGACAGAAACCACTAAGCAAACCAACTAGTAGTGTATCATCTACAAAGAACTGTTTAATAAATGATGATGATGAATGAAAAGTGGTAGGGAGATAAGCATCAGAGAGAACTGGGAAAGAACAAAGAAGATAGTAAAAGAAAAAGAAAAAAGAAGTAAAAAGGAGGGAAGTTGTGAATAGGAAGAAATGATAGGGAAGAGAACAAAAGAGGAAAGGGTAGAGGAAGAAATATTATTGTAGTTTTACGAATGAATATAGTACCTGATCATTTTCACCTGGATATTTTAAATTCTTGAACCTTTTCCAGCAGATTTTGTGGAAATAAACACAGCAATTTTTACTGCACATTAACTGAAAAAATCCCTGGAAAAATATAAAAGTAAGTGTCAGTTAAGGACATAGCGATTCTTATATATACATAAAAAATTATACTAAATCATTTTTAAAACTGTTCTACAATTAGATTTTACAAGGTATTCAAAATTTATCCACAGAAATCAGAGATAACCAAATAACTTTACAAGTCATTTTTATATCACTAAAGACAGGAAAACTAAGACAGTAAAAAATACGAATAATTTGAAAATGTTAATATAATATTTTCCATATGCTCCGTACAACAAAACATCAGAAACGCACTGAGTAATGTCTATAGAGGAACATGCAATCTACCCATCTTCAACTCCATTTTTACATTTCTCTTTTCCACCAACCCCAGCTCCATACCATTACTGCCTCAATCTCCTCTGTTACCAATCCTAAGAACTCAGATTTGCTGCCTTGGTGATAGCTCCTGAGCTACTGCATTATCTGAGGGTATAGATTGCTTGTCCTTTCCGTTGCACCCTCCCTGGAAACTACAGCCTTACTTTTTAAAATTTTTGTTTTGATGACAAAAATTAAATTGTTTGCTCAGGTATTGTTGCTGCTACATGCTGTTCATTTGATTAGAACCCTAAAGCATTCTTGGGAAACCTCAGGACTATATCACCATGTCACCTAAAGCAATACTGAACAAGCCTGACCATGAGCACTGCATCTACCAGGCTCATTTTTCAATCCCTATCTTATTCTATTGAATAGATCTTGATCTTCTCCTTTTCCCCACCTACTGCACTGGCTGTACACATCATGCCTTGAAATTGAGATTTCAGTTATTTTTTAGAAGTATTATCTGATTTGCATATCATCTCATCCTATCTTCTGATTTCACCAAGTCTTGTTCTGATAGATCCAGAGAGATCTACCAGAAGTATTCTGATAGCTAAATTTCTTCAAATCAAGGCTGATTACATTCTCCCCCTGTCAAGGCCCACAGAAGAGATAATGATCACTTATACAGTAGCATCATTCCTGAGGAGTGACAGCCTTTCTCCTTAGTCAAATGCTACCATTCTCAACCTCTAACATTTCTAACTATAAAGTAAAGCATTTTTAGATCATTTTCACTGTATGGTTGACTGTGGGAATAATACTTACAACTTCAGATGCATGTGAATGTTACAAAAACCTTAGCAAAATCAATTTATTCTTTTATTAACTCATGAAATATAAATAATTCCTGATCGCTCTGAATCTTAAGTTCTCAGAGATAACTTTTCAACTGCTTTTCCATTGTAATTAAACTAAATGCTATTTAAAAATAATTTATGCATAATTTTTGTAATTTAATTTTATATAGTTATACGTAATTTTTCAATTACGTTTTTTAAAAACTGTTAATGACAATCACAGTACCTTATAACTGGTGTTCTTCAAAATGTCAGCTTCACAAGATCGTTCACAATCTAGGTAACTACAAATGGTCTGCTTCATTATATTACTTTCAGTTGTCTTGATAAAATTATTAAGAAGATCCTAGATTTTAAAAACAGAAATAATTCTCATGAATTATTAATAAAAAATTAACACCACAATTAAGACTACCCATGTTTTACCTTGGTAATATGTCCATATCATATTCCTTTTTAAAGTACTTGTAAGGTAACATGTTCCTTATAGAATATGTTCATTATCAGTCCAAGCCTGAGTCTCACCCATCTTATATTTTGGTAGGCTAATAATGGTAACAAGTAACATTTTTTTCCATAAAGCTTCTTATGTATGTTCTAGAAGCATAAGTTCTTAAATTTAAATGAAAATATTGATGATCTATCATTATGTTATTTAAATAAAATCTTTATGCAAATCAAAAAAAAATAAAGTACTTGTAAATATGTATTTTTTTAATAGTAATAAAACTTTTCCCTAATTCAAAGTAAACAATGTACAGGAAGGTACTAAATTAGAAGTACTGGATTCCTCAATGAATGATATAAACATGGAGAATGGAGAGAAGTGTATTTTGAAGCTATACTTCTCTTTATCATCTAATCCATAGCATAACACCTGGCATGCTCCTATCAAGAATTATTTGCTCCGGCCAGGTGTAGTTGCTCACACCTGTAATCCCAGCACTTTGGGAACCTGAGGCGGGTGGATCACAAGGTCGGGAGTTCAAGACCAGCATGACCAACATGGTGAAGCCCCGTCTCTACTAAAAATACAAAAATTAGCCAGGCGTGGTGGCACATACTTGTAATTCCAGCTACTCTGGAGGCTGAGGCAGGAGAATCGCTTGAACTCAGGAGGTGGAGGTTGCAGTGAGCTGAGATCATAACACTGCACTCCATCCTGGTCAACAGAGTGAGACTCTGTCTCCAAAAAATAAAAAATAAAATAAATTGCTGGTATCCAGGAGAATCTTGATCAGAACCAACCCCTAGGTCACTGCGTTGGCAGTGGAACAACTGTGGTAGTACAATATGACATTCACTGCCACAATGGACCAAAGTACAGTAGAGAAATATGTTTTTAATGTCTATAGTTACAAATCAGAATATAATCTCTCATTTTAAAATGCTGATTTAATGGCCAGAAGTGGTAGTTCATGGCTGTAATCACAGTGTTTTGGGAGGTCAATGCAGGAAGACTGCTTGAGCCCAGGAGTTCAAAGCTGCAGTGAGCTGTGGTAGCACCATTTCACTATAGTCTGGGTGACAGAATGAGACTCCATCTCTAAAAAACAGTATAAAACATATAACGAATAAATGAAATGCTGATTAAATGCAGGTGAATCATGTTACCAGGTCTAAGTTAAATGATTAGATAAGATCCTTCATATTTATCCTTTAGAGGGAGAGTGTTACAAAATTTCAAATAGTATTACTGCTAATATACTGAAGGTATATGATAAGATAAGTCTCTAGAAATTATTTCACAAATATCAGCTCTATGCAGGAGGATGAAATTGAGAAAATTTCCTGGAAAGTAGAAAAATAATTGGGAAATAAAAAAATTAAAGACTCAGTCTAGTATGAAAGGCCTCTGGATAATAAATATTTCACAAAGAAAAAGAGAAAATTAAGAAGATACATCAATATATAAAACAAGAAAATGTTCTAGAAGCAAAAAACAAGTTCAGAACACTGGGGACACAGAAAATATCCTTAACAATTCCCAGAAAGAAAAAAATAAAACAGGTCAAATACAAAAGTTTAAAAATCAGAATAAAATCAAGTTTCTTAAAAGTAGTATTAGAAGTTAAAAGATAACAGAAAAATATACAAGAGGCCAAAGTGGAAGGATTGCTTGAGCCCAGGAGTTTGAGACCAGCTTGGGCAACATAGTAAGACCTTGTCTTTACTTGAAAAAAGAATTTTTTTAAAATTAGCCAAGTGCAGTGGCATGTGCCTGCAGTCTCAGCTACTTGGGAGGCTGAAGCTAGAGAACTGCTTAAGCACAGGAAGTTGAGGCTGCAGTGAACTATGATCATGCCACTGCACTCCACTCTGCGTGACAGAGTGAGACCCTGTCTCTAAAAAGAAAAATTACTTTCAACCCACAATTCTACACTCAAGCAAGATATGAATAGAGCATACAAAGGATAAATTATTTTGATACTTGAAAGGTCTCAAAAAATTTACCTTCCATGCAAGCTCTCTTTTATGGGAAGCTACTAGAGGCTACAGGAGTTGCACCACCAAAAGAAGGGAGCAACCCTAGGAAGGAAAACTTGAATTCCCAGAAACAGAGGATTCCACATAGAAGAAAGGTGAAGAAAACTCCCAGGATGAGAATGAACAGAGACCCTGAGGCCAGCTTAATAAAAACTTACAGCTACTAGTAGGGTAGGATAGGGGAGAGAGGGAGGGAGGGAGGGAGGGAGGGAGGGAGGGAGGGAGAGAGAGAGAGAGAGAGAGAGAGAGAGAGAGAGAGAGAGAGAGAGAGAGAGAGAATGCGTGTGTGTGTGTGTGTGTGTGTGTGTGTGTGTTACATATAAGCAAGCTAAAGTCTCATCTTTCACAGTGAAAAAATCAAAAGAGAATGTTTTAAATAGTATTTTTTTGAAAAATAAATATCAAAGCAAGATGTCTAGAAAGTTGGAAGAATGCCTTAAGAAGCAGAATTTCAGTTAGAAATGACAAAACAGGAACTCTTATTTTAAGTCTTTAAATATTATTTGACAAACTGAGTAAGTATATTACTGTGCATAAAATAAAAATTCACTTAAAAAGTTAGATAACAAAGAAAGCAAAATCTTTTTAAAAGAAGAAGAAAAGGAGTAAAACAACCAACTAAGAGACTGCTTTACGTAGGGATGAAAATTTAGTATTTTAAAAATGCATAAAATTATTATTTTAGCAAGTCAAAATTAAAAGTTATATGATTATCTTGACAGTGCCAAAAGCTGTCTGCATGTTCTATTGATTACTGAGAGAGGTATATCAAAATATTCCATTGTGATTGGGGATTTAAAAATATTTCAATTTTTGACCCATATATTTCGAAGCTGTCTTATTTTCAATTTTGTCAATTTTTGTCCAATATATTTTGAAGCTATATCACTAGGTATATACAAATTTGAGTAGTTGTATTTTCCAAGATAATTGAATTTTGTATTTTTATAAAGTGTCTCTCTTTATTTTGAGTAATGCTTTTGGCCTTAAAGTCAGGTAAAACATAAAGATCAATAAATATTTAAAGTTTCTTTACGGTTTTGAAAAAGATATGTCATTCAAACATTAACCAAGAGAAACCTGGTATAGCCATGTTCATATTCAACAAAATAAAAAGAGACCCAAATGGCTTATCAGGTGGATTAAAAATTACCCAAAAGGTAAAGGATACCCAGAAGGTATGGGAAAATGAAAAGTCTCACACTATTTGAAGAATATGCAGTGGTACAATCTTTCTGAGAGGAAATTTGGAGACATATAACAACTTTACAATTGTGTGAATACTGCTCCACAATTCCACCTTTGAAATTTATTCTAATGAATTTATTAGCAATTTATTCTAATGAAATGATGTAAGAAATATGCAAAGATTACTTTATGTAAGAAGGAAAAACTGGAAATGTCTAGAATAAACTAGCAGGGAACTAATTAAGCAAATTAAAGCAAATTATACAATGGCTTATACCAAAATCCCAATGTATAATAGTCTTTATTACTGAGAAATAAAAACTACTATATATTTCCAGACTATAAATAAATAACTGTGCACAACATCATACCAATTTAGGAAAAATAAAGGCTATGAGTGTTTATACGTGTGTGTGTGTGTGTGTGTCTGGAAAGCTATAAATGAAAATGCTAACAATGGTTTCTCCATTTGAAGAAAAAATATAGATAAATTTCATCTTTATCTTTGGGCATTTTTATATTTTCCATGTTTTCTAAACTAAGCATTTAGTACTTTGTAATTTAAATCAACAGTAAAATAGTGATAAAGATAATCAGGAAAAAAGTTAACTGCTACATTTTACTCTAATCATGCAGGGTACTAGCCTAATATGGTTATTAACATTCTTGTTATTTGAAAATGCTAACACTGCCACCTCACTTCTTCCTCCTTGTTGAATCATACATTCTGCACTAGGTAACCCAATAAAGGTTGTTTCTTATATAAAAAGTTGTGTGTCAATAAAACAATGTGCTTGCTGTAAGAATATGACATAGTTGGTTCACACTTTATCAAAGATGATTTTGATTAGTTACAAATAAAATGTTACTCTTAAATAATTTCTTACTTTAAAAGTTGTAGGTAAATCTTCATTTTCTGTAGGATCTATGTCAAACCAATGGTCATTTATATCTCCAATTTCTTGTAAGCCCTTATGAAATTCTAGCAGTCCCCCATTATATCTGCAAGGCATTTGAAAATAAGGTTAGTTTGAAATGGGAGTGTGCAGATGGATGGTTTACAATGAGACAACAAGTAACCCACATTTTGTGGCAAATAGGGTGGTGATAACCTCTGGCATGCCATAGAAATAAAATTCTAGGATTCTTGCCTGCGGCAGATTGGGATGAAATACAGGTGGAAGGGGAGGCACTAGATTGTGTAGTAGCTCAAGCTTGAACAGTATGGAGGCCATGGTAATTAAAGGGACTGTACAGTTGGTTGGTTTTTGTTAAATGTCTTGGAGGCCTTGAAGAAAAAGAATGACAGTCACAGGTCAGCCAACTATTAACTCAGGATACACTGTGAAAGCTAGACGGCCTCTATGGTGGCAATTTAAAGAGACTCTCATCTCCTATGGCCATAATCTGTGCTGAAAATAAGGCCCATATTTAATCATAAAGTGAAACGAACTGCAAATGATATTGAATACACTGCCTCAACAAGACTAATACAATCAACTCAGGACATTGTGAAAACTAGAAGGCCTCTATGGTAACATCTAAAGATCCTCCTCTAGACATAAGGCAGACTATGCTGAAAATGAAGCTCAGGATTTAACCATAAGGGCAGAACAGCTGCAAAAGAAACCCGAAGCACAGCCTCAACAGATCTACACTAAAATTAGGACTTTGATATGCAACGGGTAGACCCTGGGATCTAAAATGGGGATATTTAGGTGAATATGCTTAGAAACACTGAATCCTTAAATTCCCCCATGAACCTTCTTGACTGGCAAACACCTCTTTCTTACCACAGGAGACCAGCCTACCTTTATTTAGAGACCATACAAAAACATCAGCTAAGATGCATGTCTCAAAAGATGATGCCCTTCCTTCTTAAGATCTTCCCTACCTCATTGCCTTCAGACAATAAATCTAAGGTCAGGTGGAGAGCCCAAGTGAAAAAACAGAGCCCTTGCCCAGGAAGAAAAAGCTTATTAATCTTAAGAATTGCAGAATCCCACTAGAATGTACTGGCAGGAACATGAGTGGGAGTGGATCTTTAAAGTGCTGAACTAAGGGTAAACATAAGGCTGGATAGGGAAGTATAAACTGATATGGAAAAACTCTTCCATAATTCAAGATTTACTTTCCTAGAAAGGATACCTGAATCCAGTCCTAATAGGGTGCTCTGAGAAGGCTCCTTGAAACACGGACACGATGGTCTATAGTAAATGAAGTAAAAATGCTAAAAATTTCTTGGAGGAATATTAAAGCAGTCAGGAGGTTCAAGGAAGTGTCAATGTTAGAATGGACTTACTACATAAAAATACAGAACCCACCAATTCAGTGTTCCTAGGAAGGCTCAAAGGATACTCTATTCATTAATACAATAAGAAATACAGAATAAGAAGGGCACATGTGTCTTTGAAGAGCTCAAGAACTCAATGGTGGTTGTCCTCTAAAGGCCAGGGATGAAAGTAATGATGCTGCCATACAACTGGACTTTCTAGTGTCAATTACGTGGAAAGTGAATTATCTCCAATGTTCATCAGTAAAGAGAATATAAAACAGTTTTCACATCTGGGGAAGGACAGCAGGATAGATTCTTTATTCTTGTCTCGGGCTATGTTAATTCTCTTACTTTGTCACAGCATAGACTGAAGGGATTTGGATCATCCTGACATTCTGCAAACCATCACACTAGCCCCACTATATTGATGGCACATGTTGCTCAGACCCAGGGAACAAGAAGTGGGATGTCTTGTGGATACCCTAGCGAAAAAACACCAAGCCAGAGAATAGGAAATCAGCCTTACAAAGAATCCAGGAACTACCACAGAGGTGACACTTTTAGGGATCCAATGGTTTGGCCGAGCAGTAATCCTTCATAAGAGGTTGCCCAAGTAAACTTCTCCTAATTCATCCCTCAGATCTTAGCCAAACATTGTTTCCTCAGGGAGACTTCTGACTCCCAGAACAGGCCTCCAGGAAAGACTTTATTCACTGTATTTTCCTTCATATCTCTTTATCCTATTTCATATATGAGTATTTTATGACTGATTATTTGATTAAGATCTGTATCTTTCACTGTATTTTCAGTTACATGAAGATAGGAACTGTATTTTGTAAACCACTGTAACCTCAACAGTTTCTGGAATATAATGGATACTTAGTAAATAAAATGAATGAATGATGCTACTAATGGTTATGGATCTCCATATAGGAGGTAAAGAGATAATCTATATAGTCTCATCCATACAATTTCACTTTCTTAAAATAAGTAGAAGCCAATACTCCAAAAAATCAGCATTTGGACCCTTTCAACTCTTTATAAGCTCATTTATACTTTTAAAAACTATTCCAAGTTAGTGGTGATAATACTAGTAACTCCAACTATCATTGATTTATTAAGTACAGCATTTTTGTATCCCAGGCACTGAGTTAATCATCTGCAACATCCTTATGAGATGAACCATAAACTATTATTAGTTCTATTTTAGAGGTACGAAAAAAATATAAGGCTTAACAACATTAAGTTTCTTAGGGTTAAGTGATAGAAAATGCAGCTGATCTCAGGTCTATCAGACTCCAAAGCCTATGCTCTTAATGTTAATGCTAGACTGCCTCTTAATGCCATAGCCTGTTAAGTTTGATATTTAATATTCTCAACTATAATAAAGAAATTGTCTATACAAAAAAGCAAAGAAGACAAGGATAAAGCAGTAGAGCACAAATGTCACAATGCCTGGTATATTGTGCACATTAATTCCATTTCACAATGCTGAGACTTCATAGGGAAGATCTACCTATTAATTAAAATCCTTACCTCTTCTGAGCACATCGCAGTAAACCACGTCCAAAATAAACTAAAGACATAAAGTTTTCACAAATTTCATTCTCTTGGATCACCATCTTCATCACGAGAAATTTATTCTCAGCTTCCGTATAATCCTGTAGCAACATAAAACTAGGTTTGGCTGATGTAAAAAGCATTTTTTTTTCTTTTACAATAAACAATTATTTCTCAAACTGGAGAAATTAGGGCAGCTTTAAAAATAATCCAATCATCTGGCCATTTATTTACATTTTGAATCCTGGCATCTCTGTATGTGATTACAAAGATCATGTAGTCAGTATTTAAAATATTTATTTATGCATAAATTTAAGACCTTCTTTAACCAGTATTTCAAAGTAAATATTAAGATGGTAACAACAATTTGTGTATCTAAAACTGGCATCTAGGTATGGTGGCACGTACCGATAGTGCCAGCTCCGTAGGAGGCTGAAGCAGGAGGATTGCTTGAGCCCAGGAGTTCAAGTCCAGCTTGGGCAACATAGTGAGACCACCATCTTTTATATACATATATATGTATATATATATATATATATATATATATACACACACACACACATACATAACTGACACGCATTACTAGCCAAAATAGGGGCTTTTCTGATAACTGTTAGAGCACAATTCTTTATCATTTTCCTAACTGGAGCACAATTCTTCACAATTTTTCAAATAGAAAGTGACTCTTTGACCATAGATATAGACTCTTTTGGGGTATCACCATCTTAATCATAAACAATATAGCTCTAGAAGTAAATATCACGATCTGTTATAATAGATGGTTCAGTAAAACAGGCATAATAGCCTCAGTCTCCCTAGGAAAAAAAAAAGCTAGGAAAATATTGCATGGCCTTACTTTAAAATATTTTCTAGTACATCACACTAAATAATTAGCACTACATAAAATTATTTAAAATAGAAATGTTCCTGGCTAACATGGTGAAACCCCATCTCTACTAAAAACACAAAAATTAGCCAAGCATGGTGGCGTGCTCCTGCAGTCCCAGCTATTCAGGAGCCTGAGGGAGGAGAATCGCTAGAAACTGGGAAGTGGAGGTAGCCGTGAGCCAAAATCGCGCCACTAACATTCCAGCCTGGTCACAGAGTGAGATTCTGTCTCAAAATAAATAAATAAAATAAAAATAAAATAGAAATGTTTTCAGTTTGGATGCTTATCACTTCTACTTCATCTAAATAACAATTCATACTTATATATTTAATTTATGATGTCAAATAAAAATACAAATTTGGGAAGAAAAAATAAGAGAAATATCAAGGCTATGAAGAAAATATGAGAAATCATTAAAAAATCAGAAAAAGAAAGGAAATGTTAAATTCAACAGAACCCTTAGAAATTATCTAGTTAATTCCCAGATTTTTACTTATTTGAACTTAAGTTTGGCAAAGAATTTGAGGCATGTTTTACCAAAGGGGAAGGTTAAAAACCACAGGGATTAAGCTACACTAGAAAATGGATTAAAATGTATCATACAAGTGAAAGAAGCTAAATAATTTTTTATTTTACACGAATAGTATGCATTTAAAAGATAAAAGAAACGAAGTTATAAGCTAATATTAAGTTTCCTTTTTAAATATATTTAGTTTCATATTATGATTTTTGACCTGATTATTTTAAGATGTAAAAAGATTTATAAAGGGCAAATACTGTGTTACATACCTCTTTCTTTCCTCTTTCAGTGAGTGCTACTCCATATAAAAACAGTAATGTCAAATAATAACCAATATTAATCTGGTGTGCCTAAAGAAAAAAAAATATTAATTGGTTATTTTGACTAAGCTACTTTTCATTAAAAACTTAATTAAATATCCTAAGCTTAATTAATAATTATTAAAATGAGTAAAAATTATCATTACATTATCAGTTATCTAATAATAATTATAGATAATATATTTTAGATATATTCGATAATTGGACCCAGGAAGAAGAAAAAGGATAGTCAATAATCTCAAAATAAAACATTAAAATTTAATTAATGAAAAGCATATGGAACAAAGATGGCCAAACAGAAGCTGCCAACAATCGTCCCAACACAGGAACACCAAACTGAACAACTACCCCCCAGAGAAGCCCCTTCATAAGAAACAAAAATCAGGTGAGTCATCACAGTACCTGGTTTGAACATCATATTAATGAAATAGGCACTGAAGAGGGTAGGAAAGACAGTCTTAAATCGCCTACACCATGCCTTCCTCTATCCCCTGACAACAGCTATGTGGCATGGAGAGAGAATCTGTGTGCTTGGGGAAAGGAAAGCACAGTGACTGTGGGACTTTGCATTGGAACTCTGCTGCCCTGTCATATCCAAAAGCCACCCTGAGTGAGCCACTCTGAGATCAATGAATTCAGTTAGTGATCATGGAGGAAGCATTTAGACAAGTGTTAGCCAGAAGCCAAAAGCCCAACCCAGCAGTCAGAGCTTGAGTTCCAGCAAGCCCTGCCAGAGTGAGCCAAAGTGCTCTAGGGTCCTAAATAAAAGGCAGTCCAGGCCACAAGGACTCCATTCCTGGCCATGTCCTGGTGCTGTGCTGGGATTGGAGCCAATGGATTTGTGGTGTACACAATCTAGTAAGATACCAGCTGGAGCAGACAAGGAAGTGATTATGTCACCCTTCCAACTCCAGGGAAAACAACTCACAGGTCTGGGAGAGACACCTTCCCTCTGCTTGAGCAGAGGAGAGAGAAGAGTTAAGACAATTTTGTCTTGTAACTTGAATAACAGCTCAGCCATGGTAGAATCCTGAGGCTCTAGCTGCGAGACAATATTTCTAGACACACCCTGGGGCAGAAAAGAACTTACTGCCTTGAAGGTAAGAACCCAATCCTGGCAGGATTCATTACCTGATGACTAAAGGGCCCTTGGTCCCTGAATAATCAACAGTAGTAGCAGTACTCACCATAGGGTGAGACTCAGAGCCATGCTGGCTTCAGGTGTGACCCAACATATGCCCAGCTGTGATGGCTATGGTGAGAGATGGCTTTCTGCTTGAGAAAAGCAGAAGGAAAAGTAAAAGAGGACTTTGTCTTACAGCTGGGGTGTCACCTCATCCACAGTGGGATAGAGCACTAACTGGGCTTCTGGGGGTCCCAATTCCAGACGCTGGGTTCTGTCTGGCACTTCTGGACTTGCCCTGGGCCAGAGAGAAAGGCACTGCTCTGAAAGGAGAGACTCAATATAGGTAGCAAGGCAGTGGTCACCACAGAGTTTGAGCAAGACCAGTGCTGTGCTGGCGTCACATCTGAACTAGCACAGTCCCAGTGATCGTGGCCACAGGAATGCTTGTGTCACCCCTCTCCCAGCTCCAGGCATCTTGGCACGAGAGAGAGAGACTCTGTTTGTTTGGGATAAAGGAAGAGAAGAGAAGAGGAGTCTCTGCCTGGTAACCCAAGGAGTTCTTCCAGATCTTACCCAAGACTACCAAATGGTACTGCGTGAACCACAGTTTTACTGGGGTTAGAGTGTCCCCTAATGCAGATATGGCAGCAGTTAACAAAGACTTAGATCACAATACCCAATCCCTTTGAATACCTGGAAAGCCTTTCACAAGAAGGGCAGGTACAAAAAAAAGGCCATACAGTGGAGACTATAGTAAATACCTAACTCTCCAATGCCCAGACATTGATGGACATACATAAGCATCAAGACCATCTAGGAAAACATGACTTTACCAAACTAATAAAGGCACCAGTTGCCAATTCCAGAGAGACAGACATGTGACATTTCAGACACAAAATCCTAAACAGAAAAAAAATTCAGAATACTATCAGATAAATTTAACAAAGAGATTGAAAACAATTTTAAAAAATCAAGTATGAATTCTAGAGTTTAAAAAAGCAATTGACATGCTGAAGAATTTACCACAGTCTCTTAACAGCAGAATTTATCAAGCAGATGAAAGTAGTGAGTCTGAAGACAGGCTGTTTGAAAATACACAAAGGAGACCCCAAAAATAATTTTAAAAATGAAGTATACCTAAAAGATCTAGAAAATAGCCTTAAAAGGGCAAATCTAAGATCTAGTAGCCTTAAAGAGGTGGCAGAGAGAAAGATAAGGATGGAAGTTTATTCAAAGGGATAATAACAGAGAACTTTCCAAATCTAGAGAAAGATATGAACACTCAAGTACAAGAGGGTTATAGAACACCAAGTAAACTTAACCCAAATTAAGACTATCTCAAGACATTTAATAATTGAACTCCAAAAGGTCAAGATTAAAGAAAGGATCCTAAAAGCAGTAACCAAAAGGAAACAAGTAACATACAATGGAGCTTCTATACGCTGGCAGCAGACTTTTCAGTGGAAACCTTACAGGCCAGTAGAGAGTAGCATGACATTAAGTGCTGAAGGAAAAAAAACCTAGAAAAAAAATACTATTCTAGAATAGTGTATCCAGCAAAAATATTCCTCAAACATGAAGGAGAACTAAAGACTTTCCCAGACAAACAAAAACTGAGCGATTTCATCAACACCATACCTGTCCCACAATAAATGCAAAAGGAAGTTCTTCAATCTGAAAGAAAAGGACGTTAATGAGCAGTAAGAAATCATCTAAAGGTACAAAACTCACTGGTAATAGTAGGCACACAAAAAAATGCAGAATATTGTAACACTGTAATTGTGGTGTATAAACTACTCATGTATTCAGCAGGAAGACTGAAAGATGAACTGGTCAAAACTACTTGATGGTTTCAATGCTGAATTTTACCAAACATTTAAAGAAAAATTAACACCAACCTTACTCAACCTATTCTGAAAAACAGAGGAAATAATACCTCCAAACTCATTCTGTGAGACCAGTATTACTTTCATACCAAAACCAAAGATACGTCAAAAAATATATACATATATTGGCCAACTTATCTGATAAACATTGGTGCAAAAATCCTCAACAAAATACTACCAAAACAAATTCAACAATACATTAAACATATCATTAATCATGACCAAGTGGGATTTATCCCAGGATGCAAGGATGGTTCAACACAGGCAAAATAATCAATGTGATACATTATATCAACAGAATGAAGAATGAAAATCTTGTCCTTCATGGTATGATCATGGTATAATCATTTCAATTGATGCTGAAAAAGCATTTGATGAAATTCAACATCACTTCATGAAAAAACATGATAAAAAACTGGGTAGCAAAGGAACACACCTCAACCTGATAAAACATACATGACAGGCTCACAGCTAGTATCATATTGAATGGGGGAAAACTAAAATTCTTTCATCTAAGAGCTTGAATATGACAAGAACACCCATTTTCACCACTATTATTCAACATAGTACTGGAAGTCCTAACTAGAGTAATCTGACAAGAGAAAGAAATAAAGGGCATCTAAATTGGAAAGGAAGAAGTCGAATTATCCTTATTTGCAGATAATATGATCTTATATTCAGAAAAACCTACAGATTCCAGGAAGAAACTATTGCAACTGAAAAAATTCAGTAAAGCTGCATGACATAAAATAAACAAACAAAAATCAGTAGCATTTCTACATGCCGACAACAAACCTAAAAAAGAAATCCGGAAAGTAATCCCATTTACAATTGCTGCACAGAAAATAAAATACCTAGAAATTAATTTAACCAAAGAAGTGAAAGACCTCTACAATGAAAACTCCAAAACACTGATACAAGAAATTAAAGATTAAAAAAAGGGTGGGAAGAAGATATTCCATGTTCATGGATTAGAACAATCAACAGTTAAAATGTTCATACTACCCAAAGCAATTTACACATTCAATGTAATTCCTATCAAAATACCAATGACATTCTTCACAGAAATTTTTTAAAAATCCTAATATTTGTATGGAACCACAAAAGACCCAGAATAGCCAAAGCAATCCTTGAATAAAAAAAAACAAAACTGAAGGAATCACATTATCTGACTTCAAATTATACTACAGAATTATAGTAAACAAACAAGCATAGTAATGGCATAAAAGAAAAAGACACATAGACTAATGAAACAGAATAGAAAACCCCAAAACAAATCGATACATCGACAGTGAACTCATTTTTGACAAAGGTTCCAAGAACATACATTGGGGAAAGAATGGTCTCTTCAATAAATGGTGCTGGGAAAACTAGATATCCATATGCAGAAATGCAGAAGAATAAAATTAGACTTTTATCTCTCACCATATTCAAAAATCAAATCAAAATGGATTAAAGACTTAAATCTAAGTCCTCGAGCTATAAAACTACTAAAATAAAACACTGGGGAAGCTCTCCAGGATATTGGATTGGGCAACCAAAGCAAAAATGGGCCTATGGGATCTTATCAAGTCAAAAAACCTGCATAGCAAGGGAAACAATCAACAAAATGAAGAGATAATCCATAGAATAGGAGAAAATATTAGCAAACTACCCATCTAACAAGGAATTATTAATAATAACCAGAATATATAAGGAGTTCAAACAACTCTATAGGGAAAAATTTCTAATAATCTGATTTTGAGAATCTAAATAGACATGTCTCAGAAGAAGACATACAAATGGTAAAGAAATCCACAAAAAGGTGCTCAACATCATTCATTATGAAAGAAATGCAAATAGAAATTACAGGAAGATATCATCTCATCCAAGTTAAAATGGCTTATGTACAAAATACAGGAAATAACAAATGCTGGTGATGATGTGGAGAAAAGAGAACCCTCTTACACTGTTGGTGGGAATGTAAGTTACTAAAACCACTATGGAGAGCAGTTGGAGGTTCCTCAAAAAGCTAAAAATAAACCTACTACATGATCCAGCAATCTCACTGCTGGGATATAACCAAAAGAAAGAAAATCACTGTACCAAAGAAATATTTCATTCTCATGTTTATTGCAGCACTATTCACGATAGCCAAGATTAGGAAGCAACCTAAGTGTCCATTTAGATGAATAAATAAAGGAAATGCGGTACACATACACAGGAAAGCACTATTCAGACATTTAAAAAAAGAATGAGATTCCCCCAAGCACTTTGAGAGGCTGAGGCGGGAGGATCACTTGAGCCCAGGAGGTCAAGACCAGACTGGGCAACAGTGTGAGACCTCATTTTTATTAAAAAAAAAAAATTAAAAGAATGAGATCCTGTGACTTGAAACAACATGAATGGAACTGGAGGTCATTATGTGAAGTGAAATAAAACAGATAAAGACAAACTTTGTATGTTCTCAGTCATTTGCGGGAGCTAAAAATTAAAACAAGTGAACTCATAAAAGCAGATAGTAGAATGATGGTTACCAGAGGCTGGGAAGAGTAGGTGGGGGTTGGGGAGAGAGGTAATGTTTAATGGGAACAAAATATAGAAGATACAATGAATGAGATTTAGTATTGATAGCACAACAGGCTAAGTACAGTAAACAATAATTTGTTGTACATTTTAAAATAAGAAAGAGAGTATAAATGAAGTGTTGTAACACAAAGGATAAATGCTTGAGGTAATGGATACCCCATTTACACTGATGTGATTATTACACATGGTATGCCTGCATCAAAGTATCTCATGTACTTCATTAAAATATACACCTATGTACCCACACAAATTAAAAATAAAAATTTTAAAAATTGTATGTATGTATTTAAAAAATAGTACTGCCGGGCGCTGTGGCTCAAGCCTGTAATCCCAGCACTTTGGGAGGCCAAGGCGGGTGGATCACGAGGTCAAGAGATCGAGACCATCCTGGTCAACATGGTGAAACCCCGTCTCTACTAAAAATACTAAAAATTAGCTGGGCATGGTGGCGTGTGCCTGTAATCCCAGCTACTCAGGAGGCTGAGGCAGGAGAATTGCCTGAACCCAGGAGGCGGAGGTTGCGGTGAGCCGAGATCGCGCCATTGCACTCCAGCCTGGGCAACAAGAGCGAAACTCCGTCTCAAATTTAAACCATGTGGTATTTTCTTCATATAAAAATGGTCTATGCAAAATTACTGAGATGAGATGGACTAGGGATCAGCGAATTGTAGAGGGAGAGAGGTGGGTGTGACCATAAAGGTAGCATAAGAAATATTTTTGTGGTGGTGGAATAGTTATTTTATCTTGATTGCAGTAATAGTTACACAAATGTACATTTTTATAAAATGGCACAGAACTATACAAGTCTGGGCATTTAAAAGCTAACATAACTGGCCTGAGGATGCTATCCTTATTAAGGCTGCCTGCAAAGTTGATCTTTGGCTCATGCCTGGAAACTTGAATTTTGGCAGTGTTTCCTAACTGATAAAGGTGCCTTGTTTTATCTAGACTATTTGTGCAAACAATGTGATTTATGCTGACCATCAAGGAGTTTCTTCTGGAAGTCTGGAATTTTGATACATGCCATGCAGCAGCTACCTAGATGACCAACACCCAATAAAAATGTTGATCACTGAGTCTCTTATGGGTTTCCCTGGGCAGAAACATTGTAGATGTTGCTACATTTTCATTTGTGGAGGTGGCCATATACGCCATGTGACTTGTCATAGGAGGGACAAAATAAAGGGGAACCTGTAGATGGCTTTCCCAGACTTCACCTGTGTCTTTTCCCCACATGATTTACCATACATCCTTACTACATCACCATAATAAATCTTAGATGTTAGTATAACCATAAGGGGAGTCCAGTCCTTCTAGCAAATCTCTGAACATGAGGGTGGTCTTGGAGACCCCAGACACAAAGCCCCATGAACGAACAACAATTTCCTATTTTTCATATGTACTGGAGTCATGTAATAATGTAACTATTGAGGGCAACAGTTTGAGTTGTACACCAATAACTCCCTGTACATTGTATTTGTGGTAGTTAGGATCATGTATCAACTTGACTGGCCACAGGGTGCCCAGATTACTGTTGCTGGGTATGTCTCTGAGGGTGTTTCCAGATTAAATTTGCCTTTGAAATGGCAGACTGGGTATAACAGGTTTCCCTCTCCAAGGTAGGTGGGCATCATCCAATCCATTAAGGCCTGAATAGAACAAAAAGTAGAGGAAGGAAGAATTCATCCTTTTTTTGCTTCCAGCCTATTTGCTGGGGCTGGGACATCTCATCTCTGCTTCTGCCCTCATCCTTGGATTTATATCATTAGCTTCTTAGCCTTCAGAACTGGGATGAATTATACCACCAGCATTCCTGGGTCTCTAGATTACAGAGAGCAGATCATGGGACTTACTGAGCCTCCATAATCACATGAGCAAATTCCTCATAATAAATCACATATATATTCCTTATAATCCTGTATACACACATGTGTGTATAAGTATTTGTGTGTATGTTTTATACATATAAAACAGAACACACATACACACAAACACACACACACACACACACACACACACACACACACACACACAGCAAAACAGTTTGGTTTCTCTGGAGAACCCTGGACTCCAATGCTCTTAAGCTCTGTATTGACTGAAGATTATAACCCTATCTTTTGTCACATTCCCCTTTTTCATCGAGATTACCCTGTATAATAAACAAGGTTTTTTAAATACGTAGAACAATAAATAGCCATAGGATATAACCTTTCTTTTTACAGTGATCTAACGTATTCTCTCACCTTATAATGACTAACAGTATAAAATGAAGAGATAAATGATTGGGGTTAAAATTTGACTTCAAACTGATCTCAGTGGAGATAGACATATGTGTTTGTTCCTGATAGACTAAGTGAGTTTATTAATATAAACTCCCGATAACATCTAAGTGGTTACCACCCTAAAATTCCCATCCCTGAAGAGGCAGTAAAATGTTGTAGTTCAGACCATAGACTACATGGATTATATCCTGAATAGAGCCAAGATTACATGGACTGCATCCTGACTCCACTACTTATTACCTAGTTAAGTTAGCAAGTTATTTAACCTCTGTGCCTTGGTTTCCTCATCTACAAAATGGGAATAGTAAGATGGGGTAGTTTTGAACAGTGAAAGAGTTAATTCTTACAAAGTGCTTAGAACAGTGGCTGTCATAAACACTAAATAAGTGTGAGCTATTATTTTGCAATGAAAAGAAAACAGCTTCATGAATAACACAACAGAGACTAGCTAAATACAATTCTAAATAAAACATTTCTAAGAACAAGATAAGATGTAGGATTGTGGTAATGCTGTAATTAGAAGAAGAAAAACTCTGGAATTTAAAGATGCAAGTGGTACATTTCTAACCTAAACCCCTGTCCTTTTATCCCACCTTACCCCCATCAGCAAAGATTATTCCAAGAACTAGAAAAAAATGAATATGGAAATGCTATTGGCAAATGCACCTCCATAATACATAATCCACTGTTGCCTCCTACAAGATTGTCTTATCCCTTTTTGGTTGCCTTAAAGGACAGGGAGAGTAATTTGGATATAGCAGTAGACTGCTTTGATCATGACAATGCCACTGCTCACAAGTACTACCAAGAGCTACCAAGAGAGAAACTCTTCCATTTCCTAGTGCAAGACTCATCTTTGAAGTAATGTCTGAGTAAAGAAGGCTAAGCAATGGGTACCTGCTAAGGCTGATTTACATTGATTTGTTTCACTCAAGGGCAATCTGGTCAGTAGGAGAAATAGCAAGTCTGCTACATCCCCAAAGTTCTGAGCATTACAAAATGTAAACCCCCCATTTTCTTTGTTTCCTCATTGGAATCCAACTAGAATCTCCTTTTGAATGGTGTATCTAATTAGGAATTAGGGGAAGAACCCTAATTCCTAGAATACTAAATAAGAATTATTTTTCCATCTTTTTGTACATCATCATGATATGGGATTTGATGTCTTAGCTCTCTTTTCTGGTCTCTGGGTAGTCCTTTTTTGAAGATAAATCTATTTATTTCTAAAGTATCATTTGGTCTTAAACACATAAATACATTTTGTTAATTTTACCTATAATAGAAATTCCAACTTTTGCAAACATAGAAATCTCAGAAGAAAGAGAAGCTGAGTATGGTTTAAAGACAGAATTTTTTTCTTTTTTTAAATTGATAAATAAAAATTGTATATATATATCATATACAACCTGATATTATAAAATATGTATACACTGTGAAATGACTAACTCAAGCTAATTAATGTGTATAACCTCACATATTTATCATTTTTGTGGTGAAAATACTTAAAATTTACTCAGCAATTTTCAAAATTATAATACATTGTTATTAACTATAGTCACTATGTTCTACAATAGGTCTCTTGAACTTATTCCTTATATCTAACTGAAATTTTGTATCTTTTGACTAACATCTTCTCAGCCTATACTCCTGACCTCTATCACTGTATTCTCTGCTTCTGTGAGTCAACTCCTAGATTCCACATTCAAATGACATGCAGTATTTGTCCTTCTATACCTGGCTTATTTATTTTAACTTTATGATTCTCTATTTCTAATTGGGAAAGTCAGTTTCTATTAGTTCAAGTTTATCTTAAGATGAAGAATTTTGTGGTAGGTAAGGGAACTAGAATAGGCTTATTATAGAGCTTATTACAATCACATAAGAAAGTACAAGACATATAAGTCATCTACAAGTCATATAAGAAAGTACTAGACACAGGAAGGCAATAAATTTTATATGTACCCTTTTCTAGAGGTAAAAGAGAAAAATAAAAATAGGCCCACACCTTAAAATAAGCATGCATTAGCTGTTTTCTCACTGAGAAATACTGACCCAGTCCATTATTTTACATTTTCAAAAACCAAACACTTACAGTATAATTAGTAGCTTGAATGTTCCTGAGTGCTGCTTCCAGTTGTGTTATCAAGAAACGTAAAGTCAAAGCAGGAACAATTTCCTCACCATTCTGGCTGTTAGCTGCAACTTCTCTCTGTGAAAAATAGTTCAGTTAAAAAAGTCTTTAAGTCTGAACAAATATATACATACGTTTACATTATACAAATAATTCATGCTCATTGGAGAAAATTTGAAAAATACAATGAAAATGGCTTTAAAAAAAATCCATACCATCTAGATACACTGTTCTCATGTTTGTTAAGTAGTTTTTAAGTCACCTAATGAATGCCGTTTGTAACTATTTCCTTAAAACATTTTTTTAAAAGGCATTCCCTTACTTGTCAAGGGGTTAGCAGCATCCACACCTACTTCAGAGGAAAGTGGTAATCCCACTTCACTCTCATACATTCTATTGTGTGATATAGCTAAAATCTTCCAGCTCTGAACCTGTCTGTGGTAAACAGGAATGCTGGCATTAATACCAATAAAGGGGTATTGCAGCATTTTATGCTGCAATCTGATTGCAGCTGAGCTAATGCATGCTTTATTATGTACTATAGTTTATTTACATGGTTGAAATGAAAGGTAGGACTGTGTCTTTGTGTCCATTCCCCAATTGCTTTCTACCCGACAAGTGCTTGCTTTAAATTATATTACCTGTTTAATGATGTATAATCTGCATGGAAATTTAATCTACATTTCCGTAACTTGGTTTCCATATATAATATTTTCCTGTTTCTTTCCTAGCTGACTAGATACTTTATTTCAGTCTCCCTAGCCATCAATTGAATGAGCCTCTTCTCTATCAATACATATTCTCTAGATAAAGTACTCCACTGTCATGATTTTAAATAGTGTCTACACACTGACAGATTCCAAATTTTCATTTCTGGCCAAGAACTATCACCTGTATTCCAGGCTCACAGCCAACTCAGCAATATCTCTTGAATTTGAATAGAAATATAAAACATAATACTGAAGTTCCACCTCTGTCAAACAGTCTAGGTGGTTTCAAATCAATCTCCCCAGTGAGAATAACTAAAACTGCTGGACAAAACATAAAAACTAATCTGAGAGCAATGGAATTCTACCAAGACAATGAAAATGAACACCTCTGAAAGGTAACCTCTGGGAAGCTGACTTTTGGAGCTAATTTTCTCATTAATGTAATTGCTACATTCAGTTGTGGCACAGCCTTCAGCAGATTTGCAAGGCCGGGGGGGAAAACTGGAGTGCATAGCCTGTAAGGAAGGGTAGCCCTGATAAACAGCTCATTCTTTTGATTGAGGCCCTGTTTTAGTTACAATGGAAGTGGACCAGAATTCAAGGATTTCAATGGAAATAGTTTATTTGGGAAGAACAGAGACAATGGTAGAATAGTGGAAAAGTAATAAAGTAAAGGAAAAGTAGGCTTTAAGTTAAAGGATGTGTTATTAAGCTAGTTACCCATGGTGGGCCACTGCAGTTATTACAACTGGGAAATTCTGGAAAACTCAAAATTACAAATCAGTATTAACCAACTCAACAGAGAAGATGCAACTGGGATATTCATATAACTTCCAAGACCTACTGACTGAGTGCTTTCTGGGGTAATGGGGAAATATTAATTCCTTGGATTTTCTGAACTGCCATGAGAAGTAGCTTTCTCCTGTTTTAGAAAAAAAAAAAATCCCTGAGACATAGAGATATAGATAGGAAAACTACAATTGTCCAGGGCATACTGAAAATATTGGTAGGATCCAATTGGTATGGGAAGAGCACTGACAGAGTCTGCTACAAAAAGTAGAGAAACTGACCCTTCTTCAAAGAACTCAGTAAAGATTGGAATCATCTCTACCCCAGATTGAATTAAATAATTTACTAGAAAAGCAAAAATAAAAATTACTAGAAAAAATTTTGTCCAGTTTTCTCAGTTCTTCACAGAGGAACATTGCTATGAGACAAACCAGGCAGCTACTCCAAGAAGCAGAATTATCTTTATTATCTTCAATAACTACAGTATTTGTATTTATGTTTTCATGTTCATTCATGATTTTGGATATTTTTGCTTCCTTTTTTGGACATAACTTATTAAGCATTTGTCAATTTTATTGTTCTTTTCAAAAAAGCAAGTTTTGGATTTATTGATCTTTCCTATTTTATGCTTTAAATAGATTTCATTAGTTTGAAATCTATCACTTCCTTTTTGAGTGCTTTTAGTTTGCTGTTTTTCCATTAACCTCTTGAATGTATGCTTAGATAAATGATATTCAGTCTTGCTTTTTTTCTAATATTTACATCACATTGCAAGTTATAAATTTTCCTTGAAGCACAGCTTTATCTAATAACACAAGATTTGATGTTATTTTTATTCAGTTCAAAAATGTATTTAACTTCTGTTGTGATTTCTTCTTTGACCAGTTGGTTACCTAGATTAGAGGTATATCTCTTATGAACATATAGTTTTCTAGATACCGCTTTTATTGATTTCTAGATTAACTGAACGTTAGAGAACATACTCTGTTATGTTTTGATACTTTAAAATTTGATGGGGCTTGCTTTGTGACCTAGTATATGGTCAATTTTTGTAAATGTTCGGTGTGCACTTAAAAAGGATGCATATTCTGCCACTGTTGGGTGTAGTGTTTATACATGTGTCTCAGGTAGACCGAGTCTGCTATAGCTCTACTAATTTTGTGTCCATGTTCTCTCAGTTATTAACAGAAGTATGTTAAAATATCCCATTGAGATTGATTTGTCTGTTTCCTTTCGTATTATCTATTTTTATCATATTATCATTCATGAAAGTTCTGTAGATATTTGGGTCTACTTCTGGGAACTTATCTTCTATTTTCTAGACATGTCTATGGTATAAAGAACAAGTAACACAATCTTTTAGCTATTAAAGCTTCATAATAACTTTTAATGTTTAAGTAGGCAAATTCCCAGCCCTACTCCCTTATACTTTTCTTAATTTTCTTGGCTATTTTTCCTTTATTTCTCATGTGAACTTTAGACTTGGCATTTAGGGACACTAACTAAAAAAATCCTATTATTTTAGTGGCGTTATGTGATATTTGTGGATTTTAATTTGTGGAAAATTGAAAGCTTTAACATACTGTGTCTTCCTACATACACTATTCCATTCATGTGGTCATTTCTTACACTTTCAATAGAATTTTAGAAAGTTTTATTTATTGTTTTAATAAGGAGTACTGACTTCTAAACTTAATGTGACTAAAATCAGTGCTTGGGTACTTGCTAAAATGCAGACTCCCAGATCTATCCCCAGAGATTTTGATTCTTTAGAATTGATACAGGGTCAGATATTCTCATGTGGTTTAGAACAAGCTTAAGGAAATACCAGTTTATCTTGTACATTCCTTAAGTGTTTTACTCAGTATTTTACTTTTGTTATTATTATAAATAAGTATAGTTCACCCTCCATATCACAGGTTCTGCCTCCATGGATTCAACCCACCATGGACTGAAAATATTTGAAAAATAAATAAATAAATAGCAAGAATACAATAATTTAAAAAACTGAAAAGACAATATAGTATAAGAGCTATTTATATAGCATTTACATTGTATTAGGTATTATAAGTATTCTAGGGATGATATAATGTATACAGAAGAAGGTGTACAGGTTGTATGCAAATACTATGTCGTTTTACATAAGAGACTTGGGCATTCTTGATTTTTGTACTGGGGGGTGTTCTGGAACTAGCATCTCACAGATGCTGTACTGATCTTCTATTTTTACATTCTAGTTGGTATTTTTTACACATCTGAAGGCTACTGATTTCTGTCTTGTTTCTAAGTGATTTCCAAAACTAAGAGGGAAATGATGGCATTATTCTATCAATTACAAGCCAGAATTCCCTTATACTGTGGTAAATTATCTCAGTTAATGTTATAATTGTACATAAGTCTTTGGAATATCTTCAGAGTTTGTTAGAATTTTTAATCATAATAGTATTAATGTGTTTCATGGAAATAATTACATATTCTTTCATAGAAATACAAATGTAGCCTTCTAAAGACAATTGTGGTGTTTTGCCCTTCTCTTCCCTAGTTCATTGCCACAAAGAAAAGAGTATATAATTTTCTTTAACTTCAGGAAACTCTATTAATTTAAGAAATGGTACCCTTTTTATGCTAAAAATTACCACAAATTATACAGAAAAACTACTTTCTAGATGGAAATCTACAATATATCCTCTGGAATATTATATGAATAATTCCAAAAGTTTGGATATGATTTTTGAAAATAAATTTTTGACAAATGTGTAACTTTTTTTTTTTTTTGAGACACAGTCTTGCTTTGTCTCCCAGGCTGGAGTTCAGTGGCATGATCTCAGCTCACTGCACCTCCGTCTCCTGAGTTCAAGTGATTCTCCTGCCTCAGCCTCCCAAGTAGCTAGGATCACAGGCATGTGCCACCATGTCCGGCTAATTTTTGTATTTTTAGTAGAGATGAAATTTCACCATGTTGTTTTAACTCCTGACCTCAGTGATCCACCCACCTCGGCCTCCCAAAGTGCTGGGATTACAGGCGTGAGCCACCATGCCCAGCCAAATGTGTTAACATTTTGAGTTAGGAGACTAAAAGCAGTCCCATGTCACAGACTGGCACGGTATAGGTTGGAATAAACACTAGACCTTGTAGTCAACAGCTTACAAGCTACCAACCCACATTCCTACCATTATTCTTAAAAGGCTAGCACCACATGACTCTATTTGCTCAATGTTTTAAAAGTCTACAGTCAAGGTTGTACCAAAGCCCTTTACAACAGATAAAATGGAGATTTTTTTTCAAGACTTTGGCTACGCTTTGTGGTTAAAATTTTTTTTTTAATTAAAAAAGTCAGACAGCTGCACTTCTGCCACAAAGATCAAATTATGATGTTACCTGCATAGTTTGGAAGGAAAAATCTTCTTGTAAGAACTTCTTAATGTGAGGAAGCACACCTTTTGGTAGAGTATTAATTGCACTTAATAACTTCTTCACTTCTAATAGTAGGTTAACAGGAACAAGATCAGTAGAAACATCCTTTTCCTGTTTGTCCTAGAAGACATTATTGATTAAAAATTTACACAGTTAAGCATATTCTCATTTACTCTAATACCAAAATCAGCCAAAGCATTAAAAAAGGAACAAAGCTCCCTTTACCTTGTTCTTCTAGCTTCTATGACAGAACTATAGAAAATCTAAGGAGGAATAATATATGTTCTCTGCTTTCTAGGAACTTAAAATATTACATATATTCTCAGTAACAGGAAAATTATATCTAACTGTGCTTTTTACATTATATGACTGATGCTTCAGCTATTAAATACATAGCAATTTGAAAATGAATAGTTTGAAAGATGGCCGCCTAAGAACAGCTCAGGACTTCAGCTCCCAGTGAAGGTGCAGAGGGTGAGTGGACGCCGCATTTCCAGACGAACTCTTATTGCCCACAGACCAGGAGATACCCAGGCAGAGGGGTCGCCAGCGTCGCAGTCCCAGCCGGTGCGGCTGTTTTGGCCCCTGTGGGGCTGATTCCGCCCGCGCGGCTGCTGTGACCACGCCCTGTTGCTGCGGTTCTCCGTACAAAAGCCACTGGTCTGGGAGCCCTCTTAGCTGGCGAGCAGAGCCCTGAGACGGCAGAGTTGCCCATTCATCTGAAATAGCGAGTCAGGCCAGGAGATTCCTAGGCAAAAAATCCGCCAGGAGCCGGCGCCACAGTTCGAGCCGACTCCGTGAGTCCCAGCACGGGAGATCCCGGCGCCTTTTCAGCAGGCGAACCGAACGCGGGGTCCTTCAACTTAAAAGAAAAGACTGAGTCAGGGAGCCAGGTGATCAGGCGCGGTTGGTCCCACCCCTCCACCCCCAACAACAACGAAAACAAAAACAGTAATTGGAAACCCTCTGGGTTGAGCCTTCCAAACCAAGCACAGCTGAACCAGGACGGTCCGGCTCCGTGGGGGAGGGGCTTCCGCCATTACTGAGACTCTCCACCGCTACGGAGGCAGGCTGCCGTTGCCAAGGCAACCCGCCGTTGCCGAGGCAACCTGCCACAACAGAGAGAGTCCACCATAACAGAGGCGGGGCCACCATTGCCCAGACAGTTCTAACTAAGCCCATATAAAAAGGACTACAGGGAAGAGCTCAGGGCAGCTGGGCGGAGCCCACAGCAGCTCAGCAAAGCCCCTGCGGGCAGGCAGTGGCTAGGCGTGCTGCTAGCTGGGCAGGTCAGACCTGAAAGAAAAATCAAAAAAGGCAGTAGTGCAACGGAAACTCATAAAGCTCCAACTCCCTGGGACAGAGACACAACAGGTGGATAAACCCACAAAAATGGGAAGAAACCAGCGCAAAAAGGATGAAAACTCCCGAAACCAGAACACCTCTCCTCCTAAAAGGGATCACAACTCCTCACCAGCAAGGGAACCAGACCGGATGGAGAAGGAGGGTGATGAAATGACAGAATCAGACTTCAGAAGGTGGGTAGTAAGAAACTACAATGAGCTAAAAGAACATGTTCTAACCCAACGCAAAGAAAATAGGAACCTTGAAAAAAGATTGGACGAACTGCTGACGAGAATGGACAGCATAGAGAGGAGTATAAGTGAATTGATGGAGCTGAAAAATGCAACACGAGAACTTCGTGAAGCATGCACAAGCTTCAACAGTCGAATTGACCAAGCAGAAGAAAGGATATCAGAGGTCGAAGATCAACTCAATGAAATAAAAAGAGAAGGCAAGAACAGAGAAAAAAGCACAAAAAGGAATGAACAAAATCTTCAAGAAATGTGGGACTATGTGAAAAGACCTAATCTACGTCTGATAGGTGTACCTGAATGTGATGAAGAGAATGAATCCAAGCTGGAAAATACTCTTCAGGATATTATCCAGGAAAACTTCCCCAACCTAGCAAGGCAGACCAATATTCAAATCCAGGAAATACAGAGAACACCACAAAGATATTCCTCAAGAAGAGCAACCCCAAGGCACATAATCGTCAGATTCACCAGGGTTGAAATGAAAGAGAAAATGCTAAGGGCAGCCAGAGAGAAAGGTCGGGTTACCCACAAAGGGAAGCCCATTAGACTCACAGCAGATCTCTCAGCAGAAACCCTACAAGCCAGAAGAGATTGGGGGCCAATATTCAACATCCTTAAAGAAAAGAACTTTCAACCCAGAATCTCCTATCCAGCCAAACTAAGCTTCATAAGTGAAGGAAAAATAAAATCCTTTGTGAACAAGCAAGCACTCAGAGATTTCATCACCACCAAACCTGCTCTACAAGAACTCCTGAAAGAGGCTCTACACATATAAAGGAACAACCAGTACCAGCCACTCCAAAAACATACCAAATGGTAAAAGAGCATCAACACAATCAAGAATCTGCATCAACTAACCAACAAAACAGCCAGGTAGCATCAAAATGACAGCATCAAATTCACACATAACAATACTATCCCTAAATGTCAATGGACTAAATGCCCCAATCAAAAGACACAGACTGGCAAATTGGATAAAAAGCCAAAACCCATCAGTGTGCTGTATCCAGGAAACCCATCTTACATGCAAGGATACACAAAGGCTCAAAATAAAGGGATGGAGGAAGATCTACCAAGCAAATGGAGAGCAAAAAAAGGCAGGAGTTGCAATTCTCATCTCTGATAAAATAGACTTTAAAGCAACAAAGATCAAAAGAGACAAAGAAGGACATTACATAATGGTAAAAGGATTACTGCAACAAGAAGAGCTAACGATCCTAAATATATACGCACCCAATACAGGAGCACCCAGATACATAAGGCAAGTTCTTAATGACTTACAAAGAGACTTAGACTCCCACACAATAATAGTGGGACACTTTAACACCCCATTGTCAATATTAGACAGATCATCCAGACAGAAAATCAACAAGGATATCCAGGACCTGAATACAGACCTGGAACAAGCAAACCTAATAGACATTTACAGAACTCTCCACCCCAAATCCACAGAATATACATTCTTCTCAGCACCACATCACACCTACTCTAAAATTGACCACATAATTGGCAATAAATCACTCCTCAGCAAATGCAAAAGAACAGAAATCATAACAAACAGTCTCTCAGACCACAGTGCAATCGAGTTAGAACTCAGAATGCAGAAACTAACTCAGAACCGCACAGCTTCATGGAAACTGAACAACTTGCTCTTGAATGTTGACTGGATAAACAATGAAATGAAGGCAGAAATAAAGATGTTCTTCGAAACCAATGAGAACGAAGACACAACATACCAGAATCTCTGGGACACATTTAAAGCAGTCTCTAGAGGAAAATATATAGCAATGAATGCCCACATGAGAAGAAAGGAGAGATCGAAAATTGACACCCTATCATCAAAATTGAAAGAGCTAGAGGAGCAAGATCAAAAAAACTCAAAACCTAGCAGAAGACAGGAAATAACTAAGATCAGAGCAGAACTGAAGGAAATAGAGACACAAAAAACTCTTCAAAAAATCAATAAATCCAGGAGCTGGTTCTTTGAAAAGATCAACAAAATAGACAGACCACTAGCCAGATTAATAAAAAAGAAAAGAGAAAATAAGCAAATTGATGCAATAAAAAACGATAAAGGGGATATCACCACAGATTCCACAGAAATCCAAACCATCACCAGAGATTATTACAAACAACTCTATGCACATAAACTAGTAAACCTGGAAGAAATGGATAAATTCCTGGACACCTGCATCCTCCCAAGCCTAAACCTGGAAGAAGCCGAAACCCTGAATAGACCAATAATATGGTCTGAAGTCGAGGCAGCAATAAAGAGCCTACCACCCAAAAAAAGCCCAGGTCCAGATGGGTTCACAGCTGAATTCTAACAGACATACAAAGAGGAGCTGATACCATTCCTTCTGAAACTATTCCAGACAATCCAAAAAGAGGGAATCCTTCCCAAATCATTTTACGAGACAAACATCATCCTGATACCAAAACCCGGCAGAGACTCAACAAGAAAAGAAAATTTCAGGCCAATAACCATGATGAACATAGATGCAAAAATCTTCAATAAAATACTGGCAAACCGATTGCAACAGCATATCAAAAAGCTCATCCACCATGATCAAGTAGGATTCATCCCGGGGATGCAAGGCTGGTTCAACATACGCAAGTCCATAAACGTAATTCACCACATAAACAGAACCAAAGACAAAAACCACATGATTATCTCAATTGATGCAGAGAAGGCTTTTGACAAAATTCAACAACGCTTTATGCTAAAAACCCTCAATAAACTAGGTATTGACGGAATGTATCTCAAAACAATAAAAGCTATTTACGACAAACCAACAGCCAATATCATACTGAACGGGCAAAAACTGGAAGCATTCCCTTTGAAATCTGGCACTAGACAAGGATGCCCTCTCTCACCACTCCTACTCAATATAGTACTGGAAGTTCTAGCCAGAGCAATCAGGCAAGAAAAAGAAATAAAGGGTATCCAAATTGGAAAGGAGGAAATCCAATTGTCTCTATTTGCAGATGACATGATTGTATATCTGGAAGACCCCATCATCTCAGCCCAAAATCTCCTGAAACTGATAAACAACTTCAGCAAAGTCTCAGGATACAAAATCAACGTGCAAAAATCACAAGCATTCCTATACACCAGTAATAGACTTCAAGAGAGCCAAATCAAGAACGAACTGCCATTCACAATTGCTACAAAGAGAATAAAGTACCTAGGAATACAACTAACAAGGAACGTAAAGGACCTCTTCAAGGAGAACTACAAGCATTGCTCAACGAAATAAGAGAGGATACAAACAGATGGAGAAACATTCCATGTTCATGGTTAGGAAGAATCAACATCGTGAAAATGGCCATACTGCCCAAAGTAATTTACAGCTTCAACGCTATTCCCATCAAGCTACCAATGACCTTCTTCACAGAACTGGAAAAAAACACCTTAAACTTCATATGGAACCAAAAGAGAGCCCGCATAGCCAAGTCAATTCTAAGCAAAAAGAACAAAGCAGGAGGCATCACACTACCGGACTTCAAACTATACTACAAGGCTACAGTAATCAAAACAGCATGGTACTGGTACCAAAACAGAGATATAGACCAATGGAACAGAACAGAGGTCTCAGAGGAAATACAACATACCCACAACCATCTGATCTTCGACAAACCTGACAAAAACAAGCAATGGGGAAAGGACTCCCTGTTTAATAAATGGTGTTGGGAAAACTGGCTAGCCATGTGCAGAAAGCAGAAACAGGACCCCTTCCTGACACCTTACTCCAAAATTAACTCCAGATGGATTAAAGACTTAAACATCAGACCTAATACCATAAAAACCTTAGAAGAAAATCTAGGCAAAACCATTCACGACATAGGTGTAGGCAAGGACTTCATGACCAAAACGCCAAAAGCAATGGCAACAAAAGCCAAAATAGACAAATGGGACCTAATCAAACTCCACAGCTTCTGCAGGGCAAAAGAAACAGTCAGTAGAGTGAATCGGCAACCAACAGAATGGGAAAAAATTTTTGCAGCCTACCCATCTGACAAGGGGCTGATATCCAGAATTTACAAAGAACTAAAGCAGATCTACAAGAAAAAAACAAACAAGCCTATTCAAAAATGGGCGAAGGATATGAACAGATACTTTACAAAAGAAGACATACAGGAGGCCGACAAACATAGGAAAAAATGCTCATCATCACTGGTCATCAGAGAAATGCAAATCAAAACCACATTGAGATACCATCTCACACCAATTAGAATGGCGATCATTAAAAAATCGGGAAACAACAGATGCTGGAGAGGATGTGGAGAAATAGGAACACTTTTACACTGTTGGTGGGAATGTAAATTAATTCAACCATTGTGGAAGACAGTGTGGCGATTCCTCAAGGACCTAAAAATAGAAATCCCATTTGACCCAGCAATCCCATTACTGGGTATATATCCAAAGGATTATAAATCATTCTACTACAAGGACACGTGCACACGAATGTTCATTGCAGCACTGTTTACAATAGCAAAGACCTGGAACCAACCCAAATGCCCAACGATGATAGACTGGATAGGGAAAATGTGGTACATATACACCATGGAATATTACGCAGCCATCAAAAACGATGAGTTCACGTCCTTTGTAGGGACATGGATGAACCTGGAAACCATCATTCTCAGCAAACTGACACAAGAGCAGAAAATCAAACACCGTATATTCTCACTCATAGGTGGGTGTTGAACAATGAGAACACATGGACACAGGGAGGGGAGCACTACACACTGGGGTCCATTGGGGGGAAATGGGGGAGGGGCAGGGGGGGTGGGGAGGTGGGAAGAGATAGCATGGGGAGAAATGACAGATACAGGTGAGGGGACGGAAGGCAGCAAACCACACTGCTAAGTGTGTACCTATGCAACAATCTTGCATGTTCATCACATGTACCCCAAAACCTAAAATGCAATAAAAAAAAAAAGAAAAGAAAATGAATAGTTTAACAGTTTAAAAGTGTGAACAAAGTAGTAAAGTAGAATGACATCTCAATTCAGTCAGAGCTCTATAAATAGAGCTATAAATATTTACAAATAGTAATAATTTTCTATTATTATTAATATAGGTATATATTAATATATATAAATTAATATAGTAAGTATTAATAATTACTATAAATAATATAAATAGTAATAATTTTCAAGAATTTATTCTTCCAGAATTAATAAAGGCGTTAGTAATTTGATAACTACACAATCAAGTCCTGCTGGAATATCTATTAACATTAGTTGTGAAGAACTAGTGGACAACAGAGATAAATGTCCTACAACAGATGGATGATGGCCTTCCTTCAAACCTTAAGAAACCAGAGGTCTTATACTCTGCTGAAACTTCTAGGAATATGATTATGTTGCTGTTGATCTCTGAAAATAGGAACTTCTTATTGTAGAAGCCGAATAGAGCCTGAGATGCTGAAAATGCCCTGGTATGGGGTAATTCTTTCACTTTCAGTTCTCTAATAGATCTGTAAATAACTAGCAATGAATAAAGTCCATTGCAGGACTATCTGCCTAATCTAACTATGATGTTTTATCCTTCTCTTCTCTAGTTAGTTGCCACAAAGAAAAGAGTTTGCAAGGTTATCCAGTCACTTAACAGGGGAAAATATATAAACATAAAATAACCTTGGTATGCGGTATTCACCTGTATAAGGTTTTCACTGTAAAAAATGAGTTTGAATGCTACATTAAGATTCCTCCATCCCCATCTATATTCAACAAATGTACCTTAGATTTTATAGCATTTCATAAGATTATGTATGTAGAAAAATGTTAACAGTTTACTGTCTATGAAGGATGTTCATTGTATTACCATTCATTTTACAATCCTTGCAATCTTTCTATAGGTTTGAAATTTTTCAGTAAGTTAAAAAAAATTCTACCAAGTAACTAGAAAAACCCCTTATAAAGAATGACCAATATCATTGGTGCACATAATTCAAACTAAAGGCCAATTCTAGTCAAAAGTAACTGTAGAATCATCTGATACTAATTAAAAAATTTATACAAAGGCAAGATTATAGCATGACAAACCATTTTTCAACAGGAAATACTATAAACTTCATGCCTACAGGGTCTTGCTTTGTCACATAGGCTGGAGTGCAGTGGCATGAACACAGTTCACTGCAGCCTTGGCCTCCCAAGCACAAGTGATCCTCCCACCTCAGCCCCTCAAGTAGCTGGAAATACAGGTACGCACCACCACACCCGGCTAATTTTGGTATTTTTAGTAGAGACGATGTTCACCATATTGTATAGGCTGGTCTCAAATTCTTGAGCTTAAGCAGTCAATCTGCCTGCTTAAGTCAATCTCCCTAAGTGTTGGGATTACAGGCATGAGCCACCATGCCTGGTCCATAATTTTAATTTTTTAAGTTAGCTGTCAAAATACTTGATGCTTAATCCACTTTGACAAAATTGATTTAATATCTAAACAAAATTCAGGTCAAAGTGTCCACCTTTCTTGCTTTTTGTATTCCTAATTCTATACATAGAAATGCCTTTTCTGGATCTAGTCCCCTGGTTCTTGCCTTTGCTCAACTGTACAACTCTACATACATTTGCATGTAATGTACTTCCTCTGCAACACTATTTACAGTGATAACCTCATGCAGGTGAATGCCATGGTTATTTTATGTTTATGTATTTTCCCTTCCTCAGTTACTGGATAACCTCTGCAAATTTTCCTGCCTATGTTCCTGCTAACATGTTTCTACCCAAGTCTCATGTTGAATTGTAACTCCTAGTGTTAGAGGAGGCACCTGGTAGGAAGAGATTGGATCACGGAGGTGGTTTCTAATAGTTTAGCATCATCTCCCTAGTGTTGTCTCATGATATAGTTCTTACAAGATGTGGTTGTTTGAAAGTGTATGGCACCTTCCCCTTTGCTCTCTCTCTCTCTCTCTCTCTCCTGCTGCCATGTGAAGATACGCTTGCTTCCCTTTGCCTTCTCTCATGATTCTAAGTTTCCTGAGGACTACCCAGCCATGCCGCCTCCTGTCCAGCCTGAGAAAGTGTGATTCAATTAAACCTCTTTTCTTCATAAAATTACTCAGTCTCAGGTAGTTCTTTATAGCAGTATAAGACCAGACTGATATACTTATTAACAAGTGGATTCAATAATTACATAAAACTATATGAAAGATAAAAGTTATACTAATGAGCTCTTCATCAACCTTTCACAAAATATATGAACATATGATGTTCATACAACTATTTTTAACTACCACAAAAGCATACTACTGGTACTAAAAGCCTTTTCTGTATAATGAAGAGTTATTCTCTTTCATTTAGACCTAGAAGTTCTAACCATAAAGATAAAAATAAATAATAAACTTAACTTCAAAAATGACTCAAACTGCTTACTAAATAAAATTCTGATGTATATATGTGTGTTTTCTTTATATGTGCGTAGTTTTATCGTTGTCTTGCTTGAATGTTCCCTAAAAAAAAAAATGAGGGATTTCTTAAAATTGATTGTTGGGCTATTTATGGATAACTCAATTCATTTGTTTCCTAATTTTTAGTTATGGTGAGGAATGGTGTTTAGAATGACAACCTGAGACACAGTATCAATCATCAAAGCAAGATTCAACTGGACCATTTTACTAATGAAGGCAGGAAAGTAGACCCACTCAAAAGATTTTAACACATAATTAAACTAGCTAAATTTATCACGGCATTTGCATATATAATTAGTTATTATCAATTAAATAAAAGTTAATGAAAATTAAACTTCGTCTTACCAGTTGAACAGATGATGATTTTTCTGGCTTATTCTCAGTTTCTTCCTTCCTCTGATCCTCCACACGGGGATGCCTATTTTAAATGAAAATAAGGTGCATTAAGAACGTCTCCTCACAAAGAACACAAATTACAGTAAAGAATCTAACAACTGAATTATTGTCTGAAAGTGCAACCAAAGCATATCAAAGACTGGTTAATAGTGGTAGGTGCCATATCTCTTTAGGGACTCAAGTTAAGGAAGACAAATTAGGTCATGCCCTTACTGGATGGTGGTAGAGAAAACAGCAAGCTGATTATGAAAAACACTACATCCTTAATAGATACGCAGTAGACCAAAAAAAATGGGAAGAAAAACTTATAGCACTGTTTCAAGGTAAAGGAAAAAAGGTCTTAAAAGGGTTGAGATTTTGTGTTTGTTTATGAAGATATTACAGGTTAGGGAGACATCTATCTTAAATAGATCATTTTATTTTTTGTTTGGAGTTCCTAAACTTCTAATTGTCCAGTTTTCCAAAATATTTTTAATTGAGGAAAAATGTCATATTTAGAAATTATTAACTATTTGGGTAATAAGGAATCACTTGATAGGTTTTGCTTTTAACTTTAGCTCAAAATGTGAACATATTGCAGTATTACACACTGAAGAGAAAATTTTATTTATAGTATTGCTTTTGCCTGCATACAGAATCATTGCATAGGACTATAGGGTAATATATGGTATTACCTAATATATAGGGTAATAATTACATAATATAGGGTCATATATGATTTATTTAATATTAACTTTGGACTCCAGAAGAGATAACACTGAGGTGAGAAATTTATTTGACTGATTTATACAGAATCGTACTTTATAAATATTATCTTATTTGACTTTACATTTATGTATTCATTTGACAACCATTTATCATCTAATATATGCTAACTTATTTTGTTGGGGTAAACTGGGACAGATAAATAAAATGTTATTATCCATTTTCAAACTTCTAGTGGAAGTTTCTACCAAAGATGATATACACATGCAAACATTTCACAATATGATTTTCAGTGCTCTTTAACTTACCATGGTAAAAAGAAACCTATTAACTGCCTTTTCCTCCACATCCAAGTGGGGCCCCACTTGCCCCACAAAAAATAAAGCAAAACACAAATTATATCCGTGTGTTACCAAGGAATGAAAAATACTGCAGCAGTATTCTGAAGTCTTTCAAGGCTTGAGAAAGAGTATAAAATGTTCTCAAATGTATATTCTACAAGCAAACTCAATTTTATGATCATTCTCTCCTTAACCCAATACTTCTCAATCCCAGATGCATCTTAAAATCAACTGTGAAGCTTTTGAAACATCCAGATGCCCAAAACCTACTTCATGTCTTCTGAATCAAAAGTGTCATGTTAGGCTGCTATATTTTCTATAGGCTCCATTACAAATTTTGATGTGTAACCCCAACTTATCCTCACTTGCTCCTCTGTACAAAATAAAACTAAATCTCTTAGCAGCACTGTCACAATACTCTCCAAGAATTTTTCTTAAGTACTTTTTCTTGCTATTTCCTCACCTAAGCCAAATGACCTCTCATCCTACCTTGCTTCTAAACCCATCACAAGGTTTCTCATCCTTTAAAGATCAGTTCAAATGTTACTTTGTGGAACCTCACTCAGTCATCAGCCAATAATTATTTTTAATTCCTACAGACAGCCATAGTATCTCTAATAGTTATGCAATTTTCCTAAAGGTATAATTACCTTTTGTATATCTTCCCATTATTATTATAAGCTACCTCTAGGTATACAAACATTGTCTAGTCTTTATTCCTAAGCACCAAGGAATCAGTACATGCTTTTGTAAAATAAATAGGTCATGCTACTTATTATATGAGATAGTTCAAGCCTGGAGGGAGATCTCCAATATGAACCTGTTTAGCATTATATGAGGTACAGGTGGACTGAACTTGCCCTGCTTAGAGAAAAGATAATGTCATTTGGCCTTGGCCCACTGAACTACTCAGTAAGGTCTTCTGCATTATGCTTAAATTACCCTTTAGAAAATGGGGATAATAAGAGCACTCACTTCCTAGAGTTGTTATGAGGTTTTTGAGTAAAACATAACGTAAAAATAACAATGTTGACATAATAAGTCTATGTAAGCACCTGCTAAATGTTAAGCACCTGCTAAATGTTTGATGAGAATGACTGACAGTAAGGTATGGCATATTTTTCAATTCTTAGCTCTTAAGTGAGGATATAATCCCTAGTGAACTTTTGTAAAATTAGATTTCATCCAGTCTACATCACCCACAATCAAACTTGCTATAATGTCTTGAGGCATAAGGGTCTCCTGTTCACACTAGAGTCCCAAGGTTATGTGGAAAAAACAAATATTATGTCTTTTGGAATACAACAAAGGCAGTTCATTTCTGTCAACCTATCTCCTTTACCTCTGGGGTCCCAGGCCCCAGGCCACAGACAGGTACAGGTACATGGCCTGTTAAGAAGTAGGCTGCACAGCAAGCAGGAAGTAAGCAGTGGGTAAGCATTACCACCTGAGCTCCACCTTCTGTCAGATCAGCAGCACCATGAGATTCTCATAGAAGTGCAAACTATTGTGAACTGCCTATTCCAGGGACCTAAGTTGCCCACTCCTTATGAGAATCCAATGCCTGATGATCTAAAGTGGAACAGTTTCATCCCAAAACCATTCTCCCCACCCCCACCATCTGCGGAAAATTTGTTTTCCACGAAACCAGTTCCTGGTGCCAACCAGTTCCTGGGGACTACTGCCTTACCTCATAAAAAATTCTTCTGGTAGAGAATCCATGCTGCACAAGGTTTCTTTACAAAAGTCTTACTCCACTGCTTGCAAACTGATTTTAAATACTGCCCTTTAGTGCTGAAAGGAAAATAGTATTTTTATAAAGGTAGGAAAGTTACACTGTCCCCACTATGAAAACAGAACATGACCATCTGAAAAAAATTTGAAACATCTCTAAAAGAAGAAAATAAATCACATAGTTTCACCACCTAAACACAATCACTACTTATCCTTTAATATGCTTATTTTTTACCAAGCATAGGTATATTTTACCAATTTGTAATCATATTAAATAGAAGATGTTCTACCCAACCTTTTTCAATACTGAGTGTTATAGCAAAAGAATCCTTCATGTTATTTTACCCTCCTAGTAAACATTGTTAATGGCTATATAATAGCTGGTTGACTGGGATTTCCTTGGCCATTTCCTTATAGTTGGACATTTAATTTCCCATTTTTTCTATTATAAATAGTTCCATGATAAACTCCACTGTCCACAAAGCTTTTTCCATATTTATGATTATTTCTTTATAATAAATTCTCAAGAGTAAAATTAATATATCAAAAGACATAAACATTTCATTGTTAAATGGTTTCCCAAAAGGTTTATACTAATTTATTTCCCACAGAGGTATACATGACTTCCTGCTTAACACAATCTTTTATGACAGCACTGTTTTGTTTTCTTTTAGTCTACAAATAAGATGTCGTTACTTTTTCCCGCAAATCATGATTGTACGTCTCCATAAAATAGGAGACACAGGGTGTAAAGAACACTTGCACAATATCTCATTCAAATGTCAACCAATGTTGTAGATATTTCCTGAAAGAAAAATAACGCTGAGGCAATACAAATGAAAACAAAGGGACTAGAGTATCATAAGTATATATATTTATTTATATAGCTATATATTCCAAGAACAACTCTTCTAAAACTGGTCCCATTTAATCTCCTTACTGAGAGTTCAAGCCTGTAGACTCCAGTGCTTTGTGCTAGGCTGGCTTCCTTTTCTGATCCTACCCTAAGCTCATAAAGTGTTAAATCACATGTAAAACTATTGTTATGTGCTCTGGGCAAAAGAAGAAATAGAGGAAATAGAAAAGAAAGTGGCAGCAATAGCATAAATAAACAGACATGGATTGCCTTGGTGCCAAGCACAAGACTGGATGAAGTTTCTCATTTATTGTTTCTGAACTGCTTATTTATCTCAGTAATTGAGTAGTCATTTTAGTAACAGTATATTTAATACAATTCCATAAATTAGATTGGTACAGCTTTTCTAGGCCCATTACTAAAAGGTAATTCAGCATAGGGTAATGCCCAAATCAATAAAATATATTCCACAAGATCACTATAAGTCATCTATTAAGAATTCAGATTGTATTTACTCAAATAAACATTGTTTTAATGATATCCTGTTCCTCCCCCCCACCCCCCAAAAAAAGCAATTTACCGTAGACAGTAAGAAGTAACTGCAGGACCTGAATCTATCTAATAAACCTTGAAGTCTGTATATCTTTTCAGTAAGCTTAGAACAAGGGAGGGGGCAACTCAGCCCTTTTATGAGGGCTAAAACAAGTTCTGTGGAGATCATCTGTAAGACAAGCATTCCTAATTATGGTACTACATACCAATATTCTACATTTGACTCACACCAACTCTAACACAGGAAGTCTTGGAGAGACAAGAATAATTCTCCAACAATTTGCTACTGATATCTTAATCAAAACACAAAATTACACATACACACATACACACACACACACACACAGAGAGAGAGGAGAGAGAGACAGAGAGACAGAGAGAGAGAGAGAGAGAGAGAGAGAGAGAGAGAGAATTTCCTTCCAAATTTCATTTAAAAGAGAGTTTTCTTATAGTAGCTCTTAATTTATTGCCTGTCCCCAACAAAAACACTTCACTGCTGTCAGTATTACAACTTGCCTACATAGAATGAAGAGTTCTCCTAGATAATTATTTTATTTTATAGTTTTATTCTCATTTCAAAAATTCAGTAAGTCATATTTTAATTTGTATTCTCTGTTCAAATACTGATGAAAGACACAAACTGCAGCTAATAACGAAGCACAGAGGTTGAATAAACCTTGTCATTCACACTAGATCAGATCTGCTTCATCTCGTTAATAAAGCTGTATAGAAAAGGACATAGCTTTGAGGATTTTAGGACTGTGATCAAGCTATTTTTATAGTTCGGTTTCTATAAATCTCCCTGTTATTTTAATAAAAAGTAACAACAGTTAAGGCATTATTTCATAGCTAGAGAATACAAATGTATGCCTTTTCCGGAAAAAACAATCCCCTCATGTCCAGAATTTATAAAAGCTCAGACTTGGAGACCTTTCCCTCTGCTAAGCTCTTCTTTGGCCAGTAGCTGTTTGCATAGATCACAGCAAGGATGAAAAGAAGGGAGGAAAATCCTCTGGATACAAGGTAGAGAGAAGGCCTCTGCTAAGCTGTTCAGTGTTCAAATTGAAAAAGAAATGGGTGGAAAATTAATAAATCAAAAAGATATCTGGATCCTGAATTAACAGAGTTAAGAAAGGCTAATGGCTTTTTCAGCCTGCTCAAAGTACAACCTGAGATGAATCTCTGTGATGAAAGGTTTTCCAGAATCATCAATCTCATCATTTCCCAGGAGGTAAGCAGGTATGCATGGCAAACACTACCGGCAATAGCAACAGCAGTAGCACTTGACAGCCTCTGTTGGGGAGAAAGGCGAAGTGCCTAGCAACCGAAAGGAAGTAGCCAGCCTAAAACGTTACCACTGTGCTGCTAAAATAATCCAAAGGTTTTTACCATTCTAGAAGAGGCTGGAGGAAACCTTTTAAGTCAGGGTTAACAAGGTGGCCAGGGAAGGGGTGGGCGATGGGGAGGTAAATCTAGTTTCCCCTAGTGTATTCATTTCAACAGACTTTCCCTGTCAGCAGGAAACAAAATTTACTCTTACTGCCTGGGATTAAGAGACTGCTTTTCTGCAGGAATCTAGGTCCCTGTTGGTTGATCTGAGGTAAAGTTCAACATCAATTTATAGCACACCTTTATCCACTAACCAAGATGATCTTATTTGTAGGCTGTGTTTCACTGACTGAAAAATAAGGTATTGCCATCCATATCTTGATAAACAATAATATGCCTTTCTTACTGTTCCTTCTACCTAAGCTCTCACCTTCTACTTTCTTGCACACTTACTGAAATTTTAACAATTTTTTTTAGTTGTAAAGGTATTTTCTGTTTCAATTTTTAAAGCTGTGTATATTCACATCAAAGCAGGCACAGCTTTTATTTATAATTTTTAAATAATCTACTTAAACATTTAACTTGTGCTACTGTCACCTTCCTAACCTGTATATAGTCACATTTTTATTAAAATCCACTCAAACATTCATCCTGACTAAAATGTTACCAAAATACCAAGGGTTCAGTCTAGATCCTACTGCTGGCCGCCCGGAAAGCTAATAACTGAAACAACACGTTTTGCCAAGGAAGAAGGCTTTAGTTGGAGAGATGTGAGCTCAGTCTCAAATTCATTGCCCTGACTGACTAAAACTAGGGGTTAATATAGCAGGGAAAAAATGTAACGATGTGACACAAAAACAATAACTAGGAAGGGGAAAGGAGGCATCTGGTACAGTGATTTGGTACGTTTCAGTTCTTGGATATTTTTTTGAGAGGCCCGACGATCCTTTCCTGAAGAAGGAACTCAAATAGATAAAAGTTTCAAGCTTTAACAAAGGAAAGATCAATTTCTATGTATATCCAAAAACAATTGTCTATAGCACTACTGGATTGATTTCAAAAATACCTAACCAAGATAGAGACTCTAATATACCAACAAGTTCACATTTCAACGTGTGGGTGGATGTCTCATTAATTTTCCTCCTTTGTCAACTCTAGCACTTACAGACTACCCAATGACAGGAGGAAAAAAAAAAGAATATTGGTGTGGAAAACAACAAAAATAAAGTTCAATGCTTTTCTCCATGCTACTAATTTAACACAAAGTAATATATTTTGTATTTTTCAGGAAAGGAATTCAGTTATTAAGAACTTTTCCTCTGCCCACTAAATCAGTGTCTCTCAATTTTGGAACTACTGACATTCAGGTTTGGATAATCCTGTTATGGGAAGTTGTTGTATGCATTTTTTAGGACATTTCACAGCACCCCCTAGCCTTTGTCCACCAGATGCCAGAGGCAGCTCCCTGCCAATACACACACTCCAACACATCCACACACATCAGCCCCATTGTGGCAATCATCAATATCTCCAGATATTGTCAAATATCCCTTGGGGCATAAAATTACTCTCCATTGAGAACCATTCAGTTAGATGAATGAGTTAAGATTAAGAAGCTTAATTAAGTGGACATAGAATGTTTTGAGGAAGAAAAATAAGACCATGCTGACATTATACATGTACAAACACAAACTTATGTATACATAAGAAAGCAAAATGACATAAAGTATCTATATTTCCATTAATGTCAACATTAAGTTGAGAGACTGCATAGTAGTTTAAGAGCACAGAAACCCTGTATCACTCTGTAAGGGTTTCATTTGACACACACACTGCTTTGACACACACTAGCTAGCTGTGTGATTTTATGTGAAATTAATAAACATTCTCTGTGCCTCAGTTTGCTTATCTAAAACATAGGAATGACAGTACCTCCTCTTTCATAGAGTTGTGAAGATTAAATGCTTAAAACACAGAATAGAATAGTACCTGGCACTTAGTAAGCAGAAGTGTTCCTATCATCACCATTTTCATAATCACAATCATCATCATTTAACTGTTTAGGTTTGCAGCAAAATTAATTAACTTGTCTGTGAAGGAGAAATGCTATTGATGAAAAGGAATGTTAATGAGATTTAAGAAATGGGATAAGAAAAATTATTTTTCAAATATATCACACATGACACCATGACACAAAAGACAGCATAATGTGTGCATACTATTCAGTACCTTCCATTTTTCACACCACCACATATACATCTACTTTAGTCTTTAAACTGCATAATAGGCCAAAGTACGAATGTATCATTTTACCAGTGTATTA